GCCACCAAAAAATTATATGGATCATTGTACCACAATTCTAGACAACTTGGTTTCAGATGTTGACAATCTGATTTGTCACTTGTTTTTTCCCACAAGTTACCGGTAGGGCTGGGCAGGCGTAGCCTTGACTATGGTCCATGGGCATTGACAATTGTACAAATCCTATTGATTTGATGGGTGTTACATGTAGTTTTCATTGATCAATTCTCATTGATCAGTGGTTTCCCACTGAGTCAGCTTGGACGACTTCACAATGTGCCACGTACCACTACATGTGCCCGGTGCACGTATGGTGATCTGAGATTTGTAAGGTGGGCTGAAAATTCATACAATAAAAAAAAGATGAAAGGAGTGAATAGAAATATTTCTTTGTAATGCCCACACATGCAGCGCAGTACAATGCATCAGAACTTCATTGTATCGGTATTATGTCAGATTGCAAGGGAGTTGCAAGGTTAAATACGGAGTACTTGTGCATGTGCAATAGTGCTATAAATTTGCATTCTTCACGTCACAAACACAATAAATTCTTATACTTGCATTAAAAGTGCCCTCGTATGCAAGTCTTAACCCTAACCCAATATGGTGTGTGAAAAATGGTATTAACTTTGGAGGATTCATGACTATTGCTTTGAGAAGGGTGTGTCCGTATCATCCCTATAATTATAAAGGTCAATGCAAACCAAATTTTTGGGTGCAGAAAAAAATGGACCACTGCCAGGTTTGTCTAGCCAGATCCAATGCAGTCTATCGGGTCTACAGAGCAGATTAACCCCCAAATCTTTCCTGGCTTCCTCCTGCACCCCTTACTTCCTTTCCCCAAACATTTCATGTTTTAAATAGTAGTTTCCAGGAAGGGGCTGTACCGTCTTGAAGATATTGACATTACTCAGTCTCATCCTGTCTGGCTCCATATGACATTAAACCTCTGACAAAGGTAAAGTTACCTCCTTAGGCATTTTTGCTGGGAAATTTCCTGCATCACTTCAAATCCTGCACTGCACAGGAAACCAATGGTGCATTCTTTGTACTTGAGAAGTTTCAAGGGAATGGAGGCTCAATTTGTAAATCCTGCAAATTCTCCAAACCGCCCTGCAGCACTAGCTCTATGGTTTTATTGATTTATGGTGAAGTAATGTATACAATGTCATACAATTTAATACAAACTGTGCTAATAGGTTAGTGAACTATTGGGGAAAGACTATCTCACAAAAAAACAATAATTTAAACAAAGGGTAAACATGTTCTGGTATGCACTGTAATTTGTATTCACTCTTGAAAAGACCTCAAAGGTCTGTGCCTGACTGTCAGTGCATGTTCAATTTCAATGAAATGAAGTTCTGATTTGGTGATCCTTTTCCCAATTCCTTTTTTTTTAAGGAAAATAGACTGTGCACAGTTGTTTTCTGAATAATTTGTTTTTCAATCTGAAATACATTTTTTTCATTTACAATTTCAATCTGCAGCTTGCATTGCAGTCATTGTGGAAATCTTTCAAAATACAAATTTAATGTACTTTCTACAGTCGATTATGTACGTACTAGGGACATTGAATCATATCAATCAGGCAACACTGCCAAAACACTAACCATCAATTTTCATTTCAATGACAACAACTGGACAGTTTGCGGACAAAAATAGCAACAGGAACTGTCATGACAAGCGCCGTTATGAATGCCAAGTATTTTTAATAACCATAACACATAATCACACATGCCACATGCTTTTGTTGAGGTAGAAACTGCCATATTTTATCCTTCAATTTGTTGCAAGGCTGTGCTTCTACTGACTCCTATTAAAATATACAAATGTACACAAGTACACGAGTACACAGTGCTCGCACTACCCTCATCCACATGCACATGTTACGTATGTATGTATACGTATGTACTGTACACTGTAGATGTAGTACACTGCGGACAAAGACTGCAAAATTTCTCCTTTAAAACAATTTTATCAGAATATTCATATCGTCTGAAAAGACTTAAGACTCTCCATACGGCAACTTTTTTACTGCTGAGACAAAAAAATCAATATTTTGCACGAGGATACTCGTACCGGTACTTAATGGGTTATCATATTTTAATTTTTAAAGGGGTGCACTTCATGAAACAAAAACACTGTAATTGATCCTGAAGTTGTTTCTGAAATCACTACAGTAATTTTTCATTAGTATGTATTTAAGCCTTCACTTTTTGTCATGGTTTTGTAATCATGATGCCGAAGTCGCCCTACTTGTATCTTTTGCCACTTTAATCAAAACAATAGCAAATCATCTTTGACAACCACAACACTTTGGCAGGCAATTACTTTGGGGTCTTCTTTCGCTTCTTTGATTCCAAGGGATACGGCATTGTCGCGTAATCGGATATGGAGTGGCATAATGGTATCGCTACCGGGGTGTTTGATCTAAGGAGGGGCGAGGTGATATTAAGAGTAATGGGAGGAGGAGGGGAGGCAGATTGGAGGCAAGATTGGAGCAGCAAGGAGCAGTAACTGTGTGCGATGCTGGCTTAACAATGCTTCCATGTTGTTGCCCTGAGCAAAATGGGACTCATGGGCATACTGGGTAATGGGCTGCAATCAAAAACGTGTGGATTTCGCAGGCTGATGGATGCTGCTTGTGCAATGATTACCACGGTCTGTGGTCTATGGGAACATACGGAGGATATTGAATGTCACCAATTTGGGAATACAGACATTCGGGCCTATAGTTTGAATGAATACATGTACATGTACACACTGTCCCCATACATACCGGTACTACATGTAGTACATGTACCGGTACATGATGGTCCTTGTAGTCTTTGGGACTGACTAAAATTCATTCAAATTCAAGTGTTCCATTCAAACTAAAAGTGCATCACCAACAAAATGACAAAAAAAATATGTCCATTTTGAAACTTTATACAAACATGTTAATACCGGTAAATCCCCTGCCTGTTCCCCTGCATCCCAAACTACATAACATGTATGGGTACCCTGTGCCCAGGAGCCAGAGGCAATTGACCAGTCCAAGCATCTGTTTAATCCCTCTATGGTCCAAGTCAGGATCAAGCAAGCCTCATAATCTGATAAAGCTACAGTGTACTTATAATCTATCTTGATGGTTTCAAGTGTTCATGGACACTGAACGCTATACAGCCTGTAAGCCTAATCCAGCTGAATAGGATGTCATAGTCCAAAACAATTTGGCCAAGTAGTCAATCAAACCTTGGAATATAGCCAGGAAAGTTTTTTCTGGAACAATACCGGTACATGTACAGTATCTGGAAATTGTTAACATTTTAAAATCAAAACAGGAACACATACATGTACACGTGTGTGTATTTATTCAATGCGCAGAATGCAAGGCGAGCAACAGTAGGAGAAACTCTGTGACATACCGGTACGCATACCGTACAGGTACATGTACATCACACATACTTTTTTTAGTACACATACATGTACATGTACTGTACAGTAAACATTTTGCAGTACAAGCTAGAAGTAAGACTGATGCAGTGAGTACATGAACAACCACACAACCCAAGGAAAAAAATGACCAAATGCTCTACCGGTAGTTCTGCCTTTAGAGTTCTGCCTCATATACATGTAGGCCCCCTCCACATAAAAAAAAAATGTAAAGTGTTGTCATGTCTACCATGTTAACCTTCCACCCCTGTGACAGTATGCATATTAATTACGGGATTGAGCTACCGGTATTGTAATGAATTAATAATGTACTAGCCTAGGTATGGGTAAGTTACCGTATTCAGTACATGTATGCATACTGTACAACCAGTTTTTATCAATTTATGATAGAGTTTTGTTTTTCAGTAAATGTGCATCTGTCTCATGTTCACTTACCGGTACATTGTGGAGGTACCGGAACCTGTTTCAACATGTAAGGAACACAACTTGTAATGGACTATTTTTACACGTACATTGTATGACGAAAAATATGCTTTTTGTGTGCTTTGTTGTTTGTGTTTATAAAGAATTACTGATCGGTGACGAATTGCGTTCACTACTGTGGTGTGCCAAAGTGTGCACTATTCAAAAGTCAGTGAACACAGCAATCACAGGCATTCATACCGACATGTACATGTACATGTACATGAACTCAATGATTCAGAATAACCTTTGGCCATCGAATCAATCTGTAGTTTCAACCAGACAGGTACATGTACATGTATACATGACTATATACACAGGTACAGTACAAAAGTACACTTGTACATATGTATGTACATGTATACTGTACGGTACGTGTACAGAAATCAGGCATTTGTGTATCATGATACAATAGGCACTGATTTACAATTTGCTTGTGGCATTCCTCAAAAGATAAACCAAGACACAACTCCACTTTTTTAAAACTGCTAAAAGAATGACTTTGGTCATTTAAACACCAGCTTACACCTGCAACTTTATAACAATGGTCATACAGGGATAATTGGGTGGACTGTGTACATTTTGTGGACGTTTTGTCGGCTACCAGTGCAAATCGAAGGGAGTGGGACTCGTTGGACGTTTGAAGTAAAATGTTTGTTCCCAGATGACTTGAAAGCAAAACTTCTCTCCACAACACAGACCATTTAGTATAGTTTTCAACATTTATGTGATTTAAAGCCCCGCAAAAAAAGTCCCTTTCAGAATATTGAGCTATGAAGAAAATGGAATAAAATTGACAGAAACTGACAATTTCTCTCTCTTCATTTAGTTGTTGTTTTAAAACATCTCCAACCGTACCTGCATATTTGCCAGGTCTCCCACCTTTCAGCTGCTGAAAATAACCTCTAAATCTGGCTGCATCAAAAATATATCATGTGTCAAATATGTTAATTTTGAACGTCATTATTGACATAATTTTGATCAGTGACATCTGAGAACATTGACAGAAAGTGCACGACGTTCGACATATTCAAGAATCCTGAGGCGTGTTTAGGGGTCTTACCCCTCCCCTTGTGCGGCAAATAGGAATCTATCTATCTATCTATCTACACTGAAATCCTTACCTGTTCTGCAATTTCCTCAGCTGTCTCTTGATCCTCATCTTCATCTTCTTGTGCCGAGTCAATAATCTCAATGAAAGCAGACCTTCCCCTGCCACTGATTATATTCCGAGCCTCCTGACTCAACTGCAGCTCAAGTTCTTTGGTATCCATCTCCTGCTCCTCCATCTCTGGCTCCGAGTCCTCATCTTCCTCCTCCTCCTCCTCCTCCTCCTCATCATTGGTTATCGCCGTCTCTTTGGTCTGCATGGCAATCTCCAATTTATCCAAGACCTTGCTCCTGATTTCCTCATTCTGAGGACTCTGCTCAGTGGTTGCATAGTGGGATGCGGTCAGGCCTGGTTCATCCACATGGCCTGTTGGTGAATGGAATGTTGGGGAAGCATCTCTGAAAGTCTGGTGGCTTGCCTTGACCTGGGATTCCCCTGTAAGGGGGCCTCTACCAGGGGCATCAGTCCGAGTTGACACGATGCTCGAATCCCACGTGGGGCTCGCTTCGGTCTCCTCAGCTTTTGCAGCCGACACAGTGATCTCACGCTCTTCAACAGTGGTATCAGAGGCAGAAGCCTGAGTGCTGTACTCAGAAGACATCTCTTCGCTATCCTCATCTTCATATTCTCGGGAGTAGCGACGAATGCCTGCTCGGAGTTTGTGAGAGGGACCAGCCGAACGCAACACTACAGGCTTCTTGGCTATAGGAGAAGTTGGAGAGACAGGTGACTTCCTATTCTCAATGTAGGCTCCTCCTTCAATATCAAGACCAAGTTTCTCATGTAAATTGATGTCAGGCTGGTTCAAGGCTATAAGGGTGGATGCAGAAACAGCCATCTTGGTCTTGGGGGCCTGAACATGATGGATATCTGTGGGACTTGTTTCCCTCCGGACAAAAGGCACAGGATCATCCAGGCTTCTTCGTTTCTTCTCCTCTTCAGGTGACCGTGATCGCATACGAGCGCGACGCATAGCAGCTGGTTCCCTGAGATCTTCAGTGGGCCTCGCCATTCCTCCATTCTCTATGCTGATGCCTTGAAGTGGTTTTGTCGATCTTGGTGACGTTGGAGGCGAAGGTTTGGTCCTTTCTGCAGGTTGTGGTTTGTGAACTGGATCTGTGCTGGCTGACTGGATTGGAGAGTAAAAATCCTGGACTACTTTAGATATGGGGCCAGCGTTGCGCGTGCTAGTACTATCAGATACCTTGGCATCAAAACGGCGTGAAGGTTTCTCTGGAACATCAACTGGAGATGGCCGTCCGGCAAGAGTTCTCTTCGGAGATTCATTCTCGCCAGAGCTACAAGTACCTGTGCTATCTGTGGAAGTATTCCTGCTGTAGCGTTTCTTGTTGACATGAGGACTAGTTGGCGGGCTCAGAGGCTGCTTAGCTGTAGTGGAGGTGCTCTTCCTTGCTGTAGGTGGACTTGTAGCTCGATTGGTGGCTTCAAAGAGCATCCTTGCATTCTTAAAACGCAACCTGGGATCACCTTTATTGTCTGACACCTGATCCTCATATTGGTCCTCGTTCTGCTGCTCGTGTGCTAATACATTCAGGTTGAACTCCTGGCTGGATGGACGTTGTCTACTGGAATGCTGTGTAGTTGTTGTAGATTGCTGAGGTGGAAGGGCCACACCATTTGCTGTGTTGATCTTGGACCTGTACGGGGGTTTGACATCTTGGGCTGGGGCTTCAAACAGGTGGCGTAACTTACTGACTTTGGCGCCTGGAGTGGTAGCTACATGCATCTCCCTGGCAACGGAAGATCTCTTCTCAGGGTTGACACTGCCAGTGGTGACCCCACTACCAGCGCTGCCACCGATTCTGGTTGACATGGTGGCTGACATCTCTATCTCATCATTCCCAAGGGCTCTGTGCAAGAACAGCGTGATAAAACAAGATGACAGTCAATCAGTAACATCAAAATATCAAGTCAAGAGTCCTTTCGGAAGACATTACAATTTTTTCCCCGAGCTCTGTTAGGTTACATGTCAATGTACAAGTACATGTACTCTGGAACTGAACCAATTTGATTCATTACATATCTGTGTACCGGTATATCCCCACACTACTTCTACGTGTACACGATAATTGCTTTTTAAAATGTCCAGTCAACTGTGACAATAACTGATGAAACCAACACACTTTGCTAGGAACGCCTAATGCCGAACAAAACATTTTAACTGAGATTCAGTGTAGACCAAAGAATGACTGAAAAGAAAAGTACACGTACATGTGGGAGTCTTGATCAACTCACAACCCACATAGTGTTCAACATACATAGGCCTATAATATGGAAAAACCCAGACTGACATACATGCAGTTGGAACCGACATAGAAATCGGTTTGATTATGCACATAATTTCTTTTGAAATGTTAGACATGGCGCCAAGTGCTTGGTAAACACACATTGGCTGCAGGATAAATAGTGCCACACACAAATCATTTTATATTCAGCATCATTACCAAACAAAAATGCCCAATATACACAGATAGTTATGTGCATACCTAGATGAGTTTGTCCTGGTACAGTGTATAGGATAAAAAAAGAACACACAAACTTGGTTGTTCCTTTGTTTTTGCAGTGGGGTAGCCTACATACTGTACTTTCTGTTTGTGAACATAAATTTATCTACTAGAAAAGTACAATGCCCCGTACCCTTGAAAACTCTCTTCCATTTGCATGTATGTTATTGTTTAGCAAAGGTTGTGTCAACAGAAACATCTTTTGAGTTCTGTGCGTACAGTATGAACAAAACAATGACGATTTACTTAATCAAGTGTTTTGTCAGGTAATTTATTTTTTACTAGAAATTGAGGACATTTAGTTCTATTCTCAAGTTTATTCCAGTGTCATGCATACAGTGTAATTACATGTATGTTCTTTTCGTTGAAGAAAAAGTGTGGTATAAAATGCCTTCAAGATAGTGATGCACTATGTGTCACTAGTATAAAGGACAAGGGTGGATAAGAATTGGATCAATCTTTTCAAATGATATCCGCTTGACGCCTCAATTTTTCCAAAGAACTATTAACTTCCTTTCTGCACAGCACATGCCATGTGACAACATTTGACAACTTGGAGTCAATTTTTTTTTAAATGATGTCAGTCCAAGCATAGGACTGATTTGAACTTGCATACTGTTACATATTCATAGCTGTGCATTTATGTCCAATACACCCAAACATGATCTCATAACTTCCATTACATACATGTACACTATGTAAACCGTATCCTCAATGTGCATGAATTCATTCAATGCTGGTTTATTCAATAACAAGTACCACGAAATCCAAATTCCATTGACAACGCTGTGCAAATTGTGTGCAGGTTAAATGCCAGCTGTTAGGTTATTCATGAAGAACACTTCATTTCAACAGCAGTCAAAATGTGGTTTAGTGACCACACAACACATTATGACCGACCCATTGTGCCATGATTGGAATTCTTTGGGTTCCAGAACACAATGAGATTTCACCTTATGTGACCTTGGATTTCCCCTGCAGGTTTCTGCGCTGTTGAAGACATACGTACATGTACTACATTTGCAATCATTTCTTTGAATGAAAAACTTGACTTTTGAAACGGCCTTCAAAACATTTTTGTGCACAAACAAACTGTATGTTTATAAGATTTGAAGGTTTGCTGAAGATACGATAGCAAGAAGATAAAGGTTTATGGTAGCACCATGTGACAAATCACTATCTCTAGAGATGTGGCACATGCTGCTTCCATAAAGCTTTATCTTATAAGTATATTGTATATTTATTTAATACAATGTACCGGTACCTTTATCCAGGGTAAGCAAAATATTTAAACTGATTTCCATTGGGACACTGCATACATTACAACAAATTCAATGAAGTTAACCAAAATGCATTTGACAAGGACACTGTTCATTGATGAAACAGACTACGAAGTGCGAACAATATTACTTACATACATGTACCGGTGTCACATGAAAATCCGTCTCCTATGAAAATCGGACCCCTTTTCCCTATTATTGGTTAATCCCTCTCACGTGACCGGTCACTTTCCTAATTACCATACTTACGCATGCGCGGTATTACCAATGAGTCCGAATTTCATAGAAACGTAAATTCACGCTACACCGGTACATGTATAAATACGTCAGACGTATGTTACCGGTACATGTCTTACACTTGAAATAAACCTATTTTACATTTATTTCATTTTCAAGCACAAGACATAAATTCCTGATTATGGGTTGGGCGAAAACCACGCAAAAAAACTTTCGGGAAAAAAAAAAAAAAGGGGGAAATTCTGGATCCGGCTACAAATTACATGGTAACCAAGGTAGAACTCCCTAAATCAGTGCATTCAGAAATTTCTCATCAGAATATGACACAAAAAAGTTTGAACATCCAATCTATTGCTGACATGAGAAAAAAAACTGTGTTTGTACATGTACTGGTACTTCCTTTAAAACTTCATACAAGTTATTGCCATAGGAAAACAAACATCAATCTAATGCATTGCAGTACCCTGTCCCAATACTAAGTGCCTCACAAAAATTCTCAAGATCCATACGGTACAGGTACATGTATTATGCAGGCATAACAATTTCATGATTAAATTAAATCCATGCTGATGGCTACACCCCATTAAAATTCCCAATCAATAATTCTGTAAATTATTTCAGTCAATGAACAATTTGTTATCAGAGAAAAAGTCACTTCATTGGATATGTATGCTACCCTATGAGTGCATTACACAAGTAGGATGCATCACAATGATGTCACACACACAACGTGAGTCACATCAGAATAAGCAGTGCATAGCAATACCAAGTATTAAATCACTACAGTAGTGAAACTGCATCATTACATATACATTTACACCATTATTGTAACACTGATCCTACAATATGTAAACAATACTGAGCTGTAAAAGCCAATAGCAGTTAACAATAAACCACAATAGTAGAACAGTTCCGCTTAGCTGTGTCCTGTAATAAATAAGGGGATAAATTTCAGACCAGTGATGAATGATTGGCTTCAACTATGTATTTCTGTCATTCTCTTGATATAAATACATGTACATGTACTAAGTTCCAATGGACAGATAGGATTGACGCTTCTTTCATACAGTGGATACACTGACCGTCCCTTCCTACCTTCCTACCCTGCATGTGCATTACATAAAAGCAAACATTATAATCTGGCTTTAAAAGGACACTGCATCCTGGAATGCGCCCAATTGGGCTACTAAACACATTTTAAATGAAACAATGTTAATTGGAACTTTGCATTTAGAGGTACCGGTATGATATAAACATCCACACAACCATCCTTAAAGAGACATTTGACAATAAATTTTGTTTTTGCTTTTATTTTTTAACACACGAACAAATATTGTTAAAAATACATTGTTTACATTCCTTTACAAAACGTCCCCCTGGTCTGCCCTACAAAGCGGGTCTGGCCACCTACATGTACATGTATCTCTTGAAGAGGGCGATGCAAAGCCTTGTTATATGTATTTTAATTTATGATACGCATACCATACATGTGCTTCATTCTGCAACATATTCACAAACTATCTGGGGAACTTAGAATGGCAAGTACAAAGTTGATGGATTACATGGGAATCAAACTCATCATGTTTAATTTTTTCTTCAAAAATACAGTCCCGGTGCCACGAGACTCAATCGTAGAACAACATTGGATAGAGGCGCTGAGGAGAAGAGGCGCTGAGGTGAAGAGGCACTGAGGTGAAGAGGCGCTGAGGTGAAGAGGCAAGATCACAGACTCAATCATAGAACATTGGAAGCATAGAGGCACTGAGGTGAAGAGGCAAGATCACAGACTCAATCATAGAACAACATTGGAAGCATAGAGGCACTGAGGTGAAGAGGCAAGATCACAGACTCAATCATAGAACAACATTGGAAGCATAGAGGCACTGAGGTGAAGAGGCAAGATCACAGACTCAATCATAGAACAACATTGGAAGCATAGAGGCACTGAGGTGAAGAGGCAAGATCACAGACTCAATCATAGAACAACATTGGAAGCATAGAGGCACTGAGGTGAAGAGGCAAGATCACAGACTCAATCATAGAACAACATTGGAAGCATAGAGGCACTGAGGTGAAGAGGCAAGATCACAGACTCAATCGTAGAACAACATTGGAAGCACAGAGGCACTGAGGTGAAGAGGCAAGATCACAGACTCAATCGTAGAACAACATTGGAAGCATAGAGGCACTGAGGTGAAGAGGCAAGATCACAGACTCAATCATAGAACAACATTGGAAGCATAGAGGCACTGAGGTGAAGAGGCAAGATCACAGACTCAATCATAGAACAACATTGGAAGCACAGAGGCACTGAGGTGAAGAGGCAAGATCACAGACTCAATCGTAGAACAACATTCGAAGCACAGATGTGCTGAAGTGAAGAGGCAAGATCACAGATGAGCAACTGGACAGGGCAGATAGGGGCCTTCTGATTTAGCAAGAAACAATCCACTTTATTTCCTGACACAGATCCTCCTAAGTAGAGTGTTGGAGGCAAGGCCCAGAGGCCCACTGCTAAGGTCACAGATTACGGATGTGACTTTGCAATAAATTTTGTGAAAGTTTAGCAAATATACTGTTTAAACATATACCCCTAACTCCCTGGGCCTTTTTGCTAAGATGTAGCCTCAATCCTGCAAACTCCTCCAGTTGGCCTCATGGGAAAACAGCATATAGACTCAATCCTACAAATTCCTCCACTATTTCTTGAATATGGTCCGTGGAGGGGTGACCACTGCCTGAATCCTGCACAATCCTGCAGCAGTGACTGTTAATACATATAATTATGTTGAAGCTTGACCAGTGACATCCTGGAGCAGTACGGAGGATTTTAAGCATAATCTGCCTAAATGCATGGCTAGGAGCAAAAACAACACAAGGTCTGGCCCAAGATCTTGACAAAGTGTATTCTACGAAATCAGTAATTGCACTTTTGCCATGTAACCCCAATCCTCCAAATTCCTCCACTTTGGCAAAGAGGATTTTGAAGGATTCAGGGCAGTAAGGGTTAAAGTAAGTAAACTTTAGTACCTCAATCTGAATCATCGATCTCTACTTGCACCTCAAGTGGTATAAATTATTTGGAGGCCGTTTTGAGGGTGAAATCTGATGTTTTTGTTGGGCAATGTCTGAATGTTAAAAGGCGATAAATTGGGTCCAAGTTACTCGGACTAAGCTTGATCATATTTTCCTTTGCTGCATAAAGGATTTGTAGGCCGTGAAAGCTGAGTTTTTGCTTGTAATTTTAATGGAAATGGAAAATATCAGCAATAACATGACCATCACAGACCATGGCTTGAAATCCACATTCTAAATATGGTTAGTAAACTCAGCTTTCCTGGCGAATCTCCCCATGTCATGAGCCCAGAAAACTGGGGGAAAAAAAGAGGTAGGAAAGAATTTCATATACGGATGCCACTTGACACCCTGTGTTAGCCTAGGCCTAAGTGTTTTCTCACAAGTGCTTCCATATTTTCCCTGCCCTTCTCATGCACCCGTCAATTGTAAGACGCACCCTGCATCCAAGATTTGTCCTTAAATCCGATGTTTGTCAAATATATTTCCGACTCAGTCAAAAATTTTGCAAGCACATTTTTGATTTTCTATGACGAAGAGGAAACAACCTGGCATGTATTGTATACACTTATTTGTGCATAACATGAAAATACCCACCTCTTGGCTCGCAATCGTCACAACCCTCCTGGAATCCTTGCCGATTTGCCAAGGCCGATCGTCTATCTCCATTTATTTATTTATTTCATTAGTGTGAGCAAAAAATATTAACATTTCTATTTTAATGAATGCCAATTAAACAAGTTTTCAAAATTAAACAATATTCTAAACTTTGTCCCAAAAAGTCACGAGCTGAATAGCATTGTTATTTTTTCCCCAAAGCGAAAATTTTCGTGGGCGTACATAATTAAATGTACATTCCTAACCCTATGGCCAACCCATAGGCCATGATCATAACGGCCCGGCTGACATCCCATTTTTTTTCGGTATACAAAATACAGCAAACAAAATATTTGTTTAGCTCCAGGATTTCTGAGTTACTATATTCAGATTAGAATATTAATCAGAAGAGGGAACAAATCATTCTAAAATGCTTCCAACGATCATCCAGTTTCAGCATCGCAACTCATCAATTCGTAATTTCGCCCTGGCAGCGCTTGCGGAGTATTGCGGTGCACATGTAGCCATCGTCACGATTGGTTCACTGGTTTCCCCTTCTCAACTCAGCTGGAGGTGCATTCGCTTGGACGCATCTCCCCGGCCCCACTGGTGCCCATGGGTCGCAATGGAAATTAAACATCGTTATTACAATACGGTACCCACACAAGTCATGACCACAAAGTGTGCGTGTTCCATTCCGTGCTATGGAGATTCGTTCGTCGATCATTTCATATGTCCGTCAATCATACGTGCGTCATTGGTGAGTTGTTATCCAGAAATGGTGCGTCAAAAATTTGTTATAAATAGTGTCAAAATGCGTGAATGGTTCATCATGAACAAGACGCAAGGGTGCGTCATTGGACCCCAAAGTTTGACTGTCCTGTGTACATTGACACACATGCCCCGGGGCAGGGGTCCGAGGATGCGTCTTACAATTGACGGGTGCATAAATTTCACTTTTTAGGATTGTTTTGTTAGGACTTTTTTAGGAGTAATTACAGTCAGGGAAAAACTAGTGGCATACGTTACGTATAATGAAATTCTTTCCTAAAATGACACAATAATCAAAGTTAAATCACTGATGAGTGATGTGTTCAACACTCAAAAGCACAATGTACAATGTTCAATTATTCCTCCATGGTTCAATGTTGCACTTACAGTTGCACACTGAGTGACTAGCTCACTGATGATGTGTACACCCGTCATGCATGACATTGATACACCTGTACTGTGTCAGTCACTGACTGAGCAAAAAAATCCAACTTACCTTTTGAACGCGATTAAATCACAAAGAAACGTCAAATAGAACCTTATTTTTCACCATCAAGACATACACTACCACAAGGGGATATCGTAGAGGAAAAAGGCCAGCAAAAAAGCAGGTAAATACCCCGTAAATGTGCTACTAAAGCGGGGACTCTTCCGTGTTCTCTTCACTACTCAGCCACCATTTTGTTGAGAGTGGGCAGTGCTAGTGCAGTGTGTGGTATTGACATTTGGATTGAATTTATTTCGATGAATCGATTAGATAAGATATTCCACATTTTCTTTATGCAAATATGCCGCTCTTGAAAAAAAGTTTAAAAAGTCATACTTACAAGTGACACGACAAAAAGCCACTGCATGTCACGATTATCTTATCTGATATTGAAATTGCATTGTTTTTCCAGTCACTTTTCAATTTATCGATTATTTTCGATAGTGACAAGAAGCCATTTAACTGTGACCTTATTGAAACAGTCACGGTGCAGTTCATTTTTATAAAGGAATATAAAAAAATAACAGATTTTAGATCGGGCTCCAAATTGAATGTAGTAAACCCTCATAAAGTGCACTGCTTTTAATGGTCTTACCATAATGAAATTCTTGATACGATTTACGAAGTAAATGTTTTCTTTTTGAGATAAATAGTAGAATAAATTAAATTGTCAAACGATCCCATCTGAACCCCCCTCATTAGAAGTGGTTGTGTCCAGCGCAGGTCAACATAACAAGATCTTCCCGTTTGTGTACTGAATGCGGTATATGCTGAAGGCGACGAATTCACCGAAAATTACCCTAAAAATACGTTGAATTTTGCAACTTTTCCTTGTTGTTTGGGTTCTCCATCGCATGAAGATCAAAAGCCGATCAATGTGGAAGACTACCATGGCATCGATCTCTGTCTATGCTGTTGTTTTTGGTATGATAATTTCGCTTATCGATATACGAATGATGATCGCACGGGCAACGGGCAGCACACTGGCGCTGGCTTGCTGTAGATATCACGCTGCGGCCCCTGGCTGTGGGCGCTGAGCTGACGCGCTGGTGGCTGTGTGCCTATATATGCAGTGTGCGCTGCGCATTCTTAATCTTATGGCAAAAAAGACATGAGGCTTTTTTGTTAATTTTTCGTTATTTTTATGAGGCTATCGTTACGATAGACTCGTGAACGTGTAGTTTTCTTTTACAAGCCACGTTCATGGGTCTATCGTTAAGACAGCATGCAGCAGCCGTAATATTATTTTAAAATATGGCATTGTAAAACACAATATTTTCATTCATTCATTCATTCTTTATTTACCACATTGTGATCACATTAAATGAAACGGCAAAATAAATAGATAGTTTTAGATATTAAGAAATTAATACTGGTTTTACAAAATATATACACTTTCGCATTGTTTTCAAATTAGAGACAATGTGAGTATTATGTAAGGGACCAGACAGCTGACAGTTCCTTAATGATAGCAGCTGCTAGCAGCTGTGTTATGTTTGTCTGTGTCATTATTTCTTCAAGTTAGGTTTAAAGGTAGGGTAGATCACTTGTCATTTGTGCATTTTTTTTTTTTTTTAGTTTTGCAACAGAAGTGCTCAAACTCTAGCCATGTAGCGTCGCCGTAGCCATGCGCGTCGGCAAAATGAAAAACGTTTTTTTTTTCAATGTTAGATGATGTCTCAAAACTGCCAAACTCACTGGTTTGACTGGAATCCTGCTGCTGCACAATTTTAACGTGTTTTTAGATAGGGTTATGTTCGAGTATAAGCTTTATGTGGCCTCTCTGGACTGCCGTATATTTTGTACTAAATTTAGTCGGGCACCATTTGCAGTTATCAGCCGATATATGAAGAAAAAAAAAGTAAAAGAAAAAAAAGCAGCGTTGCCGCACCACTTTTGGGGCAAGCTCCATACCAGAAACCGGAGACTTTTTGGGGGGGCCTAACCTGAAGAAGTTTTAGCTCTGTGAGGGCTGCATATATTCCAAGAAAACAATATTCTAGGATCTCGGTTTCAATTTAAAAGTTGCCGTGTCAAGATTTGAATTGAGCCCGAAATCAGCGTCCTGACAACCTGAAACAAGGCAAAGGAGTGCATAAGTGTAAAGGCACTTTGAAGAATTAAAGAAATGTTGGACAGTTGGGTAATACAGGTTTTATTTTTCTGCAGGTTCTTTGTAGCGGTTGTCATGATATAATATCTTAACACTTTCGTATGACTCACTCCAAGTCCTATGATTGTTGATAGAGTCATACAGTTTATGGCAAGTCAACTGGTACGGACACTTTTTTCCCATTTGTGCAAATGTGACAATGTCTGAAGTGCTAAGCGTTGGCATGTAGTGTACATCTGTACACAGTAGACTAGTGCACATGAATATAACATACTATTACTGGTACACGCTGCTGTGCATGTACATGTATAGACCCTCGATTCGAGTCAGGGTTGACCATATCAGGAAGTATGACTAACCGTCTTAATTTGCTCCACTTTCCAAAGCAAACTCAGTACAAGTGTAAACACTCAAACCTAGTCCCCATAATCTCCAAAACATGATCCAATGTGCACATTCTGCATGTTTGTGTCAGATTGTGCATACGTGTAAATATTCTCATTAAATGTGACTGGATTGGAAGAAGGTACCGGTCACTACAAAATGGTCAACCAGCAGATGAAATCATGTACGGTGGAAAGGCAGTCTAATGTGGCATTGACTTTGAGCTTACTAACCCTGTGTTAATGTGTAATAACCTTTTTTCAGTTGGAAATTTTATGGTGAAAAAGGAAATTGTGCTGATGACAGGATTACCTCGATCTGGGTGACGATGTACTTTTGTCTTTGCTGTCTGTTTATTGTTGTGACTTACAGAGAGAATCTGGACACAGGAAAACCTGTCTGGGTCATACCATGACCAACCCTAACAGCTGTCTCATAAGAAGATGATCCCACAAAAGAACTGACAACGACCCTGGAAAATCTTAGGCCCTATGAGCTAGGCGTTGTGCTGTATCATACTGAGATTGCTGTGTCATATTATAGGCCTATATACCAGACCTGGGCCAAACCCTACACCTCCCAATCTCCCCCCCCCCCCCTTTACCTCCACAGGCCCCGTTAATGAATTGTGGTTGAATAAAAGCTAAAGATTTACCCATTCCTATTGGCCGAGAGTCTGTTACTTGGGTGGTTTAAAATGGTTGATAAAACACAGACTGGTTTTAAACTCTCTTTTTTTTGTTATCTTCAAAATTAGTTTTCATTTATTTCATAAAAAAAATGTCTTTAGTGGTGGAATGATGCCCAGACTTTTTGTTAACATGTTTGTGAATGTGTACAATACATGTACAGTGCTACCCCAACGTACGAACATGAAAATGATATAAACAAAAACATTATGAGTTACTAGCTCATGAATAAAATGTGTCAAAAGAAACATCAGACTATTTAAATAATGTACAGTGCATTGAGTGATCTAATCAAAATAATTCCTTAAAAAAATTTGAATGATTTCAGAGGATGTAGTCCGAGCGTCTTTTCTTTCAAGCAAAACAGAACAATTTTCCTAAATTAAGCTCGTGTTTTTTTCCTAGAAAGTACAAATGTACATTGTGCCATATTCAAAAACTGAAACTTTAACTCCTATAGCAAAACCTTATCAAGCTAAATTCTTATTTCCTTACCATTCTTCGTAGGTTCACTGCTGAGATCATGAAGGAATTTGTTTACAAGTAGCTCAGAGTTTATCATGACATTAATAACCCATCATCGGAGTCCATGCACTAATATGGTGCCTTAATAAATACTTCAAATTTCAGGATTCTAATATTATCCTATGCACGTTAAATTTACATGTATGTAAAGATATTTATGGGGAAAAAACTAACCTGATGTGGATTGTCTTCTTATGCCCGAGTTGGACCGGGAGAAATGTGCGCATAACGACAGCCATCTTGACTTACACGTGTGTGTATCAAAACACCAAATCAAAACAAAGATGAAAACAAAATAAAAACAAAAATGCCAACGATGATAGCTCCTGTCCGTTAGCCCACCACCATTCCTGTCAAATAGTTGTAAGTCCAGCGTCAGAGCCTACACAAGTACCCAGAAGGCTGTGCTGTCTACAGGTCACTTTGGTACTCAGCGGTGCAAGCATCCTATTTCCCTTGGTGAATCTCGCTACATCTTTACCCCTCGCCCCCTTCACTAAAAAAAATATTATCAGTCATCGCGAGCGAGCGCTTTGCTTCTGCTGCCAAAAAGAAAGTTGCGTGAACTTCCTCTGTAATGAAAACAAAATCCCCTCAAATCTACTTGGAAGTTCACACCCCTTTTGGATTGAAGTGGACTGTCCTATCCGGTTTCTTGGCAAGTTTTTGCCGCTGGTGTAGTTCCGAGTAGAGTGCCAAGAGTTTTCATTTTGGGGGCTCTCTCTGTAGTCAGTGTTGAAAAGAAGACTTTCCAAGGATTTAATTGACAAATGCAGCACAAATAAATATAAGTTTCAGTCTTTACAATTTGTAAGATTGTTTTTCCAAGATTTTGTGTTCAACCTGGTCACTTGTAATGACTTTCTGCATGGAAGGTTGAATTTCAGACTTTTGTATTACAACGACAGGCATTCCTTAAGTCTAGATTAAATCTTCTAGCAACAAGAAAAGTCATGTTTTTACATTGATTTTCAGAGATAGAAGTCATAAAACAGTGATGTTATGCAGGCTTTCATCTTTAAATTGAGGATTTTTCCTAACAGGACAGAAAAAAGTAGGAAGATTTGCAAAGGGCGTTAACTTTTCTCCCCAGGAAGGAGGAAGGTTTTTTTTTTTAAGTTGAATCATTTGAAACTTGTCTTTCCCCTTCTTTTTTAAAACACAAATTATTAAGATTTCCTAACGTTAATTTGTTTTTGACTTGGCTCTTTTGGTTGCTTGCCAACCTGAACCGGGGCATGACTCAGTAACTAGTGCAAGACTCAACTCAACTAAGTACGTGTATACCTATCCTTGGAGGGTTCAGCAAGGAAAACGCCACACACGCACCAAAATATCAGCCTCTGTCGTGCGCTGTTTCAGGAAGTCCCCCACTTTTTGCCAAGTTGTCATTGCATGTGCACCCCTCCATCCTTAAAAGGGAGACTAGGCTTGACTAGTTGAGCTTGAATCGAAAGTCTCATTTTAAGACATTATTCACATGTATACTTAGTGATCAAGTCAGTCAGTGACTCAGTCAGACACAGGATGGTAGCCTGTCCCATCGGGTTCAGCAAAAATGGCAGTGAAGATTGAACAATCGTTCTCAAAAAGAAATGTATCGTAAATAACCTATGTGGGTAGTTCAAGTTTGTAAAATGTGCACACACATTAAATAATAGACTGAATGCTCTTACACTAATATGTAGTCTAAGAGGCAAAACTTTGTTCAAGGAACTGAAGCATTACCGGAGCAGAAGTCGGCAATTTCCCATCGGAAGGTAGCGCACAGCAGTCCCGTACATGAAGGAAAGGGGACATGGCGCTTGTATTGACACTAGGTACAAGGAATTGGAAACAAGTTAGGGCCAAGTTCATGGAACTGCGAAACACAGAAATGTGTTAAGCTAAAAAATGAATTTGCTTAGCAAAAAACACGTTACCATCCAAAACGTCATGCAATGTTTATTGTTTGTGACTGGTTCCCTGACATTTGCTTCATGCATTGAGCAAAATTTCTGCTTAGCACCTCCATGAAATTGGTTCCAGTTTTCAACTTTGAACTAAAATGTTACCTGATAAAACTCTGTTACAACCCTTTGTACCGATCCAACTATTTAGCAACTTTAAAATGCCTAATTTTTACAATTTTGTATACTTTTCTTCCCTGGTTTCCTGCAGTCATTGCTTCTACCATTTCTCTGTCGTCGTGTGAGCAGGCAGCAGTGGGCTTCAACTTCCAATACGTCTTTGAGAAAGAGAACTTCTTTGGACCGTTCTCATTGGGTAAATTAATAGATTTAATACTAGTTTGCTTTTTTTGGTCATTAATTTTTTTTTACAATGTAAGTGTGCAAAAAATCCCCAGTTTTATATTTTATAAACTCAATTTGCCATGTAGATATTGGATGATTTAAGGCAAATCCTCACAGATTAATTTTTTTAGGAAGTAGTAACTGATAAATTGCATTTGATCAGATTTACAATTTTAAGATTATAGACTCCAAAGTCGCAGTTATTTCCCTTGCGAATTGTAACAAATCCATGCAGGGTCAATGGCCAGAAGAACCTTTGTGCTGGTCGGATTTCATTAGCCTTGATGATTATTCAATAGATAAACTACATGTACCAAGGATGAAAGGTTTCTCTGTTTGCAAGGAAATTTAATTAGTCTGGATAAAATCATCACTCTCCAGAGATCTGTGACTTACAAAGCTGGACATTTTATGGCCACTTTTAGAGAGGGATCAGTCTCCAGGGTCATTCAGATGAAGGTATTGTCAGTGCTATTCTGTCACAAAGTAGTTGTAAAAGCTAAGATAGCCAAATCATAAAAGTTATCTCAAATAGCAGGTTTTTGTGACTACATTGTAGCAATGTTAGATTAATTTAGAAAGACAAAAATCCAACATATGGATGAAAAGAAAGCACTATTCAATTCAATTATGAAAAAGCTAAAGACTATGAATAAATGGTAATATTCCATGATTATTTGTAAAATTACACAGAATACATGTTCCTCTATTAAAACCATATAGAGGTGTGACCAGTTGGTATTAATCATGATGGTTAATAATAATAAATTGAATTGAATTATTCCAAAATGTTTTTTACAAAAGTTTGTGTACATATATACGCTTACTTGTACTCGTACACTTTCTTAAAACAGTTATCAAACTTTTACCTTGGATTGTAGGTAAGTTCCTCCCCATAGTGAGCGTAAGTTCCTCCCCATAGTGAGCGTAGTTTTGATGTCAATTAGTAGACTGAAATGGCGCTGATATTGAGATGATTCCATAGAGTTCAGTTTAATGTGGAGAATAACGCTTGCAGGCATCATGAGAAGTGCATTCAAACGGTTGTATTTGAATTTGATGTGCACATGAATACAGTGTGGCATGTTTTAAATGTTCTATTTTATACCCTTATAGCTCAGTGACATTCACAGTTCTTGCCCTTCATGACCCATGATATTTTCAGGTCCAGACCAGCCCGGCCCAGTTGTCTACAAACCCTCCCTTGTCGGTAAGCCGGGTTTACCAGAATGGTTGAGCTACATTCAGACAGACCCCGCCCGTCAAGCCTACGTGTATGGCACACCTGATGCAGACAATATTGGTGACATCACTCTTGAAGTATGTTTTTATTTGTATGTTTGTTTTTTACTGAATCAAAAACTCAACAAGATATACAATTTGTGTGCAGGTTTTAGAAAATTTGAATCATTCAGATTTTTGGCACGTTCAAGTTTCTTATAGATATCAACCTTTTGCTTGTTTGTCTGTTTTTAGTATTTGTTGATAGCAAGTGTTCTTAGGCAGGGGACATAATTATATCACACTTTGTTATATTTGCTTTCCTAGGGGAGCTAGGTGGGGGCAGGGAGGCGTTGCCAGAACTGTGTTTCCAAAAGATAACACACCTGTTAACAGTTGGTTTACAGATGTGCTATCATCAGTGTGCAACATGCATTTACTATTTTCACAGTTTCTGTAGTCTTCATATCATGTTCATTTCCAGTCATCTCAGGTTGGTGTCATGGTTCAACCCTGCTTTGATTCCTGATTGAATTTCTTAGTCGGTGACTTGCACGTTACGCAGGCAATATTTCCTCAGAGTTTTCCTGTCACGTTTCAAACAAAAGTTTCCTTCCTAGTCTGCTTTCAATTCAAAGTTTGAGCAAAGGCAGAGATTTGCTCAAGCACTGATGAGGATAACTTCTCGAAATAGAGATGAATAATAACAATAACGAGTGTATGTTGTTCTTGTTGCTTGATGACTTTGTTGGTTAAAATCTGGTCCCGTTTCATGCAGTTGCGTAATTGGCAGCAGAAAAAGGAAATGTGCTAAGCTCACGGCAATGCTTGCATAGACTTTGTGTCACTATTTAAACAACTTTAATAAGCTTGGTCTTTCCTGCGCTTACTGCTTAGTTTGCCTGAAGTTAGCATGCTAAGCTGTGCCAAGAAATCGGTCCCTCGTTGATGACCAAGAAGTTGATAAAAGAAGGACAGCGGAAGGATTAAGCTATCCCCTGACCCTTCCACAGCTGTCGTCAATAATTACCAATCGGAATTCATCGAGTGCAAGTCACAAGACTAAAGGAAGTAGGGGGAAGGTGTCGTTTATATCCCTCTGTACCAATGCTTCATTGTCTGGCCTTAGGGGGACCGTAGCTAGACCAATGCCTCATTGAAGCCCTTGGGGTTGAACTGTTGGAAGTGTGGCATCAATATCGTATTATTGACATTAACCAGGCCCCAATTTCATGGTGATGCTAAGCATACAATTTTCTGCTAGCAGAGCCTCTGTTACAGAGACTGTAAGCAGTAAGCACAGTTAAAGACATTCTTTTCTCAGAGGAAAAATTTGTTTTAAGAATAAGTGACGTAGCAATAGAATCTCCATGTGGGTGCAACCTTTAACACATCCATAACGTGAAATGGTGCTTTAGGTTAACATAGTGTATTTCTATGGTGAACACAGTGTTTCTGCTAAATTGGCTCAGTTCTTGACTGCTGATATCATAACTCATTGACCTATTTTTATGACATTTCAAGGACCTTTGTGTTGTTTAGCTATTTTCTCCTATCTCCTCTCATCCTAACAGATCCTAGCACTGAACACAAACACCTACCAGTCTGCTCGTGTCAAGGTGCCGATATCCATAACTGACCAATCAGGTATGCAGGTCATGACCTTTGACATTAATATTATCACATGAATCCCAAACCCGAGATTGCTTGAGTAACAGATCCTAAAACTCCTAAATAATTAACCTGATTCACTGCAAGTTGTTTTTAGATGCCTCTGGAATCTTCCAAAATCTAACACTTGTGTAATAACCAAGTTTCACATTCTACAGGACATCTAGCCTATGTATTGTGGTGTCTGGGCTATGCAGTCGTGAATCCATAACAAATCTTATGAAACCAGGCATCATTTTTGATAAGATGTAGGATGATAGTATAGCTTCCATGCAGAACATGGCAGCTGCAATGACAGCTGGATGTTATTAATACTCGGTGAATCAGTGAATCAGAGTCAGTCAGTCGGGGAGTCAGTCAGTCATTGATTCAGGCAGAGGACAACAGGCCCACCCTTCAAATCCAAAGCAAACATATTCAAATTAGAGTAAAATACTCAGACTCTCTTTTGTGCTACAATTTAACTACATGTACAACACTGCTAGTAAAATGTTTTGTACTCATAATTGAAAGCCTTTTCTACAGGGTGGTGCAAAAAGAAGGACACCCACTTTTGACAGGAATTTTAACTTACTTACTTACATGTAACTTATTTGAACTGGTTTTTTTTTTATAATGTAGTGAAGTATAGCTCTTTAACCATACATGGTGACAAAAATATTTTATCAAAATCGCAAGAAAGTGTTATTATGCTAATTTTAATACAAGTCGGCAAAATCACTGTTGTCCACTTGTACATGTAAGTCTAGTGCAGTGTTTTTTATCTTCAAATCAAGCTCTGGAGCTCAGTCAAGCAGATGGAATAAAGCCGTCCGCGGACAAACAGGTTTGGCACATGGAATTTTTAAACTTCGATATCTCAGAGACAAAAGACGCATTTTCAATCATTTTTTTCGTCACTTATGTTTAAAGATCAATGTTTTCATACCATTACATTGAATTTTTGAAATATGCTCAACAAGTACCAGTAGGTGAAAATTGCTGTGCGTTTCCTTCTTTTTGTACCACCCCATACTTGTGTAATTCTGTAACACTAATAAAAGATGATAGTTAGTCTCAATAGAGCAGAAAGATTGCATTGCCTACAGTTACACACAAGACGCAGAGTAATCCTAGAATCGGAAAAGCAGTCTGATAAATGTGCATTTGTCAGTACCAAATTCATTTGATTAAAACCACAAAAAGACAGTATAAAGCAGCCGCAAAAGAAAAGTAGCACTACTCACCCATCTGTGAGGATGCTGGTTCGAACCCCACCAGGACATTCTGCAGCGGGGTTACCTTGAGTTACTCCCATTGTTCAACTGGTATTGACAACCAATCTTGATAAAGCTCAGCAGCAGGGTACTCAGATTAACTGATGAGGTGACTCATTGACTGAAGACTCAACATACAGACAGGTGCCTAAGCTGGAATGATCCTTTCTACTTTTCTTTAATCTCTGTCAGAGCCGGCAACTTTGAGGCCATTTCTTTAATTTCCTGGTTTAGATCTCCTTTGATTGGCTGTTGCTGTCAACTGTTGTACTTTGTCATTCAAGTTGATTCTGAGACTGAGGCTTTAGCTCTTCACAGAATATTGCGAGAATTGTATAGTATAGCAACCAATCAGATGTTACCTTTTATGTATCCACCATGACATACATTAGTAGCTTGTCTCCTATTGGTGACCAAGTTACCAATAACTGAGAATCCCACAAACTATGAGGCAATACTAATTATTTGATGTTCAGTGATTAAAACAATCAGACAACAACAAAAAAATTGTCGCGTTTGAACAGAATCTGTGAACAAATTTGCCAAAATGAGTTTTTGGCAGTGTCTTGATTCAATTTGCCATGCGCGTTCTGATTGGTCACTTATTTGCAGTTCTTCCAGCAACACAATCACTGTTGAGACAAAGTATTCAGAGGAAGCGGCCAAATGCAAAGTCAACATTGTTCAGAGTTTCTCTGTCATCCATTCAGATGGTCTGGTCTGGTTTGGTGACGAAGATCCACTGAGATTTCGTGACCTGCATTCACAGAAGAGAATTCAGCGCTCCGGTGCACTTCTTGAATTGTGACTCTCGAATACGTTACTTCATAGGTTGTACAAAATCAGTGTTGGTAGATGTTGAGTTTTTGTAGCTGACTACGGCTACATATGCATGGCAGGTCAATCAAAAAAAAAGTTCCTGGTCTTCTTTTAATTTCCCCCTTACACTTTTCATAAACTCTTTGGTTTCGTACAGAAGCAAACAACCCAGTTCTGTTGCAATTCCACAAGTCCAATCCAGCTATGCAGCTAATATGAATCCCAGAAAACTGAAGTTGGTCACAATCATTGGTTGATGGAAGTTGGTTTCTTGCCGACTAAGGCTTGTTAACAGCAGGCTGTTTACTGGCAGATCTCTCATTCCATATTGAGTTCTTCAGATAGAACTTTTGAGCACTCCACTGTAAATCGTACATTCTTCAGCCCAGCACAGATACTATCAACCATTACCAAGAGCTCTACTCTCCAAAAACAAGTTATTTTTTCTCTGAATCTTTTCCCCGTCCTGAAAAAAACCTGCGGCAGTGACAGGCTTCCTTAGAAAGCATGACATGCAGACAAAAACAGGATGGTTAACCCTCAGGGGAACCAGTGGCTCATCTCGCTTAACTCCAAACATGAACCCACCGCAATGACATGTCTTTAAAGCCGTCAAGTCACAGAGGTTTAAGTGAAGCTCATGTGATAATGGCGTGAGTTCCTGACCACTGACCAGTCACTGTCACTAATGGTCAAGTGGCCAGAATTCTCAGTCCACCTTGTTAGTCTAGAGAGGAGAACCTACCTGTCATCACCAGGCAATGAAGCATCCTGTGATCAGCAACCTGTTGATTGGCCGTCTCATGCACACCTGTTTACCACTGTTTCCTAACTCTTTTTGATATACTCAACCTTGGAATGAGTCTTTTGTAAAAATGACATTACCAGAACGTCATCCTGTACTCCAAAGATAGTGCCTTAGGAACTGTTGGCACTACTCAGCAACACGTACTATAAATGCTCAACAACTACACAATGTTAAACTTGCACATACAGGTTTTAAACTCAAACTAATTATAGTCGGAATACTGGCATGACTTGCACTTCCACAGCACTAAAACAATTTGCAACATTCCCTGTACAGAGCCATTATATTTGGAGATGTCACAAGAGCATTACACTTTGCATTTTCATCTCTCTGTGTCACCTCTCTTACATGTTCTTTTATTCATTGTCCTTTCCGAAGAGTTACTGCTGTGCATTTAAAGTGCGTCAGATGAATTTCTCAACAACAAAATGAAAACATTTCCAGCCAAGAAAAAAATCTTGATAGAGGAATCGCAGATGCTTTGATAAGGGTTCATGAACAGATGTAAACTGTATGTAGTGGAAGTTTTGATGTGAACAAGCCGATAAGAATAATGCGTCGTGAGCTCCTTGCGTCAGGAAGAAGGTGATTATAAGTTGAAGAGTTCAGGGCTCAGAAATGTTTCAAGGAAAACCGGGAGACTGTGACAGCTGAGGAAAGAGGAAACTCATTGAAATTGATCAAATATACAGGAAAGATTTGCAAAGTTGAGGTGAATTGAAGAGGAAAAAATGAGGAAGGGAAATATTAGATTTATAACTTCTTTTTTTTTATAATTTTCTACTTTTGCTTTTTTTTATAATTTAAGATATTCTATATTATATACAAGTTTTAATATGTCAACCCACACGTACACTGTATATATTTGAACAAAACTGATGTTGCCTTACAAAATACTGTAATTATAGGCCAGTTCCATGTCATAAATATGTAGAATTTGATACACTTTTAAGCAAGTTTGGGACAAGATTCAATCCTTAAGAGCAAGAGTCAAAGCCTATTTTTTGTGTATTCCTCACTAGTTGACAAAGGTGTCATTGTTTTGTTTATATAAAATGTTCAAAGAGATGGGTCGGTAATTTATTGCCAATCTCTCCATCATTTCAAAGGATCTCCTGAGTCCTAAATGTTTTCTACATTCTCTGTTGGAAGAGTTTTTAAGTCCTCTGTCCTACATATATTGGGAAAGATTGTTAAATGACAACATTTTGCCACCGGTATTATTAGTTGAGAGCAAATTGAGATCAGTATTTGTAATGTCTGGCTGAAACTTTGTTCTTCAATAATTTGATCCAGATATTTTTACTCAGGTGACACACAGCACATTTGTTGATAGAAGCTTCAAATTGTTGCTTGTATTTATAGAGATATGTTCTTCGCAGGTTACTGATGATAAAGTTCGCATGTGCAAATGTCACGGATTTGTTTAGTATGTGAGAAAAGGTCAAAACATGACGCATTTCCTACCGTGCCCATTAAAAAAAGGAAATAAAGGAAAGTTTTGTAGCCTGAATTTGTTTCTTTGGAGATGAAAATTATGTACCTGTAGGTGCTTTTCATCAATTTGACTTCTGACAATGATTTTAGATTTTACTCTTGCAGCATACTCCTACAACATTCATTGAATCTCAACATGCAGATGTTTTGATTTTTTTTTCCCCCGCAGATGCCCCGAGCTACCTTGCCACGTTCTTCCTTAGCAACCACAATGTGGGAGACATGCTTTCCGCTGACCGGCAACAAGAGTTTCTGAATAGGTCAGCTTTGGTCTGGTCTACACAGACTCCCTTAGTCATCCACAGGCTGAGGCCGGCATCAGACTCAGTGGAGGCCGGGAACTCCACACCGACAGATCCCCAGGGAAGGGAAGGGTGAGTCATGGGGGGGGGGGGGCTTTGTTCTGAATTCCTGGATCAAAGGCACTGTCTTGTATTAGCTTGTACATCGCCCATAAACAAAGGAAACTCAGGCTTATAACATAGAGCTCCAAAGCACAGAAATATTTTAAGCACAGAATATATTTGCTTAGCAACAATAGGTTACCAGCTAAACTATCATGTAATGTATATTGCTCTTGGTTGGTTCCTGATTGCCCAAAGTTAGTTTCAATGGCTATTTTATACTTGAAGGGAATTTAAGAATACAACAATGCAAAACATCAAGTTTAAAAAACAGCTGTTGTTTACTGTTTAATAAGGTTTCACAACCACAAATTTGTCTCTTTCTTAAAATGGATGTATCCTGTTTTGGAAATAAACTCTTCAATTGGGCCTTGGTGTTGTGCCAGATTTTCAAGTGTCTTGTTTACAGTTTGTATAATGCTGTGTCTGCAATGGGCATTGCTTAGGGAGGGCTAGGGCTGTTCATCAGAGCCCACCTACCGGTATAGCCACAAAAGCCCCAATATGATCACCTCCTTAGGTATCGTCCTCCAAGAGTAAATTTCTTCCACTATACACGGTGCTGTTAGAGAGCCATGAAAAATTCACACTTAATGCATTGTTGTGTAGGACGGCCTCCTGCTTGCAAACAAAGATGTGATGCTGGACCAATACATCAACTGTCATTAAGTGATTTATTTGGTCATTTATGTTTACCGCCTCAATTCATTGTATGTTGTGGTGATACTGCATGCCCGTGGGCTGAGGTGCATTCAGAGCCCTCTGTGCACAGGGTATTTTCATTATTTATGTATCTGTTGCATGATCCATAAAAATGCATCGTCTGCTTTCCAAGTGGGAAGGAACTAATCTTAAGAAACATCCTCTTGCTTCTGGCATTAATGACACACTATCCGCAGTGGCTTTGGGGATTGACTAGATTTCTCCTGGCATACACTGGGACCGTCTTGTCTCAAAATGTCAGTCAAGATGGTATAAACCATCTTATATAATGCTGGGATAGTGGTATCACTGAATCACACAAAATAGTTGGACAAAATGACATAGCACAATCAATTTAGAGCTGTGCCATGGACTAAGAATACAGTTACAGTACATATATGAATGAGAAAAGGAAACTGAAATAATACCATCACAACTTTTAAAGTCTACGTTTTTTCACCCAAAATTCATTGCCTTAAATTCCATTGACTATTTCATTGCAACCCTAATTCTTCTTAAAAACAAGCTAAATTTGATTCAGCCAAAGCTGAACGCATTTTGCAAGCCTAATCAAGAGTATGCAAACTTGTGGGTAGATTTGGCATCAAAAATAGCTGTGTGACAACAGTAATCTCCATAGGCTATGGGTTATGATATAATGCTTCGGAATAACACAGTTTTGTTTCTACTAAAGTAAGCTTGCATAGTAGAGACTCCATTCAATTTTCCCCAGACCTGATCCTCATTTATCCTGTCAGCTTTATCTCCCTAATACTCTTCCGTTTTCGTATCACAATGTTTTATTTTGCCATTTCTTTCCTTCAACAGCGTCTATGTGAGTGTAGGTTCCACGACGCCCTTCTCCACAGAATTACTCCGAGTCCATTCAGAGGCGTCCAGTGACTGCATCAATGGGGCTTACGTGCCGTTTAAACTGGCCGATGCGTTCAAGCCAACGTTTGAGGTTGACTGGTGCCGCTTAGAACTGGTACGTGAATCCCTAAGATTTATGCTAGAAATTAGAATTCTTATTCTGATTACCTAATCTTCCATCGAAATTCAATTATCTTATCTAACAAGCAAATGGTATGTGTTATGAAACATCAATATTGATTTTAGTAATGAAAAGAATCTGGTTTAAAAGTTATGAAGATATATGTTTACAGGTTGAATGTTATCTTGTAAATTAATGAAGAGATATCTAGATTTTGTTGGACATGCAGTTGCTGACCAGACGACTGCAGCTTATACTCGTTGTGAGTGTGTTTCACAAGTTTGCTCAGACCCGGGTCAAACAATATCATTTGCCCCTACATGTTCATCTATATGAAAACACTACAGTCAAACCCTGATAAGAAGAGCACTGTTAATACAAGGTCCTGCTTATAACAAGCACAATTTTAGAACCCAAGTCTTTGTTTTCCTTTGTTTTCCTTTGTTTTCCATTACTGTTAATACAAAGTACCTGCTATAACAATGTAATTTTGTAAAGTCCCAAGGACCTTGTTATAAAGGTATTTGACTGTATATATTGCCAAGGTCATGACCTGGGTCAAGTCGTGTCATCAGGGTTCGTCACTGAACAGTCATCCTCCACAAATTACACAGATAAGGTCAATCAACTATTGTCGTGTTTATCCATTGTCTGGTGTTTCTATTTTCAGACCCAGACAGACCAGTCACCCGAGACAGACCCCTCCTCAGACCCCAAGCCTGTGCCCCTGGGGGGTGAATACATGCCCCCAGCGCTGACCACCGAGCCCCCTAATCACCTGGTGGAGTTCTTACTTATCGTCGTACCTCCTCTGGCCGTGGCACTCATCTTTGTCATTGTGCTGGGTTTCCTCATGTGTAGCTGTAGGGGGAGCTCGTAAGTATCTAGACCTAAATACTAACATTGTTTTATTGGAAGAGACCATGGCTAATTTAATGGTGATGCCTAACAGTGAAAAAAATGAGCTAGATCACAAACTGTTTGCTAATCTTAAGCATATTTCATGACTCAGATGTGCTGGCAGTTGTGGGCACACAATGATTTCTATTGTATCATTAATTTACAAGCAGGAGGCAATGGAAGTCAACAGGGTAACTCTGTCGTGAAAAGCTCTACCACTAGGAAGCATCGACAGCCACATTAGGTAGTCTTGCTCCAAACTGTAAACTGGTTGGACAGATCCTGTCTCCATGATTCATGTTGTAACACGGTCATCCAATCAGACCACAGAGTCAGGGCAGGAAGAATAATCATTGTATAGATGAAATCTCAGAACATTGGAAGTTGTCGCACATCCTCATTGATGTAGTCAGGGTTCCAGCATAAAAAAACCTGATTTCTAAATATAATGTGTTTATTGGGAAATCTATCAAAAGTATCTAAGAATAGCAGTCGTTTCATTTATGTTTCTTTTCATAATGTTGATACTATCTGTCCTATTTTGTCCATAGGAAACACATAGCAAGAACTCCTGAGTAAGTATATCTGTACTCTCCTGTAATTTCTTACCAACTGACCTTTGTTTATTGGCCAGCAATGTTCTTTTCTACAAACCAAAGTGTAGTGTGTGAATGTATTTTCTTTACTACTAAACCTCACCCTGACAACAGACTAAAAATAAACTTACTTCCAGGTTTAATCTATAAAATAATTTGCCTCGATGTGACCATCTGCTAGTTGATGTAAAACAAATTTCCACTAAGATGATTTTGTTTACTCGATTTTCATTAAATTGAGACTAAGTAACATCTTTAGTTTCTTGGTTAGCTTCGTGGTAATGTGGATCTGTTGCCATGTGCAAATGACATGGCTACAGCTTCACAGTTACACACGCGCCTGTGGAAGTGGCCAAAGGCACTTCCCATAGATAGGTGTGTAACAGTCAGCTATAGTCAAGTAATTCAGACGTAGCCTGCAAATGTATACACACACAAAAACGGATACCTCATACTCAAAGTTGGCACCACTGGTTTCCTGAAAGCTCTAATGGTGTTGATTGATGGAGTACCAGTAGGCATTGTTAAGGCTCCATGTAAGTTCAATTTTTTTTAACCAAGGTTCTGGTAAAGTTCTTCAGTCTTTTTTTTTTTACTAAGCTTCCAAGTCTTATCTCCTTTTGCAAAACCCTACAAATCTAATTTTAGAGACAAATCCTGGATCTGTATCCATGGCAACATGTCCCTCTGAATACTCATGGCTTCAGCAAAATTGAAAGATTTTAGAAGTTTCTTCATGATTGCTACATGTCTTTGATACAGACAAGAAGTGTTACTAATTTGCAAACAGAGACTGACATTTATGTTGCGCATTTGTTCTCATCACATCATTACATTAGATTGTATGCGACATTTCATTGCCATGTTTACAGAAACAGCACATGTTGTGTTGTGCTCATAGCAGCCGCCCACTGGAAGATTTTAAACTGATATCAGAGGTTTTTACATTGGTCATTGATGATCAAAAGTCTGTCGAAAGTATCTCTCCTACTAAAGAGAACTCAGGGATAACAACTGTTGCACACTGTAAAAATGTAACACTCAAGCATCAACAGTTTTAATATTGATGCTGATTATTTTGACAAACTGCATGGATTGAGACCTCCTGCTCAAGATGAACAGTGCCCCCTGTTGTTGCCTTTGGCTCACAGCTAGGTCACCAGTTTATATCCATTACTCACGTTGCCATGACCGTATCCTGACAGAGGAAGTATAGGTCCTTATTAAATATCCTCCATGCTGTGACATTTGCGCTGGTCCCCCGCTTGCCTGACTATACACTTTGAAATATCACGAGTCGGTACCGTTGAAAAAATGAATTTTTATATTGCTGTCAGACGTTTTGCGGAGAATGAACTTTGGATGTTGTTTTGAAGATTGACATGAACTTTATTGGAAGTTATTTTTGCAGCGACTTGATGTAGCTTTAGGCAATGCAATCATCATTTGCCCTCCTCTTTTTTGATAGTAAACAACAAGGGACTGGCCTAGCACTGGTGCCCGTCACTTTGAACTGGTTCCTAATAGATTTAGATGCCTTGATATTAAGACTGACTAGACCTATTAGTATTTGAAGGCTTTTTTTTGGTAACAGCATGACCTTTATCTGTCATTGTCATTTTATACAGGCACTTAACCAGTTTGTCAATTTGAGAAATTAGAAGTTCAGCAACAGCTGTATTTATAGGAATTTCTTTTTTTTTAAAGAGAAAATGCTTTGAACCAGAAATGTCATGTTTCAGACATTTTGTCGGGAACAAAAACGTTTAAGACATTTCTGGTACCAAGTGAAAGGAAGCAATTTAAAAGAAAAGGGTGGGGCATAATATGAAGTGTTTATCATCAGTGAAGTCTTGCAAGGAGTAAGGTACAAGTGTGACTTTTCAGCAACTTATATTATGGCTTTATACTTGTAGATACCCTTGGAGAAAACAGTAAAAGTTCAGGTGTTGTTTCTTTCATGTGAAATCCATATGATACTTTAATGGCGAGCAAAGGGAGCCTGAATTTGACTGCCAAGTGAAGCTTAAGCCGTGTTCCCATTGGACTTTTTCTTCAGCGGCCACGCGGAAAGTTATCGTGACTGGCTTTGGTGTAATTCTACCGTGCGTTCCCACCTGGACTTATATTCCGCGACGGAACGGTTCATTCGCTGTTCGAGACTGGCAGAATGTCACACATTGCGGGCGCTGTGCACAGTCACCTTTGACCTATGCGGGATATGACGTGCCTGTGACGTATTTTTCTCGCGCTGAATTTAGTCGGCTACGTCATTTCTCCTGTGCCTTCATCAGCATTTTCACGTTCATCTAGCCCAATTAAACTCCTCACAAAATCGATCAAATCTGCCATGTTTCTAACTAGTAAAGTAGCGAAACTGCAGCAGCTGGACGAGATTGAAAAAAAGCGCTGCAGCTGAGCGTAGTGCATGCTACACACGCTGTGTACGGTACGATGATAATATCACACCGCCATCAGTGCAAACGAGACAGGGAACCATACTAACATTTTCGCGCGAATTCTGTGTATACAGGAAGTGTTGTTGTTTGCATAGCATTTTACAGCGTGGACACGGTAGGTTTACAGCGCGGAGCGTTCCCATTGGACTTTTTAGCGGCCCTGTTAAGTTACCGTGGCTGCGCGGAAGTCTTCCGCGTCCTCTTTCGGCCTGTTAGTTTTACATCACGGTCGCGGTAAGTTGACAGGGACGTCAGTTTACCGTGTGTCCCCATTGGATTTAATTTTGTCATTCTACAGAAAAGTCGCGGTACTTTAACCAAAAAAAGTCCAATGGGAACACGGCTTTACGCTCAAGAAGCACCAAAATCACAGTGAAGTTCATGTACCGAATTAGTGGTAGTACCGTGTTAATGTTTAATAACTGTTATCTTATAAATGACAACATACCAGGTGGAATTATCCCATAGGACGATTACATACCAGCCCTAGCTTTAGTTCATGGATTTTTTTTTAATTTGAGAATGAGGTTTCAAGTTCCAATTGGCCTGTTAGGCACCATCTGTCCACAGGTGCATGCCATCAACAGGTGATGGGTGAATGAGTCAAGGAGCTTGGAGCCGTCCTGATACGGACTAACTAGCTTCTGATACTGAATCACGGCAATTTGATCGCTATAGAAGCTCCAATCTGATCAGACTTTCTAGGGCAGACAGGTTGTCAATGAAAGCTGCAGTTTGAGATTTTGTTTGAGGTTTTGTTTCAGGCCCTTAATATCGTCCTACCCATTTGCCTTTATTAAAAGAAAATAGTTCTAAAGGAATTGTTTTAATAAAACAAAGATGGTCCATTTTCCCAAGCCAAAATTAACAAAACAATTAAAATTACTAAATCAATTTCACAAACCTCTCAACTGTATTTTTTTATGAAAATGAGACCTCGAGTGGTAACAATCTACATGTAGCTCCACTAGTAACAAATCCGGTCTTGTTATTGTTTTAATCAATTATCCTTGTTTGTTTACTGTCATAATACATGCTTCCACCCTATTACACTGATTCTGCAATCTCTTTTTCCCCTGCACTTTCACAAAAGCCCGACTTACTTCAGGTTGGTATGGGACAGTTCTGCACAATTCTTGCATGTTTTTTCCTCATTTTTGGTAGAATATTTTTTAGGTAGACTGTGGACTGCCCATATCAGAATAGAATCAGACAAGAGTCACATCTGTGATTAAACTTCAATTGTTGTTCTTATACGAGACTAATGTATTTGTGTTTATAAAAGTACAAATACAAACAAAGCGTAAAAGCTACGTAAGATAGGGGTTATAAGGACTGTAAAGTGAATCAAAAGAGGACATTCATTGACTGATAGATCCGAGTCAAGGTGCTTTTTTGAGGGGAGAACATCATCGGAAAACGTTTGTACTGCTACATCCAGTTGTAATTTCAAATAAAGGGTAATTTTTGCTCCTATTGGAGGGATGAAGTGTAATTATCTCAAAAGAAATCTTGACATTCAACTACAGAACTCAAACCATCGACCAATGCAATGAGCAGCTTGAGCCACATGCTGTCAGCTGATTGGTCAAAGCATGAGCCAATCACAAGCTAGATCTCCCTGGGAATGGTCTTGGATGGACAAGGCCCAACCAACATTGAAGTTATTGTAAAGGAAGGAAAAAAGTTGTGTTTTTAAAAATCAGCTTGTGCTGAACACTGGTCTGAATTGTCAAATCAGTTTATGTCATTTGCATAAAATAAAGCTGACCTTTGACCCAAAATATAATTATGACAAAATCAAAACCACTGTCTTGTGAGTCTAATCACATGACTTGAATCCACTGCTGGTTTTTTTTACTTGAAGGCTTGCGCACTTCATTTTGAATTAGGCATGTTTACTTGTTCATGCAGGAACCATAGCTTGTTGTAAATGCTGTCGCTGTGCAGTGACAGCATTTTCTTAAAAAAAAACAATTTCAAGTGACATGAAGATTCCATCATGTTGTAATTGAAGTGACAACTCACGAAGAGCATTTCCTGCTCAGTTTCACTCATATAATCACTCAACTAACAACATGGATAATGAAAACAAACAGGTGAACAGGTGTTGTTGACAAATGGCTTGATCTGAAACAGTAGATTCGGTAGATTCATGGCACCAAAAATCAGCTTTTTAAAAAGAAAAGGGGGAAATGGATGGGTTACATTTGTTCATATGTCTAGCCTACTAACGCCATGGTCAGACCAAGATTTAACATTGTTGATATTCTTAACATAATCTTGATTTTTCATTTTAATTTTTTTTCTTGCACACAGTTAATTTATTTGTCAAGTTCTTACATTTAAATGGATACTTTATCCATTGTATTTGTGTTTCCAAATCTTTACAGGTTTTCTATTTCTTGTTTTGTTTGTTTGCATTCTGTTGGTTCTTTAGGTCTTTTTCTTCCATTAGATTATTAAGAACTGTTGCCTTTTCCTTTTTTTTTCTCTTTATGGTTTAAGTGGTACATGTGGTTTCCTTCCAATTTTCCCCCATTTTTTTATCAAGATTTTTTTTTCAGATTTTGTATATTGCAGTTTTAAGTTTTTTTCCTTTTTTTTTGTCTTTGTGTTTGATGTGTTTGATTGGTTAATTTTATGATTTTTACACCACTTTTTTTTTTGTGTTTGGAATTTTTTTTTCACTTAAAAATTTTCCATGATTCATTAATGTTTTAATCGGTGATAATACAACTTTGAACATGACTGATTAATTGCATCATTCAGTTTTGGGGTTTTTAACTTGAAACAGAAGTTTCCTTCAATACGTTTTAAGACTTGTACGAAGAATTCATAATCAAACACAGAAAATGACCCCTTACACTGTGTAAGCCAGCCACATGTTAGGGCTAGATGCAATGAAAGCATCAGTTATAGGTTCAAAGTGCCCCTATAACTCTGTTACACACGTGCAGGCATGCAATCCTGTACAACGATGATAGGAAATCAACACTGACACTTTACAGAAGTCATGTTTGGAAAAATGACTAACTATGAAATTTGTACTTGAGTTCAACTTTCAACTGGTAATCTGTACATCACTGCACAGTCCCTAATTGTTATAGAAAGTCTTCATTGGCAATAAAACTAAAAGGGTTTTCTTAAAATCAGAACAAAAGTTGAGATATCTCAAGAAGTGTTTTGCTTCGCTCCCTAGAAATCTTTAGACAAGAACATTTTGCTTTGAACATGAATTATTTGCACATATCACAAAATGTGTTAAAATTATATTTGGCAGTGTGCCAAATTTACACACATGCAACCTTTCCTCGGATCAGCCAATTTCCCTGTTTTTCACTTCACACTGATACCATTAAAACTGGAAACATACTGTGTAAAGTCTTATAAAGCTTGAAAGTTCCTCTTTTTTCTTAACATTTTCAAAATTGTATGCCTGAATTGAGGTTGTGGTTTTCTGGGACTTACCCCTTTGCCTTGGCCTTGTGCCCACCCCTCTCTGCAGAATACAGCTGACCCATCACCAGGGTATTCGTCAGGCCAGTCGTCAGTTGAGGGCACTGTCAAATCGTCGCGACGGAGGTCCTTCCTCCTCACCGACTACTCCGATAATCCCCCACGGCGCTAATCCAGCTGTTAGTAGCGTCCAATCCTCACCACGACATCACATACAGTAAGTCCTGATCAACAGAATGCAGTTTTGTTTAGGAACGATCAGTTTTTGTTTTTAATCAAAACATATATAGCAGGAATCAAAAGTAAGGCTGGTGTTGTATTCGAGGTGAATCAAATCACATTTATTTCCTCTTCATGACAGAAATGAAAAAATAATATAAGTATTGAAACAAAATATGAAGGCCGCTACAGGTGGCAAAACCTTAAAAGCATAGCTTGTATCCAGCATGCCATTACACAAAACAGACAAATATAAACAGAAAAAAAACAATTACACACATGTATAATTCTAAGCAGTAAACAAAGTTATGAAAAATAATATTAATAATGGGCTACGAGTAGGATCGCTGTGCATACAGAGTCCAATGGCAGAGGCACATTACATATAAAATATACCACATTACATAAAGTACAATTTAAGTTTGCGTTTGAAAATATTATAAGACCTTAAACATCTGAGAGAGAATGGTAGATTATTCCATATTTTAGGTCCGGAGTATTTAATGTTATATTGAAAGGCAGATGTTCTATGTTTTGGTTTGTGGAAATGTAAGTTAGTAGACACACGAGTATTATAGTTATGTAAATTGCAGTTAAGTACTTGGTGTAAACATGTTTGAATTTGAAATGGGCAGTAAATTGTTTTTAAACTTGTACATAAATAGTGCTTGTCATGGGTCACAAGTAATTATAAATCCATCACAAGTAATCACAAGTCCATCACAAGTAATCACAAGTAATCACAAGTAATCACAAGTCCATCACAAGTCCATCACAATTCCATCACAAGTCCATCACAAGTCCATCACAAGTCCATCACAAGTCCATCACAAGTCCATTACAAGTCCATCACAAGTAATCACAAGTCCATCGCAAGTAATCACAAGTCCACCAAGTGACCATCATCAATCAATCACAAGTCAATCACAAGTCATCCAGTCTCAAGTCGAGTCACAAGCTATTGACTAAGGTATTCCTTTGTTATTGTTTATTTCTGATACATGTGACTGGACATGTGAACTGACATGTGAATTACTTATGACTGGACGTATGTCACAAGTACCTTGACTACATTACTGACTAAGGCTATGTTGACTGAGTACTTCGAATGAGTAGAAATACGAGTGCTTGAACTCACTTGAACAGGTATGCAAGAAATGTCCAATTTTTGTTAAAGGACTTGGACTCGGACCCAGTCCGAGTCTTATTGTAACAGATACTTTGAGATTTTGACAGTGTTTTCCTCATACACTCAGCTTCCAACCCATTGGAAGTCAAAGGTCACAGACCACATCCACCCTTTTTTTGGCTTAATTCATACTTTAATGTCTTGTTTTACACATACATTGTACTTGTAGGTCCCTGATAAAGAACGAAGACTACAAATTGATAAAGTCAATAATTCCTCATTGCATGACTACATGAGAGCTGAAGCTCTTGAAGCTAATTCTCCAGTTGTCTATTTTTTATTAACTGTGTGGGGGAACAAGTGACAATAAACTGTCACAACTCATTTTGACATAATCTGGATCCTGCACCAGACTTGGTCAGACGTGCTCTCTGAAGAAATATCTGCCAAAAGCGCTATTCAAAGCGATACGTTTGTGTGGGTTTTAGTTCAGCAGTTGTTGGTGATGACAGGCATGTACTTGTAATCCTGAGTGAAGTGCCCACTTCCTCTGCCTCTCACATCCTCCCCCCCCCCCCCCAATCCTCCAGCTGCTCATGTCTCATCCAAGACATCATTTGATCTACATGGATTGTGTATGATTCTTGGATGTATGGCAAATGTGACCCCTTATTTCAGTTGACATTCACTGATATAGGGAAACAGGTTGGTGTTTGAATCTATACGTCATCACATTAACTAGTAACTGCATTTTGGAACTTTTATACATACGTAGTACAAGTTTAATAATTAATTACAAATTAACTTTGCGATATTTTGGGAGAAAAAAATGTGGTGACTTTCTTTTTTCAACATATTCAGTTTGTGCACCTGGCACTTCTACCCTCCTTCACTCTTTCAAATCATTCCTGTGCCCCTGCAGGCAATATTACACCCAAGGATAACACTTCCAGCTTCCAGTATGAAGCTCTTAATCTTATAATGTGACTGAAGCTCACAGACTTCATACACCCCCAGCACCACTCGCAAGCTTAAACCAATATACAAAAACACTCACCACGCATAGCTCTTGAGATCTTTTTCTCCAGTATGCTACAAACATCCAGCTTCTTCTGAAGAACCTCTATTCACGTATGTCCACCTCAGACACAACCTTGACATTTGCCAGCTCTAGCTAGATGCCTCATACCATCAGCCAAAGTCTACATAAATTCACTCTCGCTTGCCTACTTTGTAGGGTTTTTTTTTTACTTCGTATGTGACCACCTGTCTTCCTGCTACCATTTGGATATATCCTGCTGAACTGACGTCAAAATCTGGGAGCGGGGTACTAAAGAAACCCCCTTTCTGCTTGCGTCGTCAGCTCTGTTTAACCTGGGTTTGTGACTGGAATCTGTGACCTCTTACCCCAACTGCTGGAAACCGCGAGTCGCTATTTTATAAGGTTTCCTGTTTCCTCTATTAGTCGGTGATTCGCTAGGGACCGCTGTCATACAACCAAGACTATTTATATATACTCTCCAGATCTGAAGATAACCAGAGTTGTTGCTCCTTCCTCCAACCAATACTGATAGGGGGTACCTTAACGGAGAACCTTTTATTCTAAAGCTAGTAGGCAGGACCAAGATGATCAAATGCCAGCTGTGTGATATTAATTGTCAATTGACGATGCTATAAGAAATCGGTAAATGAGAGAAATTGCAATCACCCGATTGGCTCTGAAAATTTGAAATTAGATATTTACATCAGGCCTTTCTTCTATATTTGTAAAATCTCAGTGTGAGCTGAGCTTCATTTGTGGTGGTTATAAAATTTCAAATTAATGACACCAATATTTTAGCTGAAAATACACATTTTAAATTCTGCTATCAAAAATGTTTCCTTATGAAATGAATCAGTTATCAAGATTTTGGTTTCCAATTTTGCCTTGAATGGATAAACAGCTGTCTAAGTTGCTAATTTTTTTATCATTAAGCATTCCAACAACAAAATTCATATCTTGTTGAGAATGTCTTTGAAAGTGACTTCTTCATTCATTTAGTCAGCAAGTTGGGATAAATTGCTCACAGTAAAAACAAAGTCACAAAATAATGTGAAATGCTTCCAGACAGCTGAAGTCTGATTGCGATGATCATGTAGTTCTTTAAACAAAAGCCAAGTTTAAGTGTTAAACTTTAACATCACATTGTGTACTTGTAGGTAAATTCATTATGAAACAGAATGTTCAGTTTTGGGGGGGTGTTACCCGCGAAGTTGTTTTTCTTTTCCTAGCTTAAACAGAAAAATTGTCAAACGCCATAACTACTTCCTTGTAAAAACACGGCAGAAAGTAAGCGGTGTTCAAGATTTGTTCTAAAATAAAACACACAGGTCATTGACCTTTAAAGTGAATGTGATTATTAATGTTTCCTCGACGTTTGTCTGCAGCAAGCAACTCACCGTCCTTCCTTGCCTGAGTTTGACATTAATGACACGGCATATCATGATCAGGATTGTGTGGGGGCTAGTCAAGGGGGATGTACTCTGTGCAGACCGACATTTCGAGTCGCCATCTATTTATAAGGGATTCATCATAGCCTAAGAAAGTTAACCCTAAAAATGGCACCATTCTTTGGCTGGTAGGGCTGGAGTATGAGCCTTACACTGTTCTCAATTGGAATCGTACAGTGATACCAATTAATAAATGAATCCAGAATGAACCTCGCATGGGACCAGTTTTGACTGCTGATCTGCAGGCCAATAATGATTCTTGAAACCTCTTTTCCTCAGAAATTTGACTTGTTACCTATTTTTGTGAAGTCAAGTGGGACTTTTCTATGCTTATTCAAGCAGTGTGGCCTAGGTTCAGAACCTACATTCTATTTTGCCAGCCATCAAAAGTTACCAGTATATGTAGCCGTGTTATTTTGTTTGTAAGTTTGGGGTTTGTTTTCGGATGCAGCATCACGTTTTGACTGTCGGACACTGCAATGTAAATATGTAGCCAAAGTCAAAGATACAAGTTTGTAAGTTGCCTATGGATGACAAAGTCAATATCCCGGAATGATAAGGCCATGTTTTAGAGGTCCCAATGGCCATTCTAGCATGCTAGCCAACCGATATTGCACAGTATTTATAACCATGCTTTATCTTGACATTTGCATCAAGGTGCCAGACATGTATGAGTCATCACACCCAAGTAGACATTCATTTCAACTAAAGGGAAATCCTTCCACTGTCCATAAATAGTTGGTTTTGGGACACATTTTATTTTGTATCCTTTCGATGTTATCATCAACTGACTTAAAGAGGTTGTGGAATGCTCGAAGACATTTCCGTCATTTTTGGGGTATATGTAGCCTAAGGTGTCGTGAAATAAAAACGACTATTGTTTCTGTCATGAAATGAGTACAAAGGGTACTTTTGAGAGCTATTTTTCAGGTCCTGTTTCGACCCGAACGTGCAATTTGTGTAAAAGTCGTCATTGCGGGCAGCAAACAAAACACAGTAAATCGTGACGTAATAAACAGGACTCATTTATGCTACTCTGCATCGGGAGTCCTGTTTATTACGTCACGATTTACTGTGTTTTGTTTGCTGCCCGCAACGACGACTTTTACACAAATTGCATGTTTGGGTCGAAACAGGCATGACAGGACTTGAAAAACAGCTCTCAAAAGTACCTGTTGTACTCATTTCATGACAGAAACAATAGTCGTTTTTATTTCATCACACCTTAGGCTACATATACCCGAAAAATGATGGAAATGTCTTCGAGCATTCCACAACCTCTTTAAGGAAGGTTCATTATGTTCATATCCAGAAGGAAAGTCAAAGCAAACTCTTGATATTCTCTCTCCATTGTTTAACCTAAAGCAGACATATTTTTATCCATTACTTTTCATATTGTTTCTTTTTCAGTGATCCTGACGCATTGCCCATGACAAGCACCCCACTGTTCAGTCGTACATCTCCGCCCCCATATCGTGTCCCACCCCAACACCCATCCACACCAACCACCCCAGGTCATCAGGAGACTAGCTTCAAGTAAGTAGATCACAGTCTGCCTGTTATCAGTTTACAGAGCCAACTCTAAAAGATAGAGTAGATCATTTGCAGCCATCCAAAAAGTAACTGATCAAATTATTGTTACAAAAATAACTAGGTCTAAGGATGGTAATGGCACTAAACTCCCTGTGAAATTATTTAGTTCAGTCCGTGACATTGCGTACTGTAGCTGCAATCGGCTGAATGAGAACCTGTTCCAGATGCTGATTTTGGGCGCAATTCAAAATATGACTTGGCAACTTTTGATTTGAAATTGAGATCCTAGAATTGTTTTGTCGGAATATACAGCATTCACTGAGCTAAAACTTCATCAGGTTAGTTGTTGAGCACCCTCTTTACATTTTGAGCACTTTTCTTGCTTCAAATAAAACAAATGCATAATTGACAGATTATGTACTCCACCATTAACAAATTAAACAGAATGAAAACCAATGATCATTGCTATAGTTCACGGGCTACTCTTGAAACTACATTGAAACTGTGTGCTTCAGGTGACTAGGGGAGTCAGGTGACTAGGGGAGTCAGGTGACTAGGGGAGTAAGGTGACTAGGGGAGTCCGGTGACTAGGGAGTCAGGTGACTAGGGGAGTCAGGAGACTAGGGGGGTCAGGTGACTAGGGGGGTCAGGTGACTAGGGGAGTCAGGTGACTAGGGGAGTCAGGAGACTAGGGGAGTCAGGTGACTAGGGGAGTCAGGTGACTAGGGGAGTCAGGTGACTAGGGGAGTCAGGTGACTAGGGGAGTCAGGAGACTAGGGGAGTCAGGTGACTAGGGGAGTCAGGTGACTAGGGGAGTCAGGTGACTAGGGGAGTCAGGTGACTAGGGGAGTCAGGTGACTAGGGGAGTCAGGAGACTAGGGGAGTCAGACTCCCATTTCAGACAGGTGCTCAAGAGTCACACCAAACCAAATAATATTTTGCTTCCAGACAGGCAAACCTTATGTATTTTCCACTGACTAGAGTGTGGACTCATTTGACTAACTGCAGCAATTGATCTTTTGTTTGAAGTGTGTCCTTCTTATTTTAAATAGCTAACTCAATTCCCATCTTGAGAATAATGTATTCAAATGTAACTCTGAAACACCTGTCCGAGGTGGGTGAAAGACCCCATTGTTTGATCTAGCTTATATCAACTTTTTCTCTCTTGTTTTCATTGTTTTTTCCTTTTTCTTTTTTTGAATTGCTTGTTTGCTACGAGTTGTTTTAATCTCCATAACATAGTTGGTAAGTCAGACACTACCAGTAAGCCGACTGTGAACTGCTACTGTGAATCGTTGTGTTTGAAGCCAAGATGACATTTCATTTAAGGGAATAAACATAGATTTCTTTTTACGGCTTGCAAAAAAAACCTAAAGTCTTGTCCTTGTTGTTTTTGTTTTCAAACAGTGACCCATTTGACAGCAGGAGACTGTCTGAACCAGGAAACCCTAGAGGTAATTCCAGATCTGCCAAATTGATTTTAACTTTCTTTTGTTTTCAGTCAGTTAATTATCTTCATTTTAGCCAAGGTTTTCTTGATTATTGCCAAGGTTTACTTAACTTTTGGTTACCAGAAGTCCTGAGTTTTGCCAACATGCACAAACTGCTTCAGTAGACATGTTAAAATAATAGAGAGTGAGGTAGTTTATCAAGCTGAGGAGTGCAGATTGATATGTTTCAGACCTCATTATTACGCCTGCTTATTACAAGCTAAGAGTCTTGAATAGCAACATGAAACTTTGACCCCAAAAATAAAGAACCTACAAATGTGTTTGTATAGAGTCTGTAGCAATTCTTTGCAAAAAGTTTGGGGTTTTACCAAAATTACTTATTTCCCCTCTTCATAACTTTGGCTGTGACATCCTCATCACTCAACCTGTTACTCTAAAGAGTTACATCTCACTTTTTCTTTTCTTTTTCTGCCTTTTCCCTTTCCTGAATAAAATATCATTGCAAACCATGTTCACTATGACCTTCACTACCATTGTAGAATTCCAAACAATCACCATAACAACCACCACCATTATCTCCACAATCGCCTTCATCACTCTCCACCTCAGCATCTTGTTTCTTCCTCCTCACTTCCCCAACATCCTCTAAACTTTCATCATTTCCAAAGTCTTTCTATCATACCCCTACGTTATTTAATCTTGAGTCCATCTCCCGTGTCCGCTTTTCTAATTACCCATCTTCATTGTTTCCAATTGTACAATTTTTTTTTCTAACTTTCTCATGTTTTCCACCCGACTCTTGTTCTCTACATCTCTGTTTCTCACACTCACCCCTTTTACCTTCTTACTTGAATCTCTTAATCTGTTCTTGCTTTTCTCTTTTCATTCATCCTACCATCTACCATTATCCCAACTGTCCAGGCCTGAAACCTCACTTTAAGATGCGGGACTTAGCTCTAACATTCTGACCATCCAGTGGGTCAGTTTGATCGTTTCTTGGAGAGTTAATAAAAATCATATTTTTTTCATTGACAAAGCCAGAATACTTTATGGTTTAGAAAGGTTTGTTATAGTGCCCTGTTTGGGAATTCTTCAGTTGTAGTTTTGGCCAATTCATTTGTTGTTTTTACTTTGCTTTACTGATTAGTGGAAGATTTTTTTGCAATCATTGGAAATAAGTCAAAATGAAAGAAATGCCAGCAAGGCAACTGTCACCTTTCATATCTGCAGAGATTATCACGTCTTGTGTAGAAGCATGTCAACATGACTCCATTGTAAGGCATGGGTGTGTCTAAATGTCAAACACTTCCTGTATGTTACCCCTTTCCTCTCCACATAGACTTTAGTTCCCCTGTTTAGTCATCCCACATGATTTCGGTTACATTTTTTCCTGGGGGTTGGAGTGGGGGTTTGGGTTGGGTGGGGTTGGTTTATGTCTGAGAGAAGCACACTCTCTGTCAAGCTGATTTTTAGGTGGCAATTCAAATTTTACGTACAGCTTACTGAACTAGAAAGTGCAATTTGTAATTTGCATTGCAAATGACGCATATGGCGTAAGATTTCTACTGTTCCATTTCTTTGAAATGGTGACTCATTTGGTAGTTGGTTGCATGACTGTAGACAGAGAGTCTTGTTACCAGGTGTTCCATTATTTTATTTTTGTTTGGCTGTACATGAGAACTGTTAAACTGGCTTGTTCATGTGCCAGTCTAAGGGCCAATCACTATCTTCGGTTTTGGACTCCCAGTAATCCCACATTTTCAAGCTAGATCATCCGACCTTTGTCCAAAGTGGTTTCCTGCAGGGTGGAAAGTGTGTCAAAGCCATTCCGTTGTCATACTTTGTCCCGATTTGACTTGCGATTTGACTTGCGATTTGACACTTGATTTGACATGTGATTTTTCTTGCAATTTGACTTGCGACTTGACTTGCGACTTGACTTGCGACTTGACTTGCGACTTGACTTACGACTTGACAATTATTGGGAGAAAAATGCTTGGAAGGCTTCTGAGACATCTCAGAAAATGATAAAATATTGTATAAATATAACGGCAACCCAAAGAGGCTGATCACCAGTTGGGGACGAACTAATTAATCTAACATACATGGATGTTGATCACGGCCAACGGGGCTATTTAAATAACGGACAAGGGGACCATTTGTGTGCAAAATCAGAAAATAGAAATACTTGAAATATAATGAACGCTTCTTTGCTTACAAAATAATTAACCAAAGGAGAGCACGCAAAGTGATCAGAATAATATATATTTTAAAATGGCTAGTTTCCGACAGAGCAAATATATGGATTTGGGACCACTATGATGAGATACCGTAGTCTACTAGTAAGCACAGTAAAAACTACCATGGGTGCATTAGGATAAAGAAAATTGGAACGGGGTTACGTACCCTCAAGACTATGCAGACCACTGAACCCTTTGAGTGAAGTAATGGTGGTGGTGATGGTGCGAAGTAAAGAACATAGTCATCATCATTCTCATTCTCAGCCGTTATCTGCCCACTGCAAGGCAAAGGCCTCGCCAAGCTGCTGCCAATTGGTCCTGTCCTGTGCCGCTCTCAGCCATGTAATGCCCATAAACTTAACAATCTCGTCTCTCCATCCTGTTGTCTGTCTTCCCTGACTACGTGAACCTGTCTCCCTTGGTCTCCACTCTGTGCACAGTTTTGTCCCTCTGTTGTCATTTGTTCAGGCCATATGCCCTGCCCAGCTCCATTTTCTTTTCTTAATATGTTCTTTGATGTCTAGTAGTTTTGAACATAGTGTCTTGCACATAAACTAAGACAAACTAAACTAGGCTTCCACTTCTAGCCATGTACATGTACTTGAAAAATAAGGAACTAAAATGCACACCACCATCCACCACCATGCCCCTGTCACAAGTCCACGCCTTAATGGGCTTTCAAAGGGATTTTAGGGCTGGGTCAAAATATGCATGAGGAATTCCAAGATTAAGAATAAAAATGCAGTGTCTTTCTTACTTAGAGTCATTTACATAAACATTAAGTCGGGTTTAGGGCAAGGAACTTTTATCCCTAACACTATTAGAGTAAACAATAAAGGCTACCATGACAGATGCATCTGTGGTTTGACCATAGCTCAAATACTATCTACAGTAGGTTAAGTGGGAAAATTAACAGTACTAAGCTCTAAAGTAGTTTTGTTAGAATATATGCAATGCATGACTACTATAGATTACTATAGTTTAAAGGTGCAGTTGGAAAAAGTAATAAAAATCAACTGTTACAGTATGGCTTCCCAGATTTGTCAGCCTTGAAACACCTCCCCCCTAAAAAGGGTCATTTTGAACTGACACACTCTTCTGCTATGGTAGCCTCATTGCATGTGCGTCCATGAGAATGTGGAGCTGCTACCCAAAGCTCAAAATATGCAACTTCTGTGTTACCCACTTAAGGTATGAAATATTCATCTTAGTTAATCCAAAGCTGTAGGCAGGCATGTCAATGTTACACTTGGCATTGGGCCAAACAGACCAACCAAATAGTGTGGTACCAATTACTGAATCTGTCCTGTGAAGTTTACTCGTCTTCAGGAAACCAGACCAATATGGCTTCTTGATTGATTCCCAATCTCAGACTGTTTTCATCACGAGGCATTGCCTTTGGGTATTATTTGACCTCCTTTTTTCAAGTCTAGAAATGTTTTCAATTGAAAATCGTAAGTTTGTGTTCCTGCTTTTCCCCTCAGGACGTCCACTGGCCTCGCCGATCAGATCTCCACCCCCATTTATGAGTGGTTCATCCTCCAGAGGCTACCCAGCAGGAGCATCGGCATCCTAGGAGATACCAAGCGCCTGGAAACAGCGGGGGTGGCCAGGGACCACGTGTGCATGTGCAATATGTTTATGTATTAATCAAGTTGATGTGATATTGAATAAGTGTATGTTTGATGTTTAGCATGTCAAAATATGAGTCGAAACAAAGATAGTTTTGTAAGTTATTCCTGCATGCCTACCCTTATGTTAGTTTTTATAACAAGAACAATTGTCACAAAATTGTAAAAGAATGGTCACAAAATTTCAAGTGAAGGTGTTGCCAGGGTAAAGATTACGAACACCAACTTCACCCCGTACTTATATGTCGTGAGCAACTGAAATTGCAAAGAACTGTTTTTAGAGGTTGCATGAAAATGTGGCCACTATATTGTTTTCAAAACTTTATTGCGTTTTCAGAAATACTTGCATGCCAGTGTTTCATATTTTGGGGCTACTTCCTGCAGTAATGTAATGCAACACATGAAGTCTCAATCAGAATTCTAAGATGAATACTTCGGCAGTTCAAAGCAAAACACCTAGGTGCCTAGCATGTTGTAGCTGCAAATTATTCTTTTTTTAATTTAAAGGGAAGATACAACATTTGCAAACATCAAACAACGAAATGCTCAAGTTATCACGAAATACCTTACTGGATTGTTAGGGTAAAAATTACGAACCCCTAAGTCTATAAATTGCTGTGTTTCATCTTAAGTAGGGTCAGTCTAAATTCGAGCATCCTGTAAAATCGTGGCTCCTGGTGTGCTGACATTTTCAAGAAACATTGAATTTTTCCAACGCTGATCTGCCGACCAGCGTTGGAGAAAACGGGCCTTTTTCAAGAAGTGCTCCTCGTTTTTCATATTTAGTTATTCCGCATTTTCTTTGGAATTAATTACACACCTGTGAAGGGGTACAAGCCTGCTAGATTGATTCTTTGACCTTGCAATTTCCCAAAGTCTATAAATTGCTCTGTTTCATCTTAAGTAGGGTCAGGGAGCCAGACTACAAGAACAATTGGTTGTCTTGGTTTTTCCAGCATCTACAAGCCCAAAACGTGAAACAAGTCAGTTTAACAATATTTGCCATTAACATACTAATCCTTCAAATCCATTATTTCTGAGCATTGCAGCAAAAGCAAATGTTGTACATTCCCTAAGGATTGCATCCCCACTGAGGTTTATATAAACAGTGTTTTTTTTCCATTCAAACTGCTTCCTATTTGGCGATTTTCTTGCAGAATTCAGCAGATTAAAATTAATAAAAAATAAAATAAAAGGAAAACAAACCTTCGGTGGAAACGAATGAAAAGCAGATGCTGTGCTTTTATTACCAGTTTCTATAAGAGTATTTTTTATTTATTTGAAAGAAACCTCCCTCCACAGCCAGAAGATCCAGCAAGGTGTCAGGGCCAAACGTTCATGAAACTGCAAACCAGCAACTTTTGCTTGGCTTAAAAATACCGACTACCAGCTACAGACAACACAGACCGTATTAAACTTTTCACTGGTTATCGGCAAGTCATGCCGAGAAAAACTTCCTGTTCAGCAGTTTCTGAGAGTGGCCGAAGACAACACTTACATATATCTGTAGGAAAACTCTATCTTCACCATTTGACAACTTGTATAAAATTATTTTGGTGAACTGCATCTGAAGTACTTGGAAATGGCTAGCTGTAATAGATGAATTCAGTTACAGCAATAAATCCTGTAGGCGAGTCCCACCCAACTGGTGTAAGTTGGATTCATGGTACAGATATTTATTTTCAAATGAAATAAATTCCAACTTGGTCAAAAATTTGGTTACAGACAACCATGTAAAACTATGACCCACACCCCTCCCAATTTGTTTTCAGGAAAAAAAATATCATTTGTATCTATTACAACAAATTGTGGAAACTGACAGCAATCCTCGTTATCAGTCTCATGAATTTCTGAAATCTATGATTTGATCCAGTCAAAAAAAGCAGTGAATGGAACGTTAAAATGACACACAAATGGCTTATAAAGTGCTATTTGATAACAGCTTTACTGAATGACATCAATCGTACGTGTACTGAAAAAAAACACAATTCCACACATGATTTTGGTCACAAAAAGAGAAAGATTTCATCACCAGCACAAACATATTTTGAAAATGAGTCAAAAAATTGAAGGGCATAATTGATAAAAATAGGAAAATGTTTTATATAGAAAAAAATCGTTTTCCTTGCCCTATCCATGCAATGACAAACAAGAACTTCTGGAAATCTAAAATCAAAAGCACCATCTGCAACACGGAGCATTATATTACTTTTTTCTCAAATTTGTAAGAAAAAGAATACTGGAGGCAATTATATGATGCTCACCCCATGCTACATGCATGTATCCTGTCGTAGGCCAAATAAGACAGCGGACGCTAATAGCGCCCTCATGAGTGACCTTGATGCAGCTAATTATGTCGACATTTTCTGTTCCGCTAAAGGCCACAAAAATAATTGTATATTCCTTAAACTGAATTTGAATCTGGCCATCAGTGATATGGCAAAATGCTCCTTGATCTAAAAACCTCCTTTAATAAAAGTTATTATCAACGTTGGCCAGTTTTTGGAGGAAAATGGTTGGGCCTAATTGTACCTATAGTTGGAAATATATTCGGGTTAACATTGCCACTGTGGCTTCTCAAACACTAGACACAAGTTCATGACAATTATAATTTTTTTAGATCATTCCGATCGTTCAAAGTAAAAGTTTGGCCAGTTATTAAAGTTAACATGAAATTAAGTCGCATACATTTTACACACTATACAAGTTGTGGAATGCTTGAAGACATTTCCGTCAATTTTCAGGTAGATGTAGCCTAAGGTGTGATGAAATAAAAACGACTATTGTGTCCGTCATGAAATGAGTACAAAAGGTACTTTTGAGAGCTGTTTTTCAGGTCCTGTTTTCGACCCGAACGTGCAATTTGTGTTAAAGTTGTCGTTGGGGGCAGCAAACAAAACATAGTAAATTGTGACGTAATAAACAGGACTCCTGATGCAGTGTAGTATAAACGAGTCCTGTTTATTACGTCACGATTTACTGTGTTTTGTTTGCTGCCCCCAACGACGACTTTTACACAAATTGCACGTTCGGGTCGAAACAGGACCTGAAAAACAGCTCTCAAAAGTACCTTTTGTACTCATTTCATGACGGACACAATAGTCATTTTTATTTCATCACACCTTAGGCTACATATACCCGAAAAATGACGGAAATGTCTTCGAGCATTCCACAACCTCTTTAACTCCATGATTAGGAAGGAAACTGCACTTACAAACTTGATACTGGAAAAAAAACCTGATGCTTATGGACTAGTTCCCCTCTTATATTCATCACAATTTCAAATCTGTGATTTAAACACAGAACTGTTTTTAATGCATATGAAAACCAATATGAAAATATCCATTACACTCATGTTGTGTATTCTTGTCAGATATACTTTAAGACAAAAATAAAATCAATCCTTAACACCCACACCCAATCCTAAAATGAATTCCTGTTGGCCAATGTTTTGGCCATCCTCTGTCTTCGGCGAATCACCCTGCTCTTGCATACTATGACCTTTCTTCCTTTATGACACTTCTTCCTTTATGATAACATTTGTGTGGTGAGGCCCCAATAAGGGGAGGAGCTAGATGAGACATGAAGGGGGAGGGAAGGTTCGCTCACTTGCTGTCTTCTACTAGGTCTGGTGCCTCTTCTTCGGCTGCCTCTGCTGCATCAGCCGCTTTGCTGGCCGCCTGGAAATGAAATCAAAGAGTTGTCACCGACCAAAACAATGTCTTCTATCACTGAGCATGATTCACTAATAACCCTAACCCTCCTCAATCCTCCAAAATCCTCATAGCAGTTTTGGAGGATTTTCGAGTCGAGGTTGCAGGCTGTACCCAGCATTCCTTATGTCCAGCCATGCATAATGGAACCCTGCATTATGCTGGATATTATCCGCACTGCTTCTAAATGTCATCGGTACTGACTCGACCCATAGCAGTGAACGGAGGAGGATTTTGGAGGATTGAGGCAATGGTCACCCCTCCACTGAACAAATTCCAGAATTAATGGGATGATTTTGGAGGATTGAGGCTGAATCCAATTTTTACATGGTGGCAATTGGAGGATTTTGCAGGATTGAGGATGGTTCCTAGCCAAAAGGGCCTAGGGGGATAGGTTTTTTTTAATGGACTTTGTGTACAAGTACCCCATCAAATTGACATTGTATCAGAGTTCTAAAAGGACAAGAACCTTTCTGTATGTACTGGCCAATGTCTGACTCTACAGACCAATCCAGGTATGTTATCACTTCTATCATGAAGGCCCCCTTCAATGGCGAAACATTGTGCTAGCTATTGTTCAGATAGTCTGTCACGGGGCAGCTGCTTTGTACAATAATGTGCACAATGGTTTCTCCATTGCAGTGGGTATCATGGGTGTACATGTGTTTACGTAGCCAGATCAGTGTGTATCCGAGAGATTGCGACAGTCAGATTACCTGTATAGTTAACACAGTCAAACAATGTAAAAATTGTATTGAGATGATCTTTGAAAAACCACTGCCCCTTTTTGGCCGACAACCAAATAAGTACCTTCTTTCGCTTCTTCTTGGCCGCTTTGCGATTGGCGGACAGTGAGAGCAAAGCCTGTGGTGAAGAAAAATATATCACATAAACATTAAAAAATAACAAATCTTAGAAATCTTACAAGAAGTTGTTTAGTTCCAGATTATACTGTCCGGAAACATTAACATTTCATGGGGAATGATGTCCCAGCACCTTTTGATTCGATCAAAATGTTTAGAATGTATACGACCAGCTGCACTGCCAAGGCTATCCTGAGTGTGGGATCTGAAGGCGTACAATCAGCCAGGACTTTCCAGATTATAGAATTGAAAGGTTTACAAACAATGTTTAAAATTTGCCTCAGTAATACAGAATTGCTGCCTCAAGACCTTAATAGTAACTGGAAGATACTGTAAGGGAAAACAGCCCGGCTCACCTTGATTTCTGGGTCTTTGACGGAGAATTGCGACTTGAAGAACTCCGGATGATGTGCCCCCTGGGTGATCCTTAGCGGGCCGGTGGGCATGACGAGAACGGTGAACTTAAACTGAGCAACAAACTCTCCGTCCTTCTCATACAGGACTGGGTAGGGCTCAAATAGTTTATGGGTGGTACACGCCACCACACCCATGCGTGCCTTGCCTTCCTCATCAAAAGCCCTGTGTTATGCCAAAAAAGATAAGTTCCCCTTATTAGTAGGCCAATCAATACTACAATTATCCAATCTAAAAAGAGTATACAGTGGAATGCCGCTATAACGAACATCATGGGATCCACAGAAAGTGTTCGTTATAACGATCAACCCGTATAGCGATTTTGAACCGCCTGTACCCTCTTTTGACGAATGCATTTCTCACATCCCGCCCCCACGCGTGGAGTTGTCACAAAACTTTAGCAACGGGTGGTTTTCCATTTTATTCCTTGGGGAAATAGTAGCCATCTATTGCTCTTCAACATTCAAACACGATGTAACCATGGGTGGTTTGATGTTCGGGAATTTAACGTGGCCCAAACAGTGTTTAATACGAGTACAACCGGTAGGTTTTTTTGTTAATCTGTTGATTTTTTTCAACAACGATGTTCGGTACGTTAAGTACATTAAAACCGGGAGCCAAGGATGATGTTCGGTATAGCAGCGTTCCACTGTACATGGTAGGAATGTGTTGGTTTACACAAAGATGGTATCATACATGGGCAAGATGACAGCCACTTACGATGGCATTGTGGTTCAATCTGAATTAAGTTGGTTTGGCGAAATCAGATTTATATAACCACCCATGTCTCTCAAGTGTCATCCTCCATTAGAAATATCATATAACACTTCAATGGGGAATCTGTATTCAATAACAAGACCAAAAGCCGCAACACAAAACGTGCTCAATTCAGAAGCAGCTTAACGTTCTTAAATTACTTGCCAATTTATTGTTCTGGGACTGGGACATAAGACTGGCAGTCTCAAACATGAGCTCAGACCAACATTACAAAGACAGATAGTACACCTTGAGCCAGCCATGTTGTCTTTTTGAAATTTGGTCAATTTATAGCTTATCTTGCCAATCTTCAGCTGTGTCTCCCTGCTTGAGCTTAAGGAACCAGGTCTAAGTTAATGGGAACCATTAGAAATGGAACATGTACGGGATACATATCGCATGACACCAGTATGCAGCTCAGAGAAAAAGTTGTTTGTTAAATCACCCTTTTGAAATCACCCAACATGTATGTGCAATGTGCATTTCACATCAAAATGTTCAGATGTATATATGTGAGTTTGGTGAAATGACTACACAAACTAGCGATATAACTGGCTAGTTTTCCAAGCCGTACCATTTCTAGTGGTTCTTGTCACACCTCACCCACAGATTCTGTGTCTTGATTGGCCGAGAGCGAGTCACATGGTACTTTCTATTTTTGCTATCTTTCAGTGCACGGCCAAAAGTACTATACCCGTAGCAACCAAAGTACTATACCATTAGCAACCAAAGTACTATACCGATGGCGCGGTATTTTTGTGCCAATGCATGCTGGTGTGCGCGTTGCGCGTAGCACGTATTGTTCCCAAGGGAGCGCGTCAAAGAGTTGGGTTCAAACATTTCGTGAAGGGGTGGTTTGGAAGAGAGAAATAAGTTTCTCACCAATTTTGTATTTTGTATTGGAATTAGAGTTTATTTTAATTGTGTTCAGATTTAAGTAATTTAAAATGTTAAAAACCAAGCAGAATCTGTGGGTGAAGTGTTAAAAACCAAATGTTGAATGCTTTATCTCGTGGTGAAGTAAACCTAGCCTCCCTCGGTGATCCATGGAGCATTCTATTTTCCCGAGGCTCCATGGATCACCTCAGGAGGCTAGTTTTACTACACCACTCAAAGCATTTAATATTTGTATACTATTGACCACCAACTTGGGAGACTTTGACCCTTTAGGCCAACAAAAAATGGTCGGTCTCTGGTCAGTGCGCGTGTCCATTTTGATCATGCGCGTCAATCTTTTTTTTTCTTCAAATTTTCCTACAACAGCAACCTCTATTGCCGCACCACCATAAATTTTTGTACCAAGGAGCACCAAGAAATGGGGAAATTGCACAAAGGCAAATGATGGAGGGCACCAAGGAATATGGAGGACACAAAAAAGCAAAATAGTACCCACCTTGTCTGTACAATCCAAGCTTGAAAAAAAAAAAAAAGCAAAAAAAAACCACGTCGCCGCATCAATTCCGGAACTTTGGTCTGACCAGAGACCGACTATTTTTGTTTGTGCCTTATATACATTGTAGGGCCAGCTCTGCTGCAGGAACATCGGAGCATATTGTTGGGGGCACCACTAGGTCAAGAATACCCAACACAAAGTGACGGATTGTCTATGGACTTCACACGATACATCACTTCATGGTGTGACCGATGCTGCAACATGAGGCCAAGGATTAAAGGCTTCTGAACAATTTCAGAGCAGCAGATAAAGCTAAAACCCGAGATACAGCAGAGTCCTTTTTACACACCCATAGACCCACCATGCCTGGTGGACCCCTACAACAACAACCTAACATACCTGAGAGTAAATGGCATGTTTTGAAACTTGCTGTCCACCTGACTATACAGCACCCTAGCTGTCTTCATCTTGAGATTATAGACGACGTCAGTCTTCTTGAATACCGTGGTACGCGTGTCTCTCTCCTTCCCTTTCCCTTCACCGGTTGAGATGAGGACGTCGATGGCGTACGCCTCATGAACCTCCACCTCTGATGCCTTGTGTTCTTTCCTTGATGGGGCAATATATGGTTGATGTTAGCAAAACATTCAGACTGTCAACATGGGGGGATGGTAAGAAATTTATAACGTTTTGAGTGGAAAATAATATTAACCCTATTAACCCTGTTGGAACCAATAATTACTTGGATTTTTGTTGTCAGCAAAAGCTCTTTTGTTTGACCAGTCAGATTACTGCTGGATTCAGCAGGTGTCACACCCATTGAAGTATGAAGCAAAGTACCAGGAAAATACTTGCAGCAGTGTCAGGGTTAGAGTTGGAATGCAATCAAATAGAGGTCGTCGAGTAGAAGGGGGATTTACAGCAATAAGGGAATGCGTTTGTCACAACTCATTCACATAGACTGTGGATTGACTTGAGACAGTATGACTTTGGATGGATTTGTGATGATGTGATGAACTTGCAATAACTTAGGAAAGATTTCCCGTTACGTTGGGTTCGTTGACTTACGACTGTACACCAAGTGAGAAATTTATGACTTTTATTGGTTTGACCTACACTAATAAGAAATGAGTCAAAATCAAGTCATGTCCATGATGAAATTACTCATATAACCATTTCCCCATCTCACATACACATTGACCTTTCACCATCTGCCAAAATTTAACTGTCTAAAACCCTTCATGAGCTTCACGTGCCAATACATTCTAAATAGAGGGGACTGAACACAGATTCACTATCTTCCCATTTTAATCATTACCAGATAAATTATTGTTTTACAGACACAGAGACAATCAGTCTACCTTTGATCATCCGTTGGGTTTTGGATGATTGATTTCTCTCCATCGATGGTGTTTTGCTTGAGTTGATGGGATAACATTCCCTGCACCGGTTGGCACTCAAACGACTCACCTATCGTCTGAAACAACTTGGTGATGTCATAATTCTGAAATTTTGGAACAAGAAGTAGACTCGGTATATGAACACAAAAAAAACAGTTAGGCTGTCCAATACAGTAAACTCCGGCAGAGAATTTGTGACGACTTACGCGCATGTCGGCTTCTGCTGCAAGTCGTCATTTTGCCGACTTACACAAATACACACATTGAATCACGGAGTGAAAAAAATAAGATTGAATTAATGGCCTATGCGCATCTGTATCTGGATCATGCAAACAAGATTCATGGCTAAAATTCAAAGGCTTTGATTTACCCAGGTTTATTTCTACATCCATGGTTGATTCCAGCAAATATATCCTCAATGTTTATCATCACAAACAGGCTGTGGGATTGATCACAGAAAGTCATGCATGTACATGTACGTACTGTACGTACGAAGCAAGGACGGCGCGGCCGGCTAGCGTTAACAGTGGTACGATATACAGTTCGCTTGCATACTGTACATCCATGTACATGTGCCTGTAGTGTACATTGTGCACGTACGTACGTGTACAGTCACGAATTAAATGTGTGCATGGTACTGGTACAATAAGGGGACCCCCAAAATGAACAGAGCGCATGATTTTTTGATCGCGCACGTGGCTGTGGGCTATGTCCATGTATTTTGTCACAAATAGAATGCAGATTACATTGTATTACAAAAGTAGAAAGCTGTAAATAAAAAAATCTTCACCTTACAATTTTCTTATGCTTTTCATTTTCATTTGATGCCTTGGCATATTTGTTAGCATGACCAAGATCAGCAGCAAATTTCCGTGCCTGAACTAGCAACATTTCACCGTCGATTTGAATATCAGGCAAACTGGATTTCTGCCGAAACCATGTGATGACGGCAGAATTCACATCATCGTAAGTAACTTGTTTGACGTGTTTTATATTGCCCTTCCTGTCATCTGATTTTTTCACAGCTTCGATGATCTTGTCCTTGTTTTTCAAAATGTCAAACAAGGTTCCTCGAGGAAGGCCAAACTTCTGAGCCAGATCCACCTTTTTCATCCCAGGATTGGCTTCACAAAACTTAATGATATCGTACTTTTCTGTGTATGATTTGTCTCCATTTTCCGTTTCTTCGAACAGGTTTTGGATGCCATTTTCTTTTACAGAATGGACACGTACTTTGTGTAAGACTGTGCATGAAACAGTGTACACGTGCGATTAGTGTACACGTGCTGGCCGATGCATCAATCACGGGCCGTGCCATTGATAAACAGATGTCAGTTAGCAGTGTGTGGGACTTTTCACTCGACACTTCTTGCAAACCGCAGAGCACGATGCCGACTTATACAGAGGAATTTGTGGGGTTTTGAGGAAATGGGACTGAAAGTAACACGCCGATATAGGCGAAATGGTGGCTTACAAAGGCCGGCTTAGAAATGAAAATGTCAATGGAAATGCATTAGAGACAATCGGGACTTTCGTCAGACGGCCGATTTAAGCGATAGGACGGTTTATACGATGTCGGTTTAGCCGGAGTTTACTGTACTAAGAGAATAAATGTGTGCTTGGCTGGTTTTAAACAAATCCGTTGAAGACCAGCTGGGGGAATGGACAGTGATAATAGCCTGATCCGAAGGCGAGGGATATTATTGGCAATCAGGTCCCCAGTCGGACTTGAACAGACTTGTTTAATACAGGCTATATTTATTCCCATTCATGAATACCTTTTCGGTCAAAGAGTCAAAACAAGTTAAAACAATATAAATTTCCAATGATTTTGTTTACAATTTTTACTTCATGTTTTTTAAACATCCCTCTAACTGTGCTATGGTATGTGCCTCTCACAACTCCTTACATGGAAAACTCCTTACATTCACAGTGTTATGATGTGCATCAGAGTCATGTATTTCTGTAATATCTTGCCTTTTTTAAGGTCAACGTGGATGCTTTATAGGCCTTTCAGTGGCCTAAATTTTAATAGTGGTTGGAAACACATTTTGCCTCAAATGGCACAATAATATCCTGAGTAGTTGAGAGACATGTATCTCCATTTAGCTGCTTGTAGTGTCTGTTGAACATCCAATTGTTTGGTAAATAGTCTGTTTTTTTTTAAATTACTCAATTATGGAACTTTTGTGGTTGTCCTCCACTGTTTGTTGACCCGTGGTCGGCAAGAACTACAGCTGTAACATAGCAAAAGAAAGGTCTATAGATTGCAAAGTCTAGTACCTGGACTCCCGGTTTGATCTTTCTGAGGGCAGCCTCAGAGCAGGTGTACGCTGCCTGTATGACGTCAGCTTTCCTTCCCATAACTTTGTTATCGGCAGACGCACCAATGACAATCGTCTGAGCAACAACAGCAATGAAACCGTCAATGTGACCACCCATATCACTGCAAAGATCAAATCATCAGATATGTTAGATCACCACCAGATTTTCATGCCACCCCAAAAAGAACTGAATTATTGTCGGGCTAAAAATAAATTGAAAATTGTGAAAATTGTGGTTGATGGCTCATTCAAATGTAAGTAACTTTTCTATCACTAGAAAATAGTGTGGTAAAACTAAAAAAAAAACACAGTAATCTTTAATTTCAATGAAGATACTAATAAAATTAAAATATGTGTTGTTTCAATATAAATACACATACAGATGACAAACTTGGCTTCCATAGTGGGTCCTTCAATCATGGATCATTGAATATGGGATCAAGTTCCTCAGATAAAAGGAAGCTAATGAAGCGGTAAATTTGTCTCATTTTAAGAGCAGATACTCTTATGAAGACTTGTTTTTTTTTATTTCTTCAGGAGTTTTAAAAGTAACAGCCCTCACAGTGCCCCTCTTCATCAATAAAGGTTTGGTTTGTTTTTTTAGAATAGTCATCATCGATCTTCTGTTTAGACTTTTCTGCAACAGCTCTCATTGGTTTTGTACACGTTTTCTAATCGAGGTCGTCCTTGATTTGACTTCTGTCCTCAATTACTCGATGGTGACTCACATGTATGTCTTTGATTAACACAATAAACATTCACACCCGCACACACATACACAAATCCTCAAAAAAATGTCCTCTTTGCAGACAACCTTTGCCACATTCTGTGTCCCCTCACTTTAATTTCTGTTAAATGGCACATTCATCGATGGCATCACCCTCCACTAAGCCTCCTAGATCTCATGGATCGTTAATGAATCAAGGAGGATGAGAGTTAACAAAACGGTTTGCCAGTGCTTACATTTTGACAACATCTCCGTCTTTTAAGCTGACGTCAGGATCACTCCTGAGCGGTGAGAAGTGGCATACACAGTTATTGACCGACAGGCAGGTGGGGAATGCAATACCTGTTGGAAAACAAAATAATAAATGTAATCACATTATGCTCTGCCATTGCAGGTTTGGTTTAACCTTAATCTCTAGGATATCTTTAACCCTAACTCCCTAGGCCTTTTTTCCTAGGATGTAGCCTCAATCCTGCAAAATCCTCCAATTGGCCTCATGGAAAAATAGCATATAGCCTCAATCCTCCAATTACTCCTTTATTTCTTAAATATGGTCCGTGGAGGGGTGACCACTGCCTGAATCCGGAAAATCCTGTGGCAGTGACTGTCAATAATGTTGAGGCTTGGCCAGTGACATCCTGGAGAAGTACGGAGGAATTCAAGCATAATCCAGGCCTATATTTATGCATGGCTGAGCAAAAACAACACAAGGTCCAAGTCTAAACTTAGGATGCGACTTTACATTTAATTTTGTATAAAACGTTTAGCAAATATTTTGACCCTAACCCTCCTTAATCCTCCTCACATTTTGGAGGATTTTGGAGGATTTTGGCTGAATGGCAAAAAAGTGTCGGCTGAATTTGGAGGATGCATTGTGTCGAGTTTGTAGGCAGTACCCTGTATTGTTATGTTCTACCATGCATAATTGAGCTCTGCATTATGCTTGATATCATCCGCACTGCTTCTGAATGTCATCGCCACTGCCTCAACCCCATTAACAGCGATTGTTGAAGGATTTTGAAGGATTGCGGTAATGGTCACCCCTCCACTGAACGAATTCAAGAAATAACAGATAATTCAATATTTTGGAGGATTGAGGCTGAATCCAATTTTTACATGGTGGCAATTGGATGATTTTGCAGGATTGAGGATGGTTTCTGGCCAAAAGGGCCTATGGGGATAGGGTTAAGAACCGTTCCAACGTTAAATGTTTAGCCATTTCATAGAGGCTGATGCCTGCCCATTATGTCTGTAGACGGGCATGATTGAAAGCAGTGCTTCTATGGTTTTTAATTAAAATGATTTAAACCATTGTTAAGTTGTGCTATGTACAAATGTATGTTTAACATGCATGTACCTTACAATTCGGTTTTCATTCAAATGTGTAAACAGATCTGGAATTGTTTTTGTTTAATCGTTTAAGCGTGTACACATCACATCCACATCTATATGGCCCCTGACCTTTCTTCAAGTCCTTGATCTTTTTGAAGATCTTGCTGGTCTCCTCCAGGATGAAGCTATCCCCAAGCTCACATAGCGACCGCACAGATTCCCCTGCAGCAGCCTTCTCAACCACTTTCTTCAATGCATCTGAGAAAAAAAGCATGAGGAAAAAAATGGTTTATTATTGGCTATGGGTATTCCCATCATGTGAAACAGGAGAAATCAAAAGAAATTTCCTTTTGAAACAAAAATTACACAATATCTACTAATTAAACAGATAAAAACACCAGAAGTCAGTTTTTGTTTAAAAAACATCCTGAAATAAGTGAAAACATTATCTGTGGCAAAACATTTCCATTTGATTGAACTTTTTCAAAGTCGCAAAATGTCAGTGCACATTTTGAGATGAGGTAGTTTAGTTTTAAGTAAACTATGATGTTTTAATAATTTTCTAAATCAAAAATTTTCATATTTCAAAAACAAATACAAATTTTAATTAGAGCCTGAGAGTTCACCCCTGATGGCGCGCTTGCAGAACCAGTTGAACAGGAAAATTAAAGTGCAAACATTTTTAAATATGCAATTTTTTGACAGGGCCAGTACAATAATTCTTAACAAAAATGGAAATGCTTCTCAGTCCCAGATTAATGTCTTATCATCATTTTTGCAAGTTCATAATGATTAAGATGATATACGAAGAAAAAAGTTGTGTCAGGTTGCGACATTATTCCCAAAATTCCACAAAAGCAGAGTCACGTCACTGTTTGCAATATTCTTTGCAGGGCAACCCAGTGTAAAATGTCCATAGGCGGGCTACGCAAGTTTGTTTTCCTTCCTCCATGATTGCAACATGCCCTGCAACAACTAGCAAGCAGTTCCGCGTGGCCCGTTATCAGGTTATGTACATGCACACACGTTGTAATACAGGCTATTGTTCGCATGTAGTCCCACGTTACAAACTCAATCCAGCTGTCATGAATTTCGGTCCATTTGCTCACGGAATGCCACCCATAAACACCAAACAAACAGACCAGAATGTCGTCCATGAATCCCCTGAGCTGAGTTCTACTCACTATTAACAATGTCGCCGATGGTTTTGTACTTGGTGACCACATTATCTTGGGCTGGAGTTTGCTCTTCTTCGGCTCCACTGTCCGCCATGATTGAAAATAATTTCGTAGTTTTATTTTTCACACGTGTTTCCCAGAATGCAGCGCGACGTCGATGGTGGCGCGCGCGCGCGAAACTCGTAGTCTTTTGACTGGATAGAAGGGAAGGGGCTTGTGGGCGTTTCAAAGAGTTTGCTCGGGGAGGGGGGTTGTCTTGGGAAATTCCGAAGATATTTCTTTCAAGGAAAATTAACAAAACAAGGTGACACTATGGATGATGGGCAAAAATAGTGCCATAAAGTACGGAAATTGGAAACAGAGACCTGCAGGTCGTAGAATACAAGTGTTAGGCATCTGCTGCATATAATAAAATAGGCAGCTGCCGGGAATAATTTCATCAAAAGCATTTTTTTTCCCGCAGGAAATCCGGCATTTATCCTTGCATGTCCCTGTAACATGAACGTGAACCTCATATGGCAATTCATTTTCTAGTCAGTGGCGGATCTCGGCGTCGGCGGGCAGGAGGGGGGGGGGGGGGCTGTGTGGACGGTCTTCACCTCCCGCCCCCTCCATGCAGTAAAACTGCACCCCCGTGCAAAAGCTAGATCCGCCCCTGCCGGTTCAAAAGGCAATTGCAGCAGCTTTTCAATTTTGGGGGTGATTTCTTGTTATACGTGCAAGAAATTATGCGCATTTTTAGTTAAGTTGCGGGTCCAAGTTAGCAGGGGCGGATCCAGGATTTTCCAAAAGGGGGGCGGGGTGAAATGTAGCATGCAGCAAAATGGTGAAGGCAATTTGTGGCACCTACGGGCCGAAGGCCAAGGAGGGGGGTGGGGCATAATGTGATAGTTACGTGAGCGCGTAGCAGGAAGCCCTATAACAGCGTGGGGTCCGGGGCCCCGGAAAATGTTGAAATCTATGCTCTGTGCGATCTCAGGCAGCGCATGTCTGATTCTGACCACTTTAACAATTATTTTTTAGCAAAAGATCATAATTTAAACAACATTTTCGAGTTTGGAGTAATTGAATCAGCTATATCCAGAGATATAAAATCAAACTGTAGGCTACAATATTTATTCGGGGACGAAAAAAGTTTGGGGGGGGGGGCAGGGGAGGGAGGGACAAACGATATGAGAAACACCCCCCCCCCCCTCCCCGTCCCCCCGATTGACACCGTGCCCGCCTGCCCTGCTAGAGTGGTCTGGTACATTTTCATGTATCAACTTGACAGCAAGTTCTCTCGCTCCCCCGCTGCCTTTTTCGTCTCGTCGCGCGCGCTGTCTCGTCGCAGTTCTTGGTCCCGCGCGGCCGTCGCTTATTAATTTTAGTAAAAGTGTGATTGTCTTACATGAAACCTATCCTAGCAGGCTACGGTCTGACGTGAACTGCCCTATTAATTTTGGTTCTCCCTCTTTTTTCTTCTCTGTTTGAGTCTCTCCCTGGCCCTCTCTCTATCTCGCTTCTTCTCTTTGAAGAAGGAAGGGGGGCGTGCGCCCCCCCCCACGCCACGCCACGCCCCCATTCGCCCCTGGTTAGACAATGTCAGTTCTCGCGTTGAGCCATGGATGTCACTCGTGGCAGTTGAGCCATGGATGTCACTCGTGGCAGTGGCGTAGCCCGGGGGGGGGGGGGGGGGGGGGGCGTGGGGGGCGACAGCCCCCCCCCCCAGAAACCTTGTCGCCCCCCCCCCGTCAACCCCCCCCCCTGAGATTTTGAGTTTCTAAAAAAATTATCATTGATCTACATGACGCCCCCCATAAAATGTTTCAGCCCCCCCCCCCCCACGGAAAAATTCCTGGCTACACCACTGACTCGTGGGCAGAAAGTACTGAAGATCTCGGCTCTTTATTCGGTAATCCAAACCTCAGTGGAAATTACTCATCACATTACTGGGCATTAACCTCTTAAAAAGATGCAACATTGCCTTACATAGCCGTCAGCTGCGGCCTGTGACTTTTAAACATTTAATTCCTGCATGACAATGTCGATGTCCTGATTGGACCCAGACAATCCAGGAAGGTCTCGCAGGTCGAGGCTTGGGGTAACTGTTTCCGTCTTTTCCTCCAATCCAGCAGTCACTGCTCGGTGGTGATTACCCTACGGAACCAGGCCTGGCTGACCGTTCGGAAATGCGTCATTTTTCAGTTCACTTTTAATAATAATTGCGGCACTAACCGTCGCTGGTACCCGCGGTGACTGGTAGTGTTTTGGCGCATCAATTTTCGGGTCATCAGCGAGTCTGCGGTTTCCTACAAATTGTCATGCTGTTATTTTTGTGGCCGGCTTGAGACAAGAAAAAATTATGAATGGGTGCGAAGTGCGCGTGAACTTGGGACTTGTTCGACATTGGTGGGGTGAGAGAAGTCAGCAGATGTTGTCTCATCAAAGACTCTGAATTATAGGTAAGTACATTTCTTACCCGGTTTGTTTAATAGGAGCATCATAATTTGCCATTTGGGAAACTCAATTCTCCATGAATTATGTGCCGACGGATCCGCCTATAGCTTCGCCGGCGCTGTCCGTTGTACTGCCAGCGTGCGATCGCTGTTATGAGTTCAATTTTCGAAGTATCAAAAAAAGTCAAAGCAGGTTCTAACTTCTCAGTGTGTTAAAAATGCTGACAAGCCATCAAATCCATGCATGCAGTGAAATAAATGTGCCAAATTTAATATTTTTTAATTGGCAAGCTGGCGGAGGGGTGTTAATCACATTCGCTAACAAACACGTGGAAACAAAGCAATCCTTAATATGTTAATTCTGTCGCATTACTTGCTGTCACCAAATAAAGAGAAGTCATATTTTCTTCGGAATTCCGTTGACCCCATCCCAACCAACTGCAATATTTGGAGGCAAACTCAAAGATAAAGAACAACAGTTTAGAACGTCAACTGTTTAAGTTTGGCTAGTCAACGATGTCTTCCTTTTTATGATCTCTCTCAGCTGTGTGTATACATTTGTAATTGTAGAAAAGATCTGCCATGACGTCAGGAACAACCATCTCATTATTTCTGATCGCCATTTTGCGCGCAGTTTGCGCCCTGCCCATCGTGAAGTTTGAGTATCATAACCATGCACACCTGACGTCAGTGATGACGTCACTGACGAACAAGTATCCGAACACCAGTCACATGTACAGCATTGGAAAATCGGTACAAGGTTTGTAAAACTTGCGGATGTTTTCTTATGTCATTGCAATTTCATAAACTTGTTGGCAATTGTCAGTGTAGCCAAAGATTGAGAGAGACGTGCTGCCGATTTTTTACTCATAATCAACAAGTTACAATTAAATAGCACACATCGTTGGACACTGACAATGAAATATCTTATAAAACCTCAATTGAACCGCTCTTTCCTCTATAGCCCATATATAGCTGCAACAACTTTCAGTCATATCGGAAACGGCACAGTTCAGAGGCACGTCTACGTCGATTGTCAATGTGTCACGTTATTATTTAAGACCTATACCGGTAGTCATTAAGGGATTCGGACGCGACCTCAAACTTTGATCTCTTTTTGATTTCCTTCCTAGGCAGAGATATGTGGGTTATGGCTGTAGCTGGTGTGAAACCAAATGGTCGAGTCATAGGAAGACCCGAGGCCAAATACGTTGGGAATATGCATGGAAACGAGGTAAGACATTAATGACTGCCGAACGTGTGCATCAAAGAGTGAGGCCTATGGCTCACGTATTCTGCTGATGAAATTGACATGGCAGCCAGATGACGGTGATTTCAATACTGCATCAAAAAAAGTTATTTAAATAACTTGGTTTCATTTACATGAAGTTGTAAATATATATGTATATTTGATATGTTTACTCTTGAGTGCAATGACCAATCCATGAATGTCTTTTACTAATTTTACTAAAGAAACAATAATACTGTGCAACATAACGAATGGCAGTGACGATGGTGACAATCAATCCAGTGTTGTTGAAAGTTATAATGACAAATGACAATGATGACATTTTTGTCGTCTCGCCATCAGGCTGTTGGTCGCGAGGTTCTCCTCCACCTTCTTGAGTACCTCCTCAAGGAATACAGAAGAGGAAACCCAGAAATAAAGAAATTGATGGACACCACAAGAATCCACATTCTTCCCTCCATGAACCCAGACGGATTCGAAGTCTCCAAACAGAAATGCAGAGGGCTTGATCTGAGGTATACACTGGACTTTCACTATACATGTATATCAACCCTTAATGATATCTTTCTAATGTCCATTGCCGAACTATATTCATTTCGAAAATGGAGTCAAATAATGCATGGGACTATTCTACTATAAATCGTGAGTCTCAATCGCGAATTCTTGATCATGACAGAAATGTAAGAAAGAGACAGGATGTTAAAGATTAATTTTGGAGACTCTTGTTCTTACCATACAAATTCTCAGAGCCAACATGAACGGATACGATCTGAACCGTAATTTCCCGGATTACTTCGAGCCGACAATCGACCCGATTCAGCCGGAGACGAAAGCCGTCGTTGATTGGATCTACGGGAACCAGTTCGTGTTGTCGGCCAACTTTCACGGCGGGGCGTTAGTGGCAAACTTTCCGTACGACACGGGTCAACCTGGTACGTGCAAGCCAAAAAAAAACCCAAAAAAACGTTACGCAAAATAAATAAATAAAATAAAATAATCAGAATTTAACTTTGTTTGAATAGGCGGCAATCGCCCATAAATATGTGCCGAAATAACATGTATGTATTGTCATTTCACAAGATTGTCACTTTGATATAGTCTATATAGACACCTCAACAGGCCTCAGTGGCCGACAACTGTATCACTTATTTTTCATTTTTTTCAGCTGCTAATCTCATTTATATTGTTAAAAAGGGGGCATTTCATATTTAGTCTCCAGTAAATGACCAATAGGAGTATGAATTTTATGGAACGTTTGAAGAGAATAGATGCGGTTCATTTCCAGCCAAGACCAGGCAAAAATCCAATGTTAAACTTTCAAAAGCAAACATCAAAGTTTCTGCGCTCAATTTTTTTCATGGAAATTGACAGGGATTGGAAATGCCATGGAAACCGTGTATCACCAGAGTCCGGATGATGACGTCTTCAGGTTTCTAGCAAAGACGTATTCCAAGGCGCATCCCAGAATGCATCTGATTCAGGAGAATACCTGCAGCCCCAATACTGATACGGGATTCGTGGATGGGATTACCAACGGAGCAGACTGGTACTCTGTCGCAGGTACGCTCGTCTTGAAAAGGTCTCCTATATTTTTTAAGTATCCGGTTCGTTAGTGTGACGTCACCTCCAGCACTTTCTGCATGAGTGGAACCGGAAGTTAACGCAACTCGAGCGTTTGTAGCCAATGTGCGCTAGTCACCAATGGTGGGCGCGCGTGTATGACGTTTTTACTAACGAACCGGATTAATGCAATGACCGAATGAGCTCTTCACCAGATGATTACACCCCTCTCGCAGCAGGGCCGCACCGTATCACTGCATGTGCCTACGGAACATTCGAGTCAGGTTGGCGTAGCGGTACTTTTCTCGCCTTCCACCGCTGTTCGAATCCCGCCTGGGCCAATATGTGGATTGGGTTTTCAGTCCCTGCCTGATTCCGTGGGGTTTCCCAAAAATATTCTTCTGGGCTTTTCCTCCCACCTCTAAAACTGTAAATTCTTCTCATCGTCTTCTCTCCACAGGTTCGGCTTGTGAGCTACAGTGCCTAGGGCGCTTTTCAGGAATCCTTGGTTTCATTACCAGAAATGATTAATAACCATACTGAATGATGAAAATCGACTTGCACAGCATTGCGTCTCAACGCGCAGTACGCGCGAGGGCGCGTGCAGCCCATAAATAGATATCAGAAGAATATATTATTTTGATATGTGCACGCCCTGCAAGGCAGCAACAACAGAACATTATAGTCCGGTTCACAATGTACTTAATCCAAGTTTCGTTGGGAGTTTTTGGGGATTAGGTAAACTATACATTTTTGGAAATCTTAGGGTCTACTGAAACCCAAAACCAATGTTTCCATTTTTTCCACGGTCATCTTGGCCGCCATCTTGGAATTTCAAAATGGGGACATTTTTAGCTCTATTTCCCTGATGATTTGGCTTGTCACATACATTTTAAAGGGAATGAAACTCACTGGAGCCTGTTTTCACAAGTATTTGACACAAAAGAAAAGTATTCCTCATTTACATACAAAAGAGTTAGGGCCCACTTGTCCAACAGGAAGGCTCACATCACAGAAACCAAAATTTACCATGAACATTGTAACGACTTCCTTTTTTACATTCTTCTAGGAGGGATGCAAGACTTCAACTACATCTTCGGGGGTTGTATGGAGATCACGATTGAGATGTCTTGCTGTAAGTACCCGGCACCATCGCACCTCCGACTATATTGGGAGGAGAACCGACTACCGATGCTGGAGTTCCTTAAACAGGCCAACAGAGGTAGGGTTGACAGAAGAACTTATCTTAGATATCCGGTGAAAGGAGACAAAAGCTAGCCCTTCAGGATTAAGGAAATTCTTGCCTCTTTTACAAGAGAATACAATGAACAGGAATCAACTTGAAGATGCGATGTTGTTTGGATGAAAGGATTGGTACAGTTTCAATCAGGAACTTCTACCGAAATGTGAAATAATCATTTAATCGTAAAAAAAAAATCTTTAAAAAAATGCAAAATTGAAGTCATTGAAAAGTCAGACAAGCATATCAACAAATTAATTTTAATTATCTTTTCTACCAAAAAAAGTTTGTTTAATTTTCTTTATCCACAGGTGTCAAGGGGCAAGTGTTTAACACGGATAACCAACCAATAGATGGCGCTAGCGTGTCGATTGTCGAACTCAAGTCGCCTCATCCACTGTTTACTACAAGGTCGGGCGAGTACTGGAAAATACTCCTGCCTGGGTCTTACACATTGCTTGTAAGTTGTAAGCGATTCTGACGTGTTGGAATTGTACATCCAACCAATAAATTTAAAGCAACTTATCTAACGATTTCTCAAACCATTTTGTTATTCTCAAATTCAGGTTTTCAAGTATGGATATGCTACCTCCAATCAAAAGTTGACCATTCCACACGACTCACCAGATGCTATGGTACTGAACATTACTCTGACCAGTATCAACCCAAACATTGCGAATGTCACCGATGGCACGCCCTCAACGGCAGCGGCTTGGATACAGACAATAACAACTGTTGTTGTCACGGCCACATTTTCACTATTTTATCCAAATTGGATAATTCTATAATAATACATGTACTTTTATAAATGTATACAATTGGAGGAAGTGTTTTAATTCCAGACAAATTTTCGACTTGAAAAGGTATCACTCCATTGTTTCATTAGCATAAAGTAAGATTAGCGAGAAACTGACATCACAATACATGTACATGTACAGTGAAACGTCTCATTAGCTTATAATTACAAGGGTACAAATAATGTACAATGAACAAGTTTTTAAAAAATTGTTGATTCAGAGTTTCGACAAAGATTCTTTTGGCTGGTAAATTAACAGCAATTTAATGATGACTCGAACAATCTTCTTTTATCAAGTTTATAGGTCCTTTGTGATATCTGTGCATTTATATCATTTTTCTTATATTCTCATTGTTTGTCCTTTCTGGTTACCGTTCAAAGTGCATGTACATAAAACCACCTTTAAAGTAGTACAATGCACAACCCTACTACGTTATCAAAACAACATTGTGGTACATTAATGAAAATATTACAAGTACATGTAGGTAATTTACAGAGTACATATTCAAAATTACCATGTAAGAAAAAACAAATTTTGAGCTGCACTATATCATATTGCCACTTTTTACAATTATTGTACAAACATCAAAATGACTATAGTTACAGTAGCTTCTGACCGAGTGCACAATTTGTATATTTACGAAGGATGAAATATTATGTTAAATAAATTGTATGGATGTTACACTAACACAAACTCATAACAAGTAACTAAATATTTTTATCTTCTTACATTGTACTTATTAACGAGAATTGATAAATATAAAGATGAGTTTTCAGGGAGAAGTTACATATTGTGCAACAGTTCTAACATTTCAAAACATTCAATATTGATTTCATAAAGTAACATTTATGGTAAATCGGAAACGTTTTCTTTATGTTTGCGTAGGCTACGTTAAAAAGTTGTAACAAAAAATATAGTTTTAAATACAAAATGTTGTGCAGTGGAAGAATGTCGTCAGGAATTTGATCGATTACACTCATTTCAAAATTTCCACTTGTTCGATCTTATATGAGACCTGCGTACGTGTATGTGTATCAATTGATATATGTCAACATTAACGAGACCAAAATTTAAGGTCACTATCAAAATCTAATTTAATTGTTCATAACAAACTAAACTGCAATGACTATCATTATTAACGTTGATGTAATACACTTTTAAATGTACATGTACATTCTTGGATCTACATGTAGATGAATACCTCGCGTTAAACATCTGAGAAGTGAAAGCCGAGTGGTCTAGCGCTGAATGCCGGCACAAACCCGAACCTTTCAGTCCGAGGAACGTACACCCACATCCAGTCCATCTCATGCTGCTGACCCGAGTTCACCACCACGACCTCTCCTTCCACCACGCTGACCTCGTCCTCATCTTGCTCTGTGTAGTCACTCACCACCACGTAAGTTTCGATCAGTACTGCGCTGACCCCGCCCCTAATGTTGGTGTTAAACTTGCGGGCGCGCACACCATCATCATTTCGGAGCCTTGATTGGCTCGTAGAGTGATGACGAAGCTCACGTGATTTGGCAAACCGTAACTGCGAATGGTTGGTAGTTTTGAGCTCACTTGCGTCTTTTGAGGAAACAAAGTTTGATTGGCCGTATGTCTGGTCAGAGGAAACCACTTGATTTGTTTGAATAGTAGGAACGTGTTGGTGTTGTTGAGAGTTTGAGGGCCGGGCGTCTTCAAAGTGTTGGTTACAAAACGGTTGTGTTTTCTCGATCTCCAGAATAGTTTCCAACGGTTGCTCAGAAACTTCAGTACCTGAAATTTCTGTGTTCTTGTCGTTGACTTTTGAATGAACCCCCGATTTTGATGACTCTGTAAAGAAAGAAATAAGATATGAAATCAATAAATTTCTCACATCAATTAATATTAACAACAATGAGCAATGTTTTGCTTCCTCAATATTATAAGCCATACTACACAGGCTGCAATTTACACATGATTTTCACTACCACTTTAGAGTTTAATTTCTACTTTATTTAAAAGAATTAATAAAGTCCGTAATATTTTTTAATTTAACGACACATTTGGAGCCAGATCATACTGAAAAAAGGTGCTAACCTTGGTCGCTATTCTTCAGACGAAGAAAGATTCTCGGCACAAAACCCTCCTCCCGAGAACCGGAGTGTTTCTTCACAAACAGCCAATCAGGGTCGTCCTTGTTCATCACTGTGACCACGTCACCGAGTTTGAGAGTGACGTCATCTTCAGTCCGCGCCTCAAAATCGTACATCGCCACGGCATCGCCAAGTACTTTTTTGACGAAGCTGGCTGCCCGCCGGTTGGTTCCTTTACCCTCTGTGGCTTTGGTAGATTCCAGTGACGCTTTCATGGCGGCAACGACTTCCACAATGTCCTGCCTAGAAGCTTCGACCGCCGAGACGCGATGGGCACGACCATGTCTGTTGCTGGAGGGTTTCCGTCCGACTTTCCGTCGCTGTTGTTGGGTGAGAGGAGTCTGCAGAGCACGCACGTCTGTTGCCGATCTTGTGTTGGGCTTTGAAGACACGGTTTTACCTTCAGCAGCGTTTGAGTGACTTGGTGCGGTGAATGATGCGGATTTCAACATCTTTGGTGGGAGCAAGAGCGCATTGTCAGCCTCTTCAGGAACTGTATCGACCGCCATCTTGGATGTGCTTACGATCCGCGCCTCCTTTACGGAATTGTCGGCAAACTTCGGTTTCTGAACGAGATGCTTCGGCCGTTGCTGCTGAGGATCAGTCTCTGTATTCGTCACCTGGTCGTCGGTTGAACCACGGAGGGTATGTTTTCCTTCCTCCATGGTTGAACATTCCTGCTCACAAACTTGATTTTCTATTTCCTCAGCCACTGAAGCTGCCCATTTTCTAAGCTCGTCATTGATAATGATCGAACCTGATGGGTCGGATTGGTTATGGTTCTGCGCTTGGTTTTCTTGCCGTTCCAAGCTTTGAATGACAACTGAGTTAGTCTTGGAGTTTTCCATAATTGGGAATTTGTCAGAGTTTGAAATCTCGTGCAAAGCTCTGCTGTTGCTGCGAAAAAGGCTGTCGATAGTTTCCTCTTTGACGATGTTTCGCGCCCGAGGGGAGTCCATCTTTACTTCTGTCGATCTGCGACGGAGTGATCCCATCCGTCCCCTACCATCGCTTGAGTAAACCAGCTTGGATCGCTTAGGTGTCGGCCGTATCTTACCCGCCGGTAGTTTCGCCGAGTCCTGGTGAGGCTCTCGCGTCTTCATCGGTGACGCCGTACATTGTTCTCTGTATTTCTGGTCTCGCGTTACCGGTCGTTGAATGATCTCCATCCGTACGCACACGGACGCCTGTGGCTGGCTGACATTGGTGACCTCACTCAGCGGTGACCTGTCCTCAGTTTGGCGCCATTTTCTGGCTGCCGAAGATTCCAGGCGCAGCTTCATGGCACTGGGATCCAGCGCGCGCTCCGATGTTGCCCGCATGTAGAGCGGCTTTGAACGAACTAGGCTGCCAACTTTAGCAATGTTCTCGGTTTTAGTTTGCTCATTGTTTTTGTCACGATTTTGTTGATGTGGATTGGATGACACTTTAGACCTGGTGTTGCCAGGGTTACCAGCAGGCTGTTTTGACCGAAGGGACGAATCTCGACTCTTGGATCGTCTGCGCAGACTCCCCGTTCTTGGGGATTTTCTGGCTCCAACTGTCTTTGAGGGTCTGAGCTTAGTTGATGGATGATGGGACAGATTTTCCTGAAGAAGTGGTTCTCTTTCAAAGACGGAGTCATCCGTCGTCACAGAGTCATTTCTCTTCGTCTTCTTCGGTGAATATACAGAATTGGCTCTCCTGCCTTGCAGAAACTCTCCTTCCATAAACTGGTGATTTTGCGGCAGAGGATTGTGAATTTGGTTGTCACACGAATCTTCGCTACGAGTTCTTTTTGCAGAACCAGCCTTGACCTTTGATCCTTTATCTGATGCTCTTGCTGCAGGAACACTGTTGTTATTCTCATCGTGTATGTCGATCTCAGAGGAGATGCTCAAACTCCCCAAACTGATCGCATCGATCATATCGAAATCGATCTCGTTCAGGGTCGGCAGACAACGCCTCTGACGCACCCAGTTGGGCAAGTTATAGTGCGCCCGATTGCGACTGCTTGAAGACGAACTCAGTGACGCATTTGATAGAAGTGGGGTTTGTTGTTCGTTTGGCGCGCCATAGTTTGCCGTCTCATCTTCCATCATCTGTTCGTCGATTCGTGGATGGTGAGACGACTCAAAGGTCTCATCAAAGAAAGTAAACGACTGGACCGTGGCGGGATCTTGAGCAAAATATTCCACATCAGGTGCTTGCTGGCAACTTGGGGTATTTCTGACTGTTTTCTGCAACTGCGGTCGGCCAGTTTCTAAAAACAATCGATAAGACATTTAATGGCATAATGGGATTGCAATATTCATTTTAATTATCTCATGGACGATATTTAAGATAAAAAGTTGATCGGCCGAAAGTAACAGATTTTGATATGTAAAGAAGTGCACAACTGATTTTTCTCTCGAAACAACAGGATTAGTATTATGCATTTTGTAATGACAATACACAATTTAATTTGTGCATACCTCCACCGACGTATATTCCACCGAAAGTTTCTCCGCCGTTTGCTCCGGGTTCCTTTGCAGTACCCGCTCTTTTCTCCTCGTCATTTCGACTGACTGGATCAATTTCACCGTAGAGGGCGCTGAATCCTCCTTGTGACGCAATGGAGACGTCACTGCCTGCTCTCTCAATCGCCACGGAGGTACCTCGACTTCGGACGTTGGAACGAAGAGCTCGTGACCGGGGGTTGGCAAGACCTAGAGAAATGAGACAAGGGGAGTCTTTGGAATGGCGAATGCATAAAGTTTATGAGGGGAAAGAACAAATGTATCGTACGCGTACAATCGAAGGGAAAATTTCCTTCGATACCGTCGTCCATTGAAGGTTAGGAACTGATACAGACAGGAGACCTTGAGTGCAGAAAAACATGCAAAACAAAATAAAATTGCTGAATACGCTGCTGCACCGCTTTTACTGAGCAAGTGCCCCTTTTTGGTGATGTCCCCAGTTTGAAACCGTTTCACCCCGCTGCTAAAATTGGTGTTGGACTGTCTGCAGCTGGCCTTGTTTCATGTGCCAGTCTATTTTCTTATGTGGCACGTTTTAATATCTTGAGTTTTGGGACTCTCTCATACACAGTACATTGAGAGTCCCAAATTTTCGGACTAGAACTGATCTAAGGAAATTACTAAATCGTTTTCTTTTCTTTCATATTTAAATTAATCATGGCATCACAACCTGATTTCAAGAAATGTCATGGAGGTTTGTGTAAAATCGACCAACAAGGCGTTCAGTGTACGTGGCGGCCCGCACGAGGATCAAGGAGAGCACTGAAGTTTTCATTTTGTTCAACTCGTTTTTAACAATTTTATTCACGTTTTGAAATTTGAAATAAGAGTTGTACGTACGAGTTGTTGAGATTAACAGTGATCAATGAAAATTGATTAACAGTTGCCCAGATTTTTTTTCTGCGACAATTTATTGTAGCCTGTAGGGTAAATAAATTAGAAAAGTATTTAAAAATACATTGTAGTAAAACATTAGTATAAAATTACGAAAACGTGCATCATTAAATCGAAAGTTCACATTTACACAAAGCAGGTCACAAGCACAACATAAAAAAATCTGTGAAATGACTGCATATGGATCATACCGCACGACTTCAGGCATTCGCTCGTACCCCCCCCCCCCCCCCCCCCGCAATTAGGGCAACAGGGTGTTTGCAGGGTGGGGGTACGAGCGAACTTCGGATCAGGCATTGCATATTTTATGGGCCATACAGGCATATTAAAGGGCAATGTTTAACTAGCTCCATACGCCTATAATTAGCTTCCTCCATGGTTTTAATTAAAGTTTAACAATATGTTCCTTTCTCAATGAGAATCAAATATTATCTCAATGAAGGGTAGTCATTGCGAAAATGTTGAAAAGACCACTCCAGTTTTGTTTAAAAATACGTTGAAACTGTTCTTGACTTGATCTCTTTTATAACTACAACCAAAGAAGTGGCGGTTGGATATCTTTCCAATGACGGCTAACAAACATGGGATCATCCGCTATAAAGTCTAAACTGGTAGACCTATACACAATCAGTGAATCGAAACCATTTCATATAGAAGATATTTTACCCACCTGTTCGTGTGAATCGTCTAAGCTTCAGCAGCCCCACACTCGGACATAGAAACGACATGATTGCTCAAGTTCTTCCAGTTGTTGTCAACCAATCGGCCTTCAACAATGTGATCCTTCAAAATTAACTCTAGTTTTACATCCACTTGAGAAAGCCATGAGAATAATGCTCTACACATGGGGATACACAGGGAATGTATGGCATATTACAGTGAACTGCTTGGGTTATTTTTAATACAAGCCCGTTGACTTTCAAATCCAGCGCCCCTGTTGTGTGGCCTCCGAGATTGGACCGGGTGATCTCTCAACTCAGTAAGGTCACATTCCAGAGCGAATAGGTTATTATCGCTAGCGCGCTTATACAAAACATGCATTCAGTTTGCTAACCAACTGTGAATAGAAAATCCCGATTGCATGTACGGCGCTCGCTGTACACAAGTACACACACCGTGTTTACACAGCAACTCTGAACAGATTTGATTTTGTATCGCATGAGCGATTTGCACCCTAATCCTGTCTGGGACTTTCTCTGTTGTGAACACACGAGATGCGCTAATGCCGGGGTGGTATTCGGTAATTGAGGCTTGACTGACTGGGCCACACATACGTAAGTACGTACGCGTGAAATCTGAAAATGGGACATGAAAACTATAAACAGCGCCCTCTATTCAAACCTGTTACAGGCAATTAAAGTTATGCACCAGATTTCTTTCTCCTGACGAATGTTCATTTTTTTTCAACAGAAACCTTCTCTTTTTCTATTTTAGGCGGCCACAACCCTCTGAAAAAGGCCATCTTGGCGCACAAAACAGAAATAATTCGAACTTCGAAGTTTATGTTAATTAATACATGTACTTACGCGCAGTTTTTTTTCAAGAAAAGTTGGATAAATGATGTCTCATTCAGTATAACTGCGGTTGGTATTGCCAAAAAAATGTAAATTGAAAAAGAACATTTTTGTCCCCAGTTGAAACTCGAAAATAGTGCGGGGAAGACTTTTAAGAGGATAGGTTTATTCCCCTATGATGCAACCTGCGAACGTATCCACTCGGGGGTGGGGTGGGGGGGGGGGTGGGATTAAGACTAAAGTCTGATTTTTTTTTTTACTGTATCTACATCTGAGCCGTCTTAAAACCGTCTTAAAAATGTGTCTATTGTTTTTGTTTTTGTTTTATGACGCCTACAGAATGCCAGGGGTGTGGTAAGTTGCCCCCTCCCCCCTGATATGGCACACGAAGTAGTAATTAACCAATGTACTGTTTTCTAGTTTAGGATGATGTTTTGATCACCATAATTTTTAAAAGTTGTTTACTTAATTGGAAAGGATCACTGCTAGCAGCGGAGTTAATAACTATTAATTGAGTGAGAGGCTATAGTTTGTGATCCGGTGGAAAGGAAAACAAGTTATATGTTCGCCCTTTCTAAAATCCTGAAAGAAAGAAAAAATGTAACCTTCACTACATGCTAGAGAAACTTATGGATGGATTGAGTTTTAATAGGCTATATGTTTCAGCTCAATTTCCATAAAACCAGCTGACACATTGACAATATCAAAAGTATGACAAAAGCCTATTTTGTACAAAGTAAACCCACGCTCGAACAAACAACATATCTTGAGATAGCAAATACATATGTTGATCTGTTGATTTCACAACTTGAACGTAACTGATCGATGCTGGAAAATATGACAACAGGAGTCCACCTTTAATATTATTTTCTTTCCCCACAATGCACCATACATGTGCCACGTAAGAAGCCATTTTGATTGGAAAATTACTGGTGTCCGCTTTTATCTGCGATTGTTAATTGTGACATTGTCGGAAACCAGTGAGCGAACTTCGTACACATCACCTGCTCGTACCGAACAGTCTGTGACTAAAATCTAAAGTTGTATTTTTATCTGATTTAGAATTTCTTTTGCAGATTTCAGTTCATCCTCCACCTTCCAGGTATATTTGTTCTCCTTCGTGTGATTTATGAAAATAAAATAGCTTAGAATGGGTGGAAATTCCAGCGTAGAAGTTCCAGGTGGCGGTACGGAGGGTTATCATGTTTTACGGGTAAGTACACGTAGGTGTAGCGGGCGTTTGTGGGTTGTTGGCCGGGGAGGCACGTCACGGATCACGGTGCGTTCGGCACGCACGGACTTTACGGACAGCCATGCACTTTGTGATATTGTAACAATTTGGTTTTGGCCTGCCACTAGTCTAGGCCTACTGAAAGAATGTTGCAGCCTGACGGCCCCCCTTTTTTTTTTACTCATGTCATCTCAATAAAGGTCAGTCATTGCAAAAATGGGAAAGATTCCCATATCTGGCCGTGCATCACTTGTCACCCTGTGTACTACAAACCCTATGAAGTATGAGTCGAGTAGGACTATGAGACTGGTCTAAACATTCTAAGTTTTTTCTCAGTAAATCCTTTTATATTTTCCCTGCTAAATTTGACTAATTAGGACATATTATCACTTTCTGAATCTGATGGCTGATTGGTCACTGAAGGGAAAAATGATTGATGGCCAGATATGGTGGGAATCTTTCCCAAAAATGTTGAAAAGACATGAATGTGGGACTGAGATTGAGAAACATTTTCAATTTTGTTAGGAAATAATTTTCTTAACCCTCCATAGACTTTGTACATGCTGAAGTGGCGTCTGGATACTACATTCTTTCCTAAATAAATAAACAAGCCTAAATTGGAACTCAATTGTTTTAAATATGTTCAAGAAAAATCTTAAATAAAATATTGTGTACACAGCTTACAATGTGTCATTTTTGTTGTTTCTTAAATTTCTTGAACACAAGACTTTTTTGCAATATACTTCATTACTTGTGTTTTTGCTACTTGTGTAAATTGGATGTCTCCCGCTTTTTTAGTTTGTCATGCATTTCCAAGTGACATTTTAGTTAATGGTGTTTCAACTATAACATATTGCTTTCGCCAGTTATTTTGCAACGTTAGCAGTAGAGTTTATTTATGACTACATATGTACAAAATGTATAGTGCCTACAATATCCTAAATGTTAGAGAAAATAACAACATGAACTGTGTGCCTTCTTGCAGTTTTTTACTGGCACTAGTTTGTGTTAGTAAGTGCATTATTTCATCCTCTCTAACTACACAATAAAGGTCTTCATAAATTGCAAGTTGTAAAAAATTACTTGACAATTTTTTATAAGGTAATAAAACAAAACTGGTTTTTAAAACCATGACTGGCAGAACAAAAAGTAAAGTGCAAGATAAGAAAATGAAACAAATTTTAATTCCCAAGTCCTGCTTCTGGTCCCCGAAATAAAATACCGTACTCTATTGACCAAGTTTCAGTTGTAATTTTTTGTTTTGGGTGTACACAATGTACTTTGTTTTGTTCTATTTTGTTTGTGTATTCGATTCCCATACCTTGAAACTGCACAAGCTGTACATACGGTACTTTCCTTGAAATGACAGCCTCTTCTCATGTCAAGAATAAGCCAGTTTCCAGCCAGTGTTTCTGCAGGTCTAGACTTAATTCTAATACCATTTTCTTCTCTAATTGCATAGAGCTGTGTGATTTTTTTTACATTTGTCTTACTGAATCTTTTCCCCACATTGTCTGTCTTAGAAAAGCAGTGCAAATATAGGAATTCAAATATAACCAGTGTACTGGGGCATTAAGGTTACAGATAGACATCTTCATCTTAACGGTTCATGTTTGCCAAATTGTTTAAATATAGCAATTATGAATTTTCAAAGAAAAGACCAAAGTCCGCAAACTATAGTTAAACATATGACCCAAGTCAGCAAGTATGTAGATCGGTGGTAATGGGTGCATGATAGTCGGACCAAAGGTAACTGTGTCTTTTTTTGCAGTAGCCTTTTGTGTACACAGACCTTTGTTTGCTTTGAAATGGAGCAGGGTGATTTGTTTCATCTGAACTCGTCAGCATTCTGTGGGTGAAGTTCAGTATCAGCTCTGCCAACTTGGCTTTGACTTGTCTGAATAGATTTTGTGCCAGCTGCAATGAACTTTAGCATGTGATCATGGGTCATACTGTGCATTGAGATACTAATAAGGTTATCTGTAGAACAGAAATTGTATAACGTGGCTGTACTTTAGTAAAGGAGGAGATGAATTCTAACTGCCTAAGCATTTCTTTATGAAAGAACCCTTGAAAATCCACCAAAATCCTTGTACATTCTTTGTATTGAAATGTTCAAAGGACATCAAGTTCCATACAAAGTAAAGGTGGCTGAGGTCGAAATCATCTAAGTAGCCTTGCAGATTTTGCAGGGTCTGGGAAGGTTAGGGTTTAGATTCTTCCGTTTTCAGAACCCCAACTACTTAGCATGAAATATTTATGTACATGTATTGCCATCTCTTAGCATTCTTGGGGCTTGCAAATCCCAGCAATTCCATTTAGAGGAGGAATCCATAGTTTCATGAGAACCTAAAAAATTGAAAGGACTTAAATGTTTCAATTTTTATTCAAATTATTTTATAAAATGGATTTTGACTGTATAAAATTTTACAGATTCATTGTCAATGGGAATTAATAGATTTTCAGACGTTCTCTGACATGATACCTCTGTTTTCCCCTCCATTTCAGGTTCAGGAGAATTCACCAGGACACAAAGCTGGGCTGGAGGCTTTCTTTGATTTTGTCATTGGCATTGGAAGCACTAGATTGGTATGTCCTCATCTTGATTGGCTTTCATGTTGGGCTTGAATCTTTTCTATTTAGAAAGAAGAAGACATTTTAAATTCTACCTTGAAGAAAATGTATTCATGTTAACCATGACTGTTATGAAGTCACAGTACATGTAATTCCAACTACACTAATTATGTAATATTCAAGATATTGATTTCATTTAACTGTTTTACAAAATAATAGAGTCAGTTTAAGGAGAAAACTGAATACCAGGCATTTTTGCCATCAATCAGACTTACATGTACAGTACATATTCAAGCATTGACTAGTTTAAGCCCATGTCCAAGTCCAACGGGCTGAGGCAAAATCTGAGCCATGAAAATTGTGACTAAAGTTCAAAATCCTAGTGGCTGAAAAATCATACTTGGACTTGATTTTGAGTCTCAAGTCTTTTAACTCTTGATTAAACCACAAAACCAAACTTAATATCAAATCTTCATTTAAAAAAATCTGCAAAAATCATTTCAGCAAAATTAAAGTGTTTTGAAAAGATCAATTTTTGGATCAACTCAGGACAAGGATGATGACACCCTGAAGAAGCTTCTCAAGGAGAATGAAGAGCGACCGGTCAGGGTGTTGGTCTACAGCAGCAAGACGCTGTCTGTCCGAGAGGTCTCACTGACCCCTAACAACAGGTGGGGAGGTCAAGGGTTACTGGGGGTCAGCATCCGGTTCTGCTCCTTCGAGGGAGCCAACGAGAACGTCTGGCATGTATTGGTGAGTCCTGGCTCTGTGGACAGTTGTGGTTGTGTTGTAGATGGATACATCTTTTTATGGTAGGGAGAGAGTTAGCAGTGGGGCAGAGAAAAAGCCTGGTGGGTATGGCAGGGGGATGGCATCAAGAGGAATGAATAGTGTATCAATGTAAACTATTGAACTGAAGAGGATTCTGAGGTCACAATGTATGTTGCAATGTCTTACATGTTCAAACAGAGCTTACATGTATGTGTGTGGTGAAATGTACCGTAGTGTAGGGTAGACTAGTTTTTGTCCTTTTTTTTTAGCATACTGTAGCATGCACCTGGCCTCGAAATAACAGCTGAAATTCTTGAGCAGTTAGGTGTTCACCTCGTGTATGTCTGGGCTGTACTAACTTGTTGGACAGGTTTGTACAGGAAAAATACGTGCATACTTATGAATGCAAAGATAAGTAAGGGTTGGAGAACAAAAAGATAACAATTGAAAAGGAGAATTACTGAGCAAGATACAAATTTGATTTGACCACAAACCAATTTCTTCACCTTCATAACTTGTGCACTGATAATGACCCTCTTTTAATTATGAAATTGCAGGGGTGTAATTGGCTTTCAACATTCCCTGGCTGACATAGTCAGATATTGTACTTGGATGTTGTACATATTGGATATTGCCAAGGTCAAATGTGCTTACAATAATTACAATTGAATGTTATTACTACAGTAACTGGCTTTCAGAAAAAAGTCTTAAAATATCCTAACCATATGGTTGGCTGAACGACACATTAGATGCCTAATGTACACGTGTACTAACTACTGACAGTATTCCTGTAATTTAAACAGTTGTCTGTATATTTACTGTATTAAAAATTAAATTTCATTTTCATTATACATGCCCAGTTGCACACATCAATACTTAGTATTTGCACTGTTAGTATTGCACTGAACAAGTGTTGTAAATAATGATTCTCTGAATCCAATGGTTTCTTAAGTCAAAAAAATTCTGTGGTTTGTAAATGATTTTTCCCCATCTTAAGTGATACTGCCGGGATAAGTAGGAAGGAATAGTTAAATAATATTTGGTAACTGTCTAAATATTCAGAACCAAATACTTGTAAGAAAATCTTTGTGGACTCCATGTAAAAGGTTTACGGATAGTTACAGCCAGTGTGTGTGTTGAATTGTTTTCTGTGGAATGTTATGATCTTTCAGGATGTGCAGCCCACATCACCTGCTGCCCTAGCTGGCTTTAGATCCAACACAGACTATATCATTGGGGCTGACACCATTCTACATGAGGTACGTGCATACGGTAACCAAATTGTGCAAAACTTCTGACCTCCTTCCAGAAAATGAGAACAAGAATGTAAAAGACAAGTTGCGACTACCCGACTAGTCGTGACTATTTGCCATATGTAGTTATTAGGAAATATCTCAGATTAAGTGAATGGACAATATGGAGTACTACATTGATACATCTTTGTCTATCTATGATAAAAAAAAACATTTTGGACACTGTTGTGCTTATCCAGTTTCTTGCGGGTGGAGTTTTATTCCACTTTTGAAAGGAGCAATGTTGTTTGCCGTAATGTCCACTAAAATGATCATTTCATAAATTCCAAATGTATGACTATACATGTACATTGATCTTGTTATAAACTTTCCCATGAATGCCCCAACCAATTAGCCCCAACACTTAGATGCAGTGCAACTCTAGTCATGGCCCCACAACTAGTCATGGCGTCATGACTGTTCACTATAAAAAACAATTGAGGTTGCAACTATAAGTAATAGCCACGACGTAACCACTCTTCGACTAGTCACACAGCGCTACTTGTGATCAAAATGCTATTGGATAGAGCAAGGGCTATCCAATGGTATACAACACTATTGGTGGAACATTATTAACGGACTTGAAAAAGTTAGATAAATCTACGTGATATGTGATTGCCTGATATCGATATCTACATGATTGACCCTAGCTGTCAGAAATAGATTCATGTGTCTAAAAATGTAACAACTGTCAAAGTGTAGGCTGCTTATCAGCAGGATCAGCTAAAAATAGTTATTCAACGCTGGAGATCTCCATTCATACCCAAGCAGTACATAGATATATGGTATAAAGGCCGGTTTCAATTTGGTTGCGCAATGGTCCCGCGACTGAAAAGTTGACGCGCAATCAGCTTACACGTGGTGAAATTGCAAGCGACGTGTTGCCGAAGGACGCTGGCGACATCGCCACAGAGTTAAAATAATTGCATTCGGACATGGTTAGTAACCGTTACTGATCACAGTTTTCAACACTGGACCAATACGTGCTGTAAAATTCAGAGTTTGTCTAGGTATTTTGCCATTTGGCCAGTTTATGTAATAGAATTGAAGATCTATGAAAACGTTCCTCTGCAATGCCACACACTTACTTGTGAATGCAAATTTCTATCTGATACTAGATGACGAAACGCATAATTTATTATGTATTAATCTATGTATTGTACGGGTTGAAGTGAGAAATACTATTTGATTCAGTAGTAGAGTTGCTTGATCGTCACAATTCAGTTGAATTTTGTGTCTGTTCACAAACGTTGCGTGACAACAATAAAGTGTGCAAACAAGGCCCAGTACTCAGTGACCATCAGACATGTGAGAGTTGCATGTCCATCATAGCGCTATCCATGCACTACATATGCTCTACTTCTTGTCTTTCTTTTTGGGGTTGCAGTCTGAAGATCTGTTTTCACTGATTGAGTCGCATGAGAACCGACCACTCAAACTGTATGTGTATAACGTGGAGACAGACGGGTGCAGAGAAATCACAATCACACCCAACCGCACCTGGGGAGGAGAAGGCATGTAAGTAGAAACATGGCCTCGAAAATTAACAAATTGTTATTGGTAAAAGCTTGCAACATGCAGAGTAATATATCCCCTTGACATCAGTGTTTCCAACACTACATGTATGCCCCATTTATCTTCAAAACTGTACTGTCTTTGCAAATTATCAATATCTTAAAAGAACATGTCAACTTTTCCTCAGATCAGCTGATTGATTGTTTTTGCTTTGTTAGATTTTTTTGCCAATCATTTGAATGAATATCATTGCTGAGTTAAAACCACTGTTGGACAATTTTGTATGACCTTGGTTTTTCTCTGTTTAACCCTGTTGGGCCACTTTCACATGTGTTTCAGTTAATACATTTTGTACCTGTATAGCTTTCTTTTCTGAACCACGTTAAAAAGTGCTCTGGATTGAAGAATACAAGTTTGTAGTTGGAAAGGTTGAATTTGATTGGCTTTAAATGTTGACAAGCTGAAGGCTTTGGAACAGCATCTTGAGAGTAACACTGTTGCACATGTGAGTCATGTAGGAAGACACTCACATACTTCCTGCTGTGTGTCATTTTATTCACTGCATTTTTGTTTTACTGTTCTATGGAAAGTCTTGGCTGTGGTATCGGATACGGCTACCTCCATCGGATACCCACACGCTACTTCCCTGAAGGTCGTAAGATGACATTCTCGGCACATCTCAACGCACCCATGGTTCCCTTGGATAACATGGACAGCGTCAAGGTCACGCATGGGGATGGATTTGCTGAGGTGAGTGACTTCTTGTAATATGTGAAAATGCAATGGATATGAAATCAAGAAGGGTGCTGCTAGTATATACTTAAGCATTTCAAAAGTAGAAGAAAAGACGTTAAGGGCAAATAAACACTCAGTTGTTTCTAGAGGCTTCTTACTACCATCTGTGGCCTCACCTGGAATACCAGGTGTTGTCCCACACTGAAAATAATGAATGCCTCAAAGAGTTCAAGAGATATACAGCACTGCAATGCATGCTCCGAAAATGTTGTGTACATTGACTTTGTCTGAATTCAGCGTCTGTCTTTGCCTTCATGTTGCAGGTTTCCCTCGCATCCACACCAGACACGAGTCAGATTGAGAAAGGCGTGGCTGGGGTGAGGTTCTCACCAGACCCTCCTGTGGAAATCCCTAATCCTGCTGATGCTGGGGCTCAACCCACAGTGCCTGTCACAGAAACAACTACACCAGGTCAGCATGCAATTACGTTATGGTCAAAGGGCACAAAGTATTAACTCACTGGTGCTAAGTTGTTGACTGATCGGACCATCTGCTGACATGAAGCAGAGGGAGGTAGTCAAAATCACCCAATGCGAAGAGATCAGTAATTTTGCACTTGTTTCCTCGAAATTAACCAGGTGGTATTTGTTTTATTACACCTCATACATGTTTAGTTTCATAACCAAAATTTGAAACAAGTTGTTGGAAATCTGGTACATGGAATGTGTGTAATCGTATTTCTGTCACATGGTATTAGCAGCCATGCAACTGTTCCTCGGATCCGCTGATTTCCTCGTTTTTTACTTCTCATGAATGCCATTACAAAATGAAAAACAGTGTACAAAGTCTTGTGTGGTTCTGAATTTCCTCGTTGTTTCTCCTGAATTCCCAGTTGCATGCCTGTATTAGTATGATACCACCAGCAACGCCACTTTCAATCGCAACTGTTGCATGGTTTGTGTTCAAGGAACTAGTCTTGGCATATTCCCTCCCTAGAACTACTGACAGGTTGGGTGATAGTATGTGTGTCGTGTGTGCATGTGTGCAGGGTAGCTATGCGTACTTCCTAGACACATTGGAACATCAACCAACAAAATATGGCTCATAAATATGTATGCGGTGTAGTAAGGTAGTTACTTTTCAGGCTTTGAAGTATTCTCAGTTCGACATAGAAGTATGTTGAAATGGTGAAAGATTTGTAGATCTTTTCATGTTGAAGTGACAAAATAAAGTGAGCATGCGGACTTGCTTACTTAACAAGAGGGCTACAGTGAAATAGTTGACTCACTGTAAATTGAACATTTAAGGCTTTTATCAGATCGTGTACTTTTATGATATTATTTCCAACAACGATGTTGGAATTGATAAAATATCACAGCTCTTCTCAGATGCAGTTTGTCTGTAAGAAACTTTGATGGGCATCTCTTAAACTTTCACAAGGTGAACATTAATTCCTTTAAAGCCCTTCTAAATCCTACTTTCATTGTGTACAGTTTCAATGGAGAGAAAGTTACATAAATATGTTTGAGAAAAAAAATGAAAAAAACTCACAGCAGTTGTCCGATGGCATTTATAGTACCAAAAAAGGTTACCAGGGGTTACCAGGGCCACTCTATAGATGTCATCAACCCACAAGTGATTCCTTGATATTCCAATCCCTCTGTGTTTTCTGTTCGCAGTTTCCACAGGTGTTCTGCCGCCAGTCAGCCTGGCTAACATCCCCGGTCTATCCAACCTCAACATATCCCTGCCGCCCATGCCAGCTGTGGCACCCGTCAGCACCACATCAGACGCCCCAGGCACCACTGTAGCATCCACCACCCTGCCCCCACCGGTCTCTCTCCCTGGAGGGATCTCAATACCGGGCCCCACACCCCTGCCAAACCTCCCTGCTGGCATCAGCACAGCTCCACAGACTACCACGCCATCCTCGTAACTCTCTAACCAGGAAGGAACCTCATCTCATCTCTGGTGACTTGGCTTGACACCCTCCTGGTTTTGCTAGGAACCCTCTCAAAAATTCTTCATTGTGCAGGAAATCAATGACTCATTCTTAACGCTTCAAACTCCAAGAGAAATCGAGTAAAAGTGGATTAGTTCCATGTTCTTCAGTCCTGTAAAATCCGCTAAAATCTCCTGTGATTTTGAAAGTTTTGCAAGATTAAGGTTTGAGTCGTTTCGACAAAACTAAATCTTCTTCAAAATCAAAACAAAAGGCAAATTCCATGGCTGGTTAACTGATTATTTGCAAACAGTCAAGCTAAACCTCTGGTGTATTGCACGGTGCATGTGCCAACGCTTGCTTGTGCAAACTCTATGAGCTGTGCTCATAACTTGAAAGTGGGGCTTAATTCTTATTGGTAGTTAGTCTTTGGTTCATTGCACAATGGCGGAGTGTGGAGGATTCATGAAGTTAATAAGCAAAAGAATGCATGGGCAGTTAGAATGATGGTACCCCAGCAGTTGCCATCTTGAATTGGGATATTTTATTTCCCCATGTTGTTATACCTCTCAATAATAAACTGGAATACGAAAAAATGTGATTTGTTTAAAAAGCTCCATAAATATGAGAAAATCCAACAAAAATCTTTACAAAGGCTAATTTAATTTTCAAAAAATTGGCACCTCAATTCTTTTGGCAGTCTAGAAATTCAAATATTTCATAGATCCTTTTACTATATGCCGGAGAAAATTGAACTGAATTTTGCCCGATTGTAATTATGTATTAAGTCTCTTTTGTCACTTGTTGCCTAGTACCCTGCTTAATCACACTGTGAAGTGGGTCACCGCCACAGAGGCACCAACCTAACTCCTGCATAAAGTCCAATCCTGTCTCTGTTCAAATGGCTGTCAGTATTGCAGAATATTTCTAGTCATTTTTAGTGATTAAAAAAATGCTCTGTTGGTAAAAGGAAAGCTAAGATTGCCCAAAAAATGGACTGTAAAACTCTGCTTTCAACACTCTCGTAAACATTGTAATCCCTTACACTTTCCTGATTGACTGACAAGAAAATAGGAAAAAGAGGAAAAAAAGAACAGCATTAGTAATTTGTTTTGGAGGGCAAAGATATGTTAGATACATCATCTTAAGTTGGCAAACATACTACCTTTTTAAGTTCATTTTTATAGATTTTTTTTGTTACTAGAAACATTCCTTAAAGCTACAAATAGGTGTTCTTAGGATATGGTATTTGAGTTGGGATTTTTCTTATTGCACTAAGAGCTGGAAAATTATATATTGCAACAAAATCTTTGAAAATACTGCAGTGCTTAAGGTATTTTATATCAGTGCCAGTATAGATATGCATAGTTTGTAGGCTTATGGACAAATTGTTTGATCCGATTCATAAGGCAATCATTTTCTTTTACTTGAAGGCTTAACTAATTCAAAGTTAAAGTTTAGGAATGGGGAAGTCCCTCGCTCATTGCTGAATAGTCAAGGGTTCCCCTTAATTTGTCAGCATTACAGTTTTTCAAAACGCATTTGCATACATTCAAAGCATGTTAATCAAAATAATTCAATCTAAGTACAATCCAATATTTAAACACTTTGAACAAGTACAAGTCTGTTCACATTACTTTTCTGTGATTTTAATGTTAATGTTGAGACATCGAGCATGAAAGTTTGTTTCCTGTCCCATTATTATATCAATTAAATAAAGGATACCTTTTTGGGACTTGAGTTAGAGCTCGTATCAGGAGCTTGCGACACCATCACGGTGTCTTTCTCAACTGGTGGTGGTGTTGAGACAGTTGTGTTTCCAATATGAAAGATAATATCTTTGAAGAGCGCTTCAAACTATCAAGGTCGCAAAATTCAAACAATACCGGTGTTTCATCCAGGGAAAAGGTAATGGAAAAATTGTGTTGAAAATGTCAAGCTATTCCAACCGCATGCTTCTGCTATTTCAAAAAGTTGGCAATTCATGCTAAACTGCAAAGGATTCTTAAAGGGTTGAAAGAATTTAGGCCCCTGTGAATTTCAGCGTGTAAATGAAAACAGGTAACCTTTGAGGATTTTAGGCAATCGATTGAAGTTAATTGTTTGCCTATTTAAAAATTATAGGAACCAGAACTACTTAAAATGAAAAAGGAATGAAAAGCGCTATACTATTGGATGAAATAAGTCCTGGTTTCTATGTAGTATTTCCGCTTTCCGTTTTAATTGTAGTTTGCACTTCCTGAGAAATACCCAGCAATTTTACATAACAGTGATCAAGCAGAATACATGAATTGACATGCATTACAGTCTTGATTTTTTTATTATTTAATCTTGGAAAAAAAGTGTAAAGACAAAAATTCACATCTCCACATGTATGTAAATAAATTGGCGTAAATGGTTGCTATATCTGCAGAATATGTAATCTCATGCCAACACACTTTTGTAAAATGTGCCAGATTTCTCCAATTTAATTCATGATGTGATCTACTTTATTGGCATTTTCTCACAGGAAAGGAAAATAACAAATTTAAACAAACGGTTTGGAAAGTTTTGAATTTGTCTTAAAACCACATGTACAATTAAGAACATGAAACATCAGATTAAATGATTTCTGGCTTGGTTTGTGTAGTTCTCTTTTCAAAACTCTTTACAAAAAAATAATAAATTATGAGTTTGTTTCTGAATTGATGTAAATTATTGACTTAAGGTGGAGATATGCAAGTTTTGCAGTTGAACACTTCTTTGATGGTGATATGAATGGTAAAAAGTATAATGAAATAAAATATTTTTAAAATATCAAATTTGTTTTATTTCCCTTCAGTGCTTAGTGTATAAAAATAGTGTTAATAAGTACATGTATATCTTGTTGGACATTCAGTTTGTAAAAAAAAATATTCATTGTCCAGTTTTAGAAGAGTCTTGAAAATGTTCCTTTGAAAAGGTTATCTAAAACCTTATCCAATCATATCATACCACAATAGAATAAGAAAAGATGCAATTGCCACAGCCAGCCACAGCCAAGAAACTTGGACGCAGCTTGAGGCTTGGTTTTTGATATCACTTTGCATGCGCATCATTGTGGGCATCATGTGTTTAGTAGTGTTACAACTTTAGAAATGCTTTTAAAACTTTAAAAATATTCCAAATAGGCGTGGCGAGATTACGTCGGGCACTGAAAACATCTACCTATACATTCGCACACTAGCAGTTGCACACTAGTCTTCATCAGTTGCTATGTGTTACCATTCAGCACTCCAGACTCAAGAACCATTGAGTTTCAAGAAAATAGGTCTAGGAGCTAGATATGCAAATGTAAAAAGTTCCGCGACAACTGCGTCCGCCTATAGGTTATTATGATACACAAGAATGTTGTCCGTCATTTTTTATCGCTTGGCAAAGTTCTTGTCCAGTGCTGCCTTTGTCCGTTGGATGCTGTAGATGTTCCTGTGGATACGATCCTCAACGGAACTATTATCAGGTAACTTCAGCGGCCTATAGAAAGAAGAGGGCGACAAAAGTGCCATGAAAATACAAAAATGTGGTGGATAGCATGACGCGTGTGCTTCAGACAACACACAAAAAGACTCTGCAAAGCAGCCATGTCAGAATGCATTTTTGTTGTTCTTATGCAGTAACAATAGCAGAACAAGGCACTGTCCCTATAAGACAATCACTATGCATAATACCATCTGCATAGCAGCCATCTTAAAGGGCAATGCCTTTGCTTTATTCATTGTTACTGAATTAAAATAACAACAGATGCCCTCTAAGATGGCCGCTAAGCATAACGTTTATAGTCCATCAGAAATTGTTAAAATTATACTTTTGGGACTCAGAAAGCACATCATGACGTAAGAATTATATTTAAAAATGTCCGACATTATGATGATATTTGTAAGAGTGAGCTTACTGAACAAATTCTGCAGTTTTGGCCTTCTTTTTCTCCATTTCCAACTCGGCATGCTCTTCTTTCTGTGTAAAAAACAAATAATTCAACTGAAAAATGGCCTGTTTTCAATGCCATTCAGTCAAGTGAGGATAAAAACAGAAAACATAAACAGAAAACATACAAAGAGGGAAAAAGTAAGTTAAGTTTCAATTTTGTCTTTTGCACATGTATACTTTGGTAAATTGATATATTAAAAAAAAAGTCACTACATCATCTGTAATGCTGCCATTTGATTTGATTTGTTTTTCAGCAAATGAAATGACAGTTCTTATGAAGGATCACAAGGGATCACAAGTGAATCACAAGTGAATCATAAGTCATGCTGTCCCATGTCAACTCACAAGTTGTTGAAATAAACTGTGACAAAGGCATTCTTTTGTTATAATTAATCCCTAGTACTTGTGACTGGACAAGTGAATCGACTCGTGATTGGACTTGTGACCAGACTTGTGATGTTTTGTGATCCTTCACGAATACATCAGCTGCAAACACTATGAAACGACTACACCAGGACCACCAATTACTGACCTCGTAAACCTTGACTCTTTCCCTGCGCTGGTCGTCACGCCACTTGGCATTGTCCATCATCTCTGCTCGCTTTCTCTCCATCTCCTCTGCAGTCAATTTTCTGAGGCAACATTTTCAATAAACAGAGTGATTTCACACAGAAAGCATCAACCTTGCAATTGTATGGATTGCTACTAACAGCCAGGGAACATTAATAGGTTGATATTACCTAACAAAATGCAGCGCCATGTATTGCAATTTGTGAAGTACTTTTAAAATCATTGAAGGTTGGCTTTGAGAATAATATAAACATTTTCAGGAACTTTGTTTTTTAGGTAATCATTTCAAGTCCACTCAATTTATTAGAAAAGGGAGACAAATCCCAAAGTGTATGTTTTCGGACATTTCTACCACTCAGGATTTTACCTTTTGGAAACAACATTTCCCCGACTGCCATTTTGTCTTTGGGGTGATCTGCTCCGAGACCTCCTGGATCTATCTCTGAACTCCCCACGTTCCTTCACAGGTGTCCTCGAGCGACTCCTTTCCCTCCTTCCATGTTTCTCAGCCCTACTGTCACCATATCTGTCACTGTGTTTGTCTCTTTTGGGTTCAGGCGACGGTGACCTATTGTCCCTACGTAAGTCCCTGGTTTTCTCAGCGTGTTTGTCACGGCTCTTGTCAGAGTCCCTGTAGGGTGATCTATCATGGTGTTTGCCAGCGTGTCTGTCTTTGCTTTCAGAATGATGGTGTCTGAACTGGTCTCTTGGTACTCTCTCTGGAGACTGGCTCTGTGATCTTCTTGAACTCCTAGCTCCTCTCTGTAATCCATACTTTGCTGAACTCTTCTCACTTCCTACACCATGTTTCCTCTTCAAAACCTCTGGCGAAACACTCCTATCCTTTCGCCCTTTCCGTGAATCGCTTACGTTCTCATGAGGCCTGTACCTCTGTTTGCGGTCCTCCTCTGCGTGTTGACCTCTCGACAGATGCTCCGATTTGATCTGCCTCTTTTGCTTTGTAGCGTTCCTGTCATCTGAGTCGCTCTCACTGGACGATGATTCGGAAACATCTACATGCTTCTTATGCTTCTTCAGCATCTCACGTTCCAGGAGTTTCTTCATCTTGGCTGGGTCAAGTGATGGCATCTTCCTTTTCTCGTCTCGTCCAGAGCGGATGGGACTTTCTCGCCGCCTGTCCTCATCCCTATGATGGCCTTTAACTCTGTATCTCTCTGGCGATGTGTGTTGGTGAAGGTTTCTCCTCTTAGCTGGGCTGGGAGAGTGATCCTCCTCACTGGAACTATCGCTGGAAGCAGCATGTGACTTCTTGTGCTTTGTACTCTTCTTGTCTTTGTGCTTCTTGGATTTTTTGCTCTTCTTTTTGTCTTTGCCGACTTGGGTTTGTAGCTGAAATGAACAATAACAAACAATGATGCATTTTAATGCATACCATTCTGAACTTAAGTGTTCATCCTTAGACTCAGACAGGAAAAAAACCATTGGCTTACCATTTGTTGCAGTTGCTTCATTCTGATTGGATTACTGACCAGCTCTTTCCGATTGTTGAGCTCACGTTTTCTGAAATAAACACAAGATATTATAATAAATGGAATGCAATTATTCAGAAATTAACAACATGGGGCAAACTGCCACTTTTTAGCACTTTTTGGGCCTCTCTCTTAAAACCTATTTAATAGATATTGTGCGATTATGGGTGTAATGCACAAATGCAGATATGTTTCTGATCTAAAATCTACTGTCATATCACAAAAGAACCCAGTACGCACTTGCTCCAAGTATAGTGCAACAGCAGTCTTTCCATTTTCAATGGTGTCCCTAAACTCACTTGATTGCAAAGAGAGGATCCTCTCTCATTTTCCTGGCCATATCCTTAGCATCGATGGAAGTACTGGCTGAACTACCGACTACTGCCCCTGCAGAAGCAATGCCACCCTGGGTCTGGTCAACAGAAATCACAGTTAGTTGTGAGTGGGAGTTAGGGGTAAACATGTCATTTCTTGATGGCAGGCTCAATACTGTCATTGTTTAACAGGGAGATAGATTGTATAAAAATCCTTAATGACAGGTGGTGAGAATACAATACACTGCTGTCAATGTAGGACATTTTTGTGGTATGCAATTATTCTATTAAAGTATAAAATAGTGCAAATGATGACATGTAGCATAGTGTGATATGGGCTCTCAATTCTGGACTGGTTCCCAACATCTCCTCTTTAAACTCTTATGTATATGCTGCAAACGATGGCACACACTGGTGTAAGGAACCAAGCAGACATATGTGCATGAACATTGTAGCAATTAATTCCATAGATATAAGAGTAAAGTCTAGGATGTAAAGGAGGGCTCAGAGAGCAGTCTACTTCCTTCTCATTGTTTACTTTCCCTGGTATGCGTTCCCATATATGTAAAAGGATGAAAACCTTGTGTGACATGTAAGGAGTCCTTCACTTGCCCTTGTTACTAGGCTAGAAATTGCTATCTCTGTTTACACATTTGAGTCCACTGCCTTAAAAAGATGAGACAAAATTGATCAGTTTTTATAAACTTGCAGACCAAATTCAGAAACTCACCCCGGTTGTCTTTTTACCATGCTGGGCTTCCAATATGGCTTTATCAACCTCCTTCCCAAGCAGATAATCATCAGGGTTAGTATGACTGTCTGGGCCTTTGTACATCCAGTCTACACGGTCTTTGCGTTTTCTGTTATTGCCAGAGAATGAAAAGATCCAAGAATAAAATAACAGCTAACAACAAAGTAATTATTAAAGGCAAACTGGATAACGCCCCTTACTCAAGTAAGGGTCACTGACGTTACACTTTGACTGTAGTGCCGGTTATTATAATGATAAACAAATTGAAATTTTACTAAAATGATCCCCTCACTCTTATCTCACAATTACCAGACTATAGTGATACTTCAAACACCTGAGTATGGAGTGTTGAAGAAGTTTTCGAATGAATTTGAGTTTTGGGGGGTCATGTCCCCATTAACATGCCATGGCATTGCCTATATCAAGGATTTGTATAGCACGAAGCAGAGTAAAACTGCTTGAGCAGAAATTGCAGAAAATTAGTCAAATATAATGTGGGTCAACTTGACTAACTTTCCATCAAACATCTAAAAAAAAATGGTAGACACATTGTTTCTTGCAGCAGTCTAATTTCTTGTATTGATTTTCGGACTCACAATACATAATGCTGAAAATCCCAATTTTTCAAAACATATATTTGGATATCTAAGATGCAAGCCAGTGGCATCTTACTGAATGACTCCAGCCTCTTCTCCCTTTCTCCTCATGTCCTCCATGGATCTCTCCCCCTGTCGCTCCTCAAGCATCTCTTTCATCCTCTGTCGCTCCTTCTTGTCTAGTTCTTCCAGCTTCCACTTCTTCTCCTGGTTGTCATGGCGACGGGGATCCCAACTCTTCTTCAGATTCTGGAACCGATATGAAAGTCAAGTTCAAACTGGAGGTGGTATATTGTTTTTAACTGCATGCTACAGAAGATTTAAGATAAAAAATATATAAAAGTTTTTCATACCCGCCCATTTCCTTTCTTCCTGGCAACTTTTTAAAAATTCTTACATTTGCGACCTTTTTTTTTGTTGTCTTTTTATTGGTTTCAAAACAAAAATTGTAGCTATGTAGAAAGGGTTATCACTTATGGCTCCTTTGGACACAATTTTGAATCAGCAAAATAGTCAAGAATATTGAAGAAACCAACCGCCAACTTGGAAAATCTGCCATCTTGGTGAAAAAAAGAAGAGAAAAAACCTGTCTGCCTCTTTTATTCTTTCAAAAAGGCCGGACGAGAAACTACTTTTTTTGTTTACTCAGCCTAACACTCCTTTCACAAACTTTCAAGATGTCTTACCAAGTCTCCTCCACCCATTGTTACTTGCTGCTTCACTTGTTAATGGACAGATCACACCTGCAACCAGAAATGAAAAAGAAGATTACATTTACAGTAACGTTTTAAGCAGTTTCACAGTAATACGTGCCATCTCTTTCATGGAGCAAAAGGAACATGCATTGTTGTGAGCACACATTGGAATGAAATTATAAATGCATGATGACGCTGAAGTGTAAACTAAAAAGGAAGGCAAAGACATCATTTGGGAATAATTTATTACAAAAATATAAAAATTTCATGACTTCCCATTTATTGGCATTTCTGACAAGGCCTGTTTGGGCTATTTTTATTTCCCTTAATCATTCAAAATGGAATGTGTGTTCAGTAGTATGGAACGCCGTATTATCGCGGTACTTATCACGTTTCTCGTTCGGAATAGAGATTGCCCACTAACCTTCCAGAATTGTCCTGTCTTATGTGTAGTATAACTCTTCCTTTTTAAATTAATATAAAAAAATCTGACGGGTGGTGTGGTTTATTCCGTGTACGATGCCTGTGAAAATAGACATGCGCGGCGTGTGTGAACGGAGGTGGACTCCCTATTATCGCGGTATGCGGGAAGTGGTTTTTATAATGATCCCAACTTTTTTGTTCATAGTTTATCTTTGACCAAAACACCCCCTGAATAAAGTCTGATATTTTCCCTGTAACGTTCAAGTTGATTAAAGACAAAATGTCTGCAGGATGATTTCTTAAGACCCTGCCCTTCCCCCGAAAGGAGAACACAAATCCCTGAGGCAAGTCTACTGATCGAAGATTGAGGGCGCCATTCACTTTACACGGTGTGCCGTTTTATTTTCTCTAACGCGCGGTGCTTATTTTGATCCCGTAAAAGTTGTTACGATTTCGCGCTGCAAATATCGTCGTTCGACTTCATTTTACATTTGCAGCTGAAGAATGGGAACCAGACAATGGAACTTTCATGGACAGAGCGCAATTAAAGATTTATGTTAAAATATAAACGGTACCTTTTAGCAGACACGGTGAGGGAAAATTTTGCAAGTTTTGGAAAACGTTAATATTTATTAAAATCGTTAAAAGTCCCGAAAGACACAACATTTTTTAATCGTCCTTTTTATACAACTCGGAAGAAAATCCTTGATGACTGGTGAACTGGATAAAAATCGCCACTTGAAGGAGTTTTGACACTCTAAAAAGAGAAATTTCCCATGCCGCGATAATAGGGATGCCGCGATAATAGGGAGTCCGACTATATAATTTCCTACCCCAAGTTTTCAAGCAAGTGCTGCACACTGTACTGCACGCTAGCCCGACTGCGTCTGGCCGCACAGTACTATCGCAAGCTCTGTAGTACGCAGAGCTTGCGATAGTACTGTGCGGCCAATGACAATGAAAACAACAATCTTTCTCACAAGTACCTCTAAATCGATCGTTTGTTTTATATCCTTAAGCGAATCTTATCACTTCAAACATATCAAATCTGTAATTATCGAGCTAAAAAGCTTTAAATTTCATGAGAAAAAGCAGAATTTACTCGCCATTAAGATGTACAGAGTCGGTTACGACCGGGATGTGTATACGTCAGAATTATGTGCGCACGTTTTCACCTCGTTTCCAAAAAGTCTTGTCATTTGCACCTGACTTTATGTTGATAAGTCCGACCTTAACCCCGGGAACGTGTTCGAACCTTGCAATTTCAGAGGTCACACGTGAAAGGTCATGCAAAACTAGTTGTCAAAGGGGTGCTCCCCCTATCGCCTTGTATCATCCAAATAAACTACGAATAAAGTAAAATATCAATTTAAAATATATTAAGAATGCTTTAGGAAAGCAAAAAACTTTTGGTGTGTACTTTTTATTGAGAGAAACTTGAATTATTTCTCAGCAGTTGTCTTTCAAATTTATTGGGCGTGAATTTGAAGGTCAGCCAGGCATTTTGTAAACAGCTGGGTTACGTTTATTTACGTGGACGTGCATCACTGCATCGTGCATACGTGTGGATTTTGCTGAAACGGACACACTCACAAACGTGAAACGTTATTCAGAGCTAGTTCTTCAGACGTAGTTAAAATCCGTAGTTGTATTATGGGTGACGTCGATGAAAAAGAATTGAAAGCTGGGCATCCGCCTGCAGGTAAGTTTAATGTTTTTGATATTGGGTAAAACTAAAACTTAATCATGTTATTGTTATTTTAAAACTGTTTTTTTGTGTGTGTTTATGTTAGAGGGTGGATATATTGCTGGTGGCTATCCCTGTCAACAGAGGGCGCTGTACTCTCTAAGATAGGGCTAAATTATAAGATATATTAAATTACAACCAAAGGTTGTGTAGCACCTGTGGCCTAGTGGATAAGCAACGGATCTCATGAGCGGGAAGTTCCGGGTTCGATCCCCGCTTGCAAAATTTTGAATTTTTTTTTCCCATCCCAAAAAATAAGAATATTCTTCTTTTATTATTTTAACATAAAAAAACCATGTTTCTCGTCCCTGTCACGCCCCAACTATCGCATCGGTCCCAACTATAGTTGGGCCTGTCCCAACTATAGTTGGGCCTGTCCCAACTGTAGTGCCACAGTTGGGCTGGCCCAACTATAGTTGGGCCTGTCCCAACTATAGTTGGGACGGTCCCAACTGTAAGTTCCATTGTTGGGCTGGCCCATCTATAGTTGGGCCACTCCGATCTTTTTATTTTGCGGTGTCCCAACTATAGTTTACATTGATGTACAACTGTTAAACGTTCCCTTCAGCTCTGATACACGTCTGACTTTACTGGGGACCACTGAAATTAGTTATTGATGGGGCGAATCTATAGTTGGGCCACTCCAATCTTTTTATTTTGCGGTCCCAACTATAGTGTACATTGTTGTACGATTATAAAACATTCCCTACAACTCTAATACACATCTGACTTTACTTGGGACCAATGAAATTATCTATGGGTGGGGACCATCTGTAGTTGGGCCACCGCAATATTTTTATTTGGCGGTCCCAACTATAGTTTACATTGATGTACGACGACTATAAAACATTCCCTACAGCTCTGTTACATACTGTCCGACTTTTTGGTACCTTTGACATTAGCTATGGGTGGGGCCCATCTATAGTTGGCCGGCCACGGCAATCTTTGAATTTTGCAAAATGTTGCTGGACACAAGGGCGGATCCAGAACACAATTTTTCGGGGGGCCAAAAAATTTTTTTGTTCCCCCCAAAAAGTGGGTCAAAAAATTACGGCGTGGGGTTCGGGGCCCGCTTAAGGGCCCCGAAATTTTTTTGGATTCTAGATGCTCTGTGGTGCGATCTGAGGCAATTTCTGACCACTTTAACCAATTTTTTTTGAGGAAAAGATGGTGGTGTACTCATTGCCTGCCTTTATTGCAATGTCACATAAAAACAAAACAAAAAATTGGTTTCGTTTTGGGGGGGGGGGGGGGCCATGGCCCCCTTTGGCCCCCCCCCCTGGATCCGCCCTTGGCTGGACAATCAACCCAGCAGCTGGACAACTCATCCAACTAGGCAGTACCACGTGACCGGCCGGCCAGCCTTGCGGCATGCATGCACGACGAATACACGGTGCCAGCGCCGCGGAACATTTAATCCAACAAGATCTATCAAGCATGAAGCATCCGGCGCAACTCCAGTCCTAACTATAGTTGGGCCGACCCAACTGCCGCACTATAGTTGGGACAGTCCCAACTATAGTTGGGACCGATGCGATAGTTGGGGCGTGACATCCCCACCTGCTTCCTTTTTGGAGGCCGCCTGGATTTTTAAAATTATTTTTCATTTTTGAAAAATGCAGTACAAAAAACACCAAAAAAGTCCACAAATTCATCGGAAAATAAATTGTAGACCAATACAAGTCTAAATGACACTGTAAATATGTTCAGTTCTCTTGTCCAACTTATCTTTCATTTTAAAGCTGTCTTTGAACAGTGGAAACACCAACGGTTGAAGGAAATTTTTAAATGGCGGCCATCTTGAAACAAATAAAAAATGACATATAAAAAGCCCCGCTTCCTCCTTTTTTTCAAAAACCCGGACGAGAAACATGTTTGTTTTTTTTATTCGGCCTTCATTACATTTTCTTTTTCAGATTTGTGGCTCTGGAGGATTTTTTCAAAGGAAATAAAGTCCGAAATTGTAAAATGGTCTGATTCCCATCTTGTGAAAATGGAGTAACAACGATAATGTTGGCATGGAGCCGGACTAAAATTTGTCACCGGAAAATGTCTAAGTACAAAAAAACAGTAACTGCTGCGCATGTTCAGTGCATATCCATCAAGCTAACGTTTACTAAAGGTTTGCCGTCTCCGGCTAAATATCCACTGCCTTCATGTTAGCTTATTTCTCAATCAATTACCACTTGCCGGATTACCCCTAGAACTAGGGGTATTGCCAGATCAGACCACACGCAATGCACACTGCACTAACTGGAGTAACTATTGAGTGAATGATTCCAAACCACTGATTTTCCCTTCACCTAGAAAGTCATATTTAGCAGGAAAAATATTTACTGAGAAAACACTTAACATTTTTCAGACCAGTCTCATAGGGTTTGTGCATAGGGTGTCAAGTGATGACCAGATATGGGAATCTTTCCGAATCTTGAATTTTAACCAAAGTACATGAAAGCGTATTGGTCATTTTTTGGAGTGCTGGATGGAGGATCATTGAACATGAGGAAAAAAAAAAGCAACCTCAGGTTGCAACATTGTTTCGCAGAATTTGTATGGGATTTGAAAATTTTACTTTCGATACAGGCAAAGAAAGAAGATGGAAATCCACTTTGTTTTTCATTCCCAATTCGAAAAAACCCCCCAAATATTAGGCCCCTACATTTCTGCATTTAAATTCATGAGATTGTTTGTTGAATTGTATATACTTTGACTCCATCCAGTGAAGGCCGGTGGTATGCGTATCAAGCAAACTGGCAAGCAGCCTCATGAGAAGCCGCAAGAAATGACACCAGAGGAGGAGGAAGAGTATGGCCCTGCAACCAGGTAAAAACAAACAATCATAAAGACAGTGTCACTGTCAGGATGAATTTATGTCTGGTACTGACATTCTGGGTCCTTCAAAAACACCGAGAAATATTTGAAGAAGAGACACATTATAACAAACAAATGTTCAGGTGTAGGAGAATAACACCCGTGTCAGAATCGCACAGTTGCACTGAACCAAATTTTTTTTCTAAACATTTTGAATTAATTACATCAAAAGTTTGACATTTAAAGCAGTAAGGAGCCACTATATGTGAAGATTGACTGTTGGAGTCATTTGAAATGACTCCAGAGTCCAGACCATGCCAAATGAAAGATCCTTAATGAAGGTATTCATTTTTGAAGGGAAAAAACACCTTTGCAAGAACTATGTAGTGATTTTGATAGTAATGGTGCCATTTGTACTCATACAACTTTGTAAACTGCATTTCCAATTTGTATTTTATTCACACCTAACAGTCCACCCAAGCCGGATGTGCAGATGTTGATCTCTGGAGCGCCCTCTAGAGGCAACAAGGATTTTCCGCCTGAGGCTGTGCGTGCATTCCACAACAAGCCCATGCCTGCGCACCAGAAGAGCCCTCAAGTCAAGCAGATGCACAACGTACAACAGCCCAGGAAATAGATATCACCTTGACTTGTTTCATCATCTGTAAGGTTGAGGAGAGGTGAAGAAAAAAAAAAGGGAAGGGGTGGGGAGAAGGCAAGGGGTGGGGGTGGGTAATGGATAAGGGAGGGGCGAAAAGTGGCCAACATGTTTTCAAACGAAGGATGAAGGTTCAAATACATATAGTACTCAATGTGCCTGCAAATAACAACACAAAGGGCTATATGCTGCGTCGCTACAAAATTGGGATGTGTGCATAGAATAAAATGATTCTGTGTAAAGCAAATTTTGAAATATTGCTTGAGCTTAATATGGGTTCCATGCACAAACAAGAGAGGGCACTGTTTGATTACTTTTGGTGCCCAGTGGATAGTATACCGGATTCATACCGGAAGTACGCTCCACTTGGTTTATTCTGAATGTATACAAAGCCATATAATTGCATAAGCGTTGGGCATCATTGGCATTGCATTCAAATATCTCTCCCAGTGGTCTACCCCAGCTTTCCCTTTCTTACCGTTGAGGGGGTACTTGTGCATGGAGCTCATAAGCAAATGACGGCAGCTGAATTTTACCGAGATTGTGCAGAACATAAACAAAAGTAAGTTTCAGCTTTTTGTCGGACAAAAGTGATCACGTATTTTGACTTGCAATCAGAGACAAATTTCATGCAGATGCTAAGCACAGAAGCTGCTTTGCAGAATGTTTAGCAAATAAATATGATGAGCGATCTTTTCTGCTCAGAAGGATCATAAAAATGGGGCCTTTCTTGCTAAATTTACTATTGATCTCACATTATACTGGTGAAGTCACTTAAGTGAAAATGATTTCCCCAATACTGCCAAGATGTCACTAGCCAAGATCAGTGATGTCACATTCAAAGAAAATCTTCAGATTGGTTTCAAGTTGAAAAGAAAACAAATTACTGAAATGAAAATTGTTCACGTGTAGTCGGGGGACAGAGGGAAAACATTTATTAGTCCCAAAAGTTTTTTCTTAAAAAAAATGTTTGAGACAGAGTGGTGTTGATGTTCATTCCTTCATTTTTTCTCTTCGTTGATGAGGCAAAGACAAAGTTTATGCTTCAGAACTTTTGAAGCTGGATGGTATTAGCAAATGTTGGTTACATGTGGAATTGATGCGCTACAAGAAAAATGGAGGTGCTTCACATGTGTCATTAGTTTTGAGACATGCATGTAAAGTCAGTGGTTGTAACTTGATATTGTCGTCGGGTGACATTGCAATCAGCAAAGTGTTTATTTGTCAAAGGTACATTGATGTGATCATGTTTGTAATTAAGATGTCACATGTTGGAAAGAAGTCTGTGTTCTTACAAAGATTTATGCAGCAAAATGGATTAAAAATCCTCATTTATCATTGTCTTATAAAACAAATATATTTCAAGTGAAACTTTTGTTCTGGCAGAATATCTTATTTTTTATTGTTCTTCATTTGCATTGCTTCTTGATATTGAAAACCAGATTTTAATCTTGTTTGGCTTCATTAAAAATCTAAGAAACAATGAAAGAAAAATATTGGTTACAATAAAAGTTGAAAAATGATGAGTTATCGCCAAATTATCAGTAGGAGTGATGTTTAAATAAAACAATCAAAGAATCATGTGTGATAACAACTCTAAGTGGTTTCAAACCCTTAAATTTAAAGACATTAACCTCTAGAAATTTTATTTTGATATCTATTGTTGAATGTTCCTGAGTGATTTTGTCATCGTTCTTCCAGATATGCTGGAAGTCTTATTCTATTCGCTTCCTTTTTACCCCTCAGCCGAGAGGCTCGAGGGGTATTGTCATCGCCTAGGGCGTCCGTCCGTCCGGATGTATGTATGTCTGTCCGTCCGTCCGTCCGTCCGTCCGTCCGGGCAGCTTAGTTTCCGGATGATAACTTGAGTTAGAAATGTTGTTTGGGGTTGTAACTTCGGTAGGGGGTTGCCCTTGGGAGTAGGCAAGTTGGGATTGGTTTTGAGGTCAAAAGGTCAAAGGTCAAGGTCACCGTGGTGAGTTAAATGTAAATGGTTTCCGGATGATAACTTGAGTTAGAAATGAGATTTTGGTGTCTAACTTTGGTAGGGGGTTGCCCTTGGGAGTAGGCAAGTTGGGATTGGTTTTGGGGTCAAAAGGTCAAAGGTCAAGGTCACCGTGGTGAGTTAAATGTAAATGGTTTCCGGATGATAACTTGAGTTAGAAATGAGATTTTGGTGTCTAACTTTGGTAGGGGGTTGCCCTTGGGAGTAGGCAAGTTGGGATTGGTTTTGGGGTCAAAAGGTCAAAGGTCAAGGTCACCGTGGTGAGTTAAATGTAAATGGTTTCCGGATGATAACTTGAGTTAGAAATGAGATTTTGGTGTCTAACTTTGGTAGGGGGTTGCCCTTGGGAGTAGGCAAGTTGGATTGGTTTTGAGGTCAAAAGGTCAAAGGTCAAGGTCACCGTGGTGAGTTAAATGTAAATGGTTTCCGGATGATAACTTGAGTTAGAAATGAGATTTTGGTGTCTAACTTTGGTAGGGGGTTGCCCTTGGGAGTAGGCAAGTTGGGATTGGTTTTGGGGTCAAAAGGTCAAAGGTCAAGGTCACCGTGGTGAGTTAAATGTAAATGGTTTCCGGATGATAACTTGAGTTAGAAATGAGATTTTGGTGTCTAACTTTGGTAGAGGGTTGCCCTTGGGAGTAGGCAAGTTGGGATTGGTTTTGAGGTCAAAAGGTCAAAGGTCAAGGTCACCGTGGTGAGTTAAATGTAAATGGTTTCCGGATGATAACTTGAGTTAGAAATGAGATTTTGGTGTCTAACTTTGGTAGGGGGTTGCCCTTGGGAGTAGGCAAGTTGGGATTGGTTTTGGGGTCAAAAGGTCAAAGGTCAAGGTCACCGTGGTGAGTTAAATGTAAATGGTTTCCGGATGATAACTTGAGTTAGAAATGAGATTTTGGTGTCTAACTTTGGTAGAGGGTTGCCCTTGGGAGTAGGCAAGTTGGGATTGGTTTTTGGGTCAAAAGGTCAAAGGTCAAGGTCACCATTGTGAGTTAAAGGTAAATGGTTTCCGGATGATAACTTGAGTTAGAAATGCGATTTTGGTGTCTAACTTTGGAAGAGGGTTCCCCTTGGGAGAAGGCAAGTTCGGATTGGTTTGGGGGTCAAAAGGTCAAAGGTCAAGGTCAGCATGGTGAGTTAAAGGTAAATGGTTTCCGGATGATAACTTCAGTTAGAAATGAGTTTTTGGTGTCTGACTGAGGTAGGGGTTTGCCCTTGGGTACAGGCAAGTTGGGATTGGTTTTGGGGTCAAAAGGTCAAAGGTCAAGGTCACCGTGGTGAGTTCAATGTAAATGGTTCCGAATGATAACTTGAGTTAGAAATGAAATGTTGGTGTCTAACTTCGGTAGGGGGTTTCCCATTGGTACAGGCATGTTGGGACTGGTTCTGGGGTCAAAGGCCAAAGGTCAAGGTCACCACGTTGAGTTAAAGGTTAATGGTTTCCGGATGATAACTTGACTCTGGCTGAGGGGTTTCAACAGCAACGCTGTTATTTTTTGTTTTGTGTTCTGTTTTAGAAAATCTAACATTTTCCTTTTTTATTTTATGACTAGAACCCAATACACTTGCATCTGATGTCAAATCGGAGGGTACTGGTCTGTGTTACTCTGACATGGATGAGTTGACACTGTTCGTTGTCAAAAACTAAATGACAAAAACTGCTCTCAGTCAGCATGTCAGGTTGCATCATACAAGGGGTCTATAGACACACAGGAGGCCCCCTTCAATGGAGAAACCATTGTGCATGCTATTGTACAAAGCAACTGTCCCATAGTGGTTTATCTGAACAATAGCTAGCACAATGCTTTCGCCATTGAAGGGGTCCTTTGTGATAGACTTGATTGTGTAATCGGATTGGTTGATACTAGCACATTATAAGATGTTTCATGTCCAAGGCCTTAACACTAAATTTAAACTTTGTTGAAAATATTTTGTAATATGTTTCTATCAGAGACAACAGAACATAGATCTCAGGTGATTTTACAAGACGTTAATATTCATGGCAGCATTCTAATTGTAGAAAACTGATAGTTGATTGATCGGTGACTGTTCTTGTGCTCTTTTGTGTTTTGTCATTTTTTGCTTTCTTAGTTATTTGCCTCTGTGGCACGTACCATTTTTTTTTCTTTCAATCTCCTCTTCATTCAATTAATTTTCTTTCATTCTTTTTGCCGCGACATTTATCTCGAATTTCCTTAAATCTAAATTATCTATAGTAGCCAGAATAAACTGCCACTCTAGAAAAGAAAATAATATGGAGATAAGATAATACCGTAGTATATAGAAAAAGGAAGCTTTCATTTTAATTGGTGAAATTCATTTATTGCATGTTCAAGATATTCCATATACATGTATTTTTGTAATTTCTTGTTGCTTGCCGAGTAAGCCTTTTTGCCACTTCCTCTTTTATTATTCATTATACAACACCTGAATAAATCCCCGTCATCTGATTGGTGAATTGTAGATCACGTGACATATTATTATTCGGTATAATGCACGGTGCGACCACGCGTTATGCCCATGCGTTATACCGTTTCACTTTGCGCTTGTTCCATGACGCGGTATTTGCGTGCAAAATGCATGCTGGTGTGCGCGTTCAGCGTAGCGCGTATTGTTCCAAAGAGCCAGCGCTACAGCGTTGGGTTCAAACATTTTCGTGAAGGGGTAGTTCAACATCTTTAAAATCAAAATAAATTGTAGTTAATAATTTAACAATCAAATGACGAGAATTTATTCTGGTGTTGTATAAAACAAATAACGAATGTTTTACGTTCGTGCGATGGAAAGAATAATTTCATTCGGTGACAGATTGAATGTTCTAATCCACTCGGCTTCGCCTCGTGGAATAGAACATTCAATCTGTCACCTCATGAAATTATTCTTACCATCGCACTCACAAACATTCGTTATTTGTATACTGTTACATACATGTAGGCCGAGGCCAGGTATATAGGAGTATCGATTCTGTACACCGACAACAATCCTTTTTGGATTCAAAAACCAACCCAAAATCTCAAGTTAAATTGGGTTTAAAGTTCTGCCACACACCACAATTGCTAAATTATTTTAATACATTCCCTTTTGAAGGTCAGTAGTTTGCTCTTCAATAAGGAATTGTTAATGACTACACTTTTCTCATGCTTGATTATTCTTTTTCGACTCCTTTTTATTCCTCTTGGTTTGATTATATGAAATATATACATGTTTTCAAGCTTCAAATTATTACCATTGGAAAATGAATAATGAAATGCCTGGTGAATAGTTACTACAGAGATGGTGTTACCAAGCGTAAGATTAATCCATGGACAAATGAAGCTTGCTTACGGAAAACTGTCTCCCAAATATTTTGAAACAATTATTTTCATACTTTGTGGAGTATAAAGTTTATTTTACTTAAAAGTGTTCTTTATAAATCTTTATTTGCCTTTATTTTCACCATTCTTTTTATTCTTTGTTCTCCTTACTTGTCTTTGACTTCAATAAAAAATTCCAATCAAAATGTCTGCTCTTGATATGCTGTGCCTTTATTCCCAGTTTTAACAACTGCTTACCAAATGATGACCAATGACCTTTCCACAACATGTCAATGAAAAAGTGTAACGGACCCATGACGGCATACACAGAATATATTTGTGCCACGGTCTCAATGATAATTATGATCGTCACTTACAGCCAGTACACCCTTGCCAGCTTTGACTACACACTTGAGATGTTTCTGAACATTTTTAAGTATGTCCACCGATGAAGACGTTTGAATCAGACTTGTTATTTCCTCAACTGTCTGTAGTGCTTCCTTTTTGGTTGACTCCATTTCTGCTTGATACGCAGACTCTGCTTTGGAATCGATGTCCAGATTTAGTGAAAGTTTGACATTCAAAACATCTCGTCTTGAAATGTGGTAATCCCTGTCCTTGGTGTTTGCACTGTGGCGAACCTCGTCCACTATCGCGTCAACGCTGATTCCCAGTAAAAGCTTTTCAGCGATCATCTTCCGAGAGTCAGATGAAAGGCGCAAGTATCTGACGTCGCATTCGTGTATGTGATCTAAGCAGAATTCTGCCTCGACACTGTGCATAACACAGTCTTCTGTGGCCTTGATGAATGCTGGGCAAGCAGCGTTGATTTTCACTGAACCTTTGGATTTCAAACTTCTCTTGCCCTGCCCTTTGGAAACGAAAAATCCAGACCTGTTGCAGTGGAAGGTTCTAACTAGTGTCCAGGGGGTGGAACGCCTTCCGTGTTTCTGAACAAACTTGGCGTTACTTTTCTTTTCCACCCATTTCTTCCAAGTTTGAAATTCTGCTTCGCTGGCAAAGGTTTTTTTCTGAATGGAGTATTGTTTGCCATGCTGGGTCTGGTAGTGTTCGACGAGCCTTGCAACTTTGTAACACCTACAAAGAATGAATAATAGAAGACAGCTGTACTTTTCAATTTACAAACTGCTGCAAAGTACAATTTGGCATGTTCAGGGTTCCCGTACCTTCAGGACAAAACATTCCATGATGTTTCTGTGACTTGTCCATTACCAAATTATGAAAATCCATGAACTAGTTCATCAAAATGCATATCAAAATTGTAATACTTTTTTCCATGAAAGTGGTGAACAGAAACAGAAAAAAAGCAATATGTCTTTCGAAATTGAAAACAAAATTCCAAATTGACATTTCTGTTACATGTATTTTATCCAGGCTGCTGCAGGAACCCTGCATTTTACTTGGTTCTTTATTGTTAAAATACCAAACAGAATGCACATTGTGAGAGTACAGTTATACGATTTTAGTTAATATTAGGCAAAAGATGAAGCACATGACCCTTGCAAGCTCTGTTGGGTATTTTACATGTCTTTATTAGGAAGCAGATTGCTCTAGGTTCAATTCCTGCATGTTGAGCCCAGCAACCATGTTAATTTTTTTTTCTGACAATCTTGGACAACACTTAACAAGCCTGCTAGTAATTAACTATTGTTAAATACACTTTGAAGTGACTGACTCTAAAGAGCACAACCATGCTCTCACAACCATGCTTTCCTTCAAGAGTGAGTCACCTCACATGCTACTTGTATATATCAGCAGACTTCTCCAAGTTCTACTTTCCACCAAGCAAAACTTTGAATCACATTTTACAAAATAAGTTCCCTGTGGGCAAACTAGGGCTATCCTAAAATTTACCAAATATTTGAATATTCAATCATCAACCAAATATTCAAACAGCTTTTTTGCCTGTTTGAATATTCAGGAACCCCCCCAACAAAATAAACCCCCAAAACAATTACACACGATTGTGATGTTATTTTAATTGTAAGGGTGCAGCGCTTTATTGTCAGATGCCACTTTGTTGTCAGTGGTGGTTCGTTGTTCCCATCCTTTGACAAGGTTCCAACCCTTGACACTCATGAAGTACATACTGTCAAACACTCCAGCCAACTATAATATTGATCACCTTATATTTAAACCGGCATGCTTTGTGTGCAACTTTTGACTGCCCTGGCATGCAGTTGCAGGTGGCACGTGTAAAACTTGATCAGAGAGTTTTGAATAATCGAATATTCAGTAAACGCAGTTCCGAATACTCAAGTATTTAAATATGGATATCCCTAGGACAAACCTGATTCCACACTCCGTGCAGTAAACTAGGCTTCTGTCAGGAGCTTGTCTGTACTCGTGATCAGGATGCTTGCTTCTCTTATGCTTGAACAGAGCTGCTCTTGAGCCATACATGCTGTGGCATACATTGCACTCCAGCCTACCATTCTCATTCTTTTTCTGAAAAGAAATATGAAACCACCGCAATTGACATTATGAATTATCTTGCAATTAGGGGTTGACCATATGAACACACATGACCTACTAATTCTGACTCAAACCAGCAAAGTGAGCCGCAAGTCTCCACAGCTCCTTTTGAGTAGGAAGTCATTTTAAAAGCCTTGATCAATAAATACCAAAAAGGATAACCAATTGTTTTACAGGCAATAATCTGCACATGTTCAGATGACAAACTGAATGATACATCGGAATGGACTCTCCACATGGGATTCAGTCACATTAACTACATGATTTGACTCCTGTGTTGAAGAAGGACTACAAATATACATTTATATTTGGCTCTTTTTCAAATCAATGTTTTTCATTTTGGATTAGGAATGGTAATGAACTCCCTACAAGCATTATAAGACAACTTGAGGTCACCTCTACATCATCTGCTGAACCCTCCTTCTTCCCTCCAAGCTCTTTCCTGCTGTTGCTTCTTAAACTTTTACTGGGCTGTATAACACAGAAAAAAACAAACTTTCATTGTCAATCAGGAAGGCAGAAGGGTACAGCTTCAAGAGCCATGCAGTGTTGGCCATCTGGCTGGCCAGTCATCAGGCTGCTAGATACTCAACAGCCATCTATCTGCTCGGCCACATTTGATTGATCTCCTAATTCTGCTCAGCAAATGATATCCTAAGCAAGAACGAGCTGAGAACCAGCTATGAGTAATATAGATCATATTTTGGCTGGTAACCTGCTCAGCTAGGCGAATTGCAAACTTGCTCATCGAAATTGTCAGATAACTTCTGTCATGTCTGTGCTCGGCAGCCCTGTGACACTAGATCCTGGATGTCATTGTGACTGTAGCAAATGATTGTTTACCAGCTAGTACACAATGACAGACAAAGGCAGTCTAACAACTGCAATTTGGATGTTATTTTTCTAGCCAAGTTCAGCAAGCCTGAGTTGCAGATTGACAGCCAATCATTTGGGTCTAGTAATTCAGTCAATCAATCGGTTAGTTGGACAATTTACAGACAGCCAGCTTGCCAGCTAACCAGTGAGGAGTGATCCAGCCAGCCAGCGGACTGAAAACTAAAGTGACTGGCATTGAAGAATATTGGAATCCTCACTGACTCCCACAAAGAGTACGCATTCAAAGATCAAAACCTTTGGTAGGGTTGCCACAGTACCTCGGTCAAACTTTGTCACCAGCACCATGAGCACTGTGAGAAATGTAACGCGCGAGCCAAAAGAGGTTGAGGCTCATGGCCAAAACTGGAAAGGTCCATTCTAAAGCTATGTCATACCATCCAACAATCAAGTGATATAAAAGCCAGTAGCCAAGCAAGAAAGCTCAACCACTAAATCAATAAGCAGCTAAGGCTTTGTGCACAAACAAAGAGAGGGTGCTTTTTGATCATTTTGAGAGCCCCATGGATGGGACACATGCGTGTGCATACTGGTTGCGCGGAAATTGCAAAGCCATACATGTAGCATCTTTGTGCGAGCTTCAGGCGTCGTCAGCAGTGCATTCAAGGTGGTCTCCCCAGCTCCCCCATTTTAACTCTTGAGGGGGTACTTGTGTATGGAGCCCATAACTAGTCGGAAAGCAAAGCTCTGCTGGGGGAAAGGCAACAAGCCAAAAAAAAAAACCCAGACCCAAACCCAAATACCAATTGTGTCTGCTCTAACCTTCTGTGAGGTTCCATCTGATGGGGTCTGATGACTAGAACCAGTCTTGGTCTGTATGTTCTGTAAATCTATGGTGCCAGCCATGAACCAGCAGATAAGCACTTCTCTCAGATATGCCTCCTGATCAGTCGTTTGCTTTAGATAACAGGCACTCTTGTAGGTACTCACGACAGCGCTGATCAAAGCAAAGACACCTGACGCATGACTGTCTTGAGGTAGAAGGGGATAGTTCATGCAATTACTGGAACAAATATGTTGGCCTTGTCCCTGTGGTGTTGGCTCATGGCATAGAATGATTGAATCCGGTGTCACCTGGTAATCAAAGAAATTGCAATATTCCTGCAATGTCTTCAGGAGGCTTGGTATAGGAGGGGATGCCCAAGCCAGTGAGTCACAGTAATAGACTTTCTTCCCCTGAAGCTCGACAACCAGCAATACCCAATGGCTGCCAGACTCGTTCGAAAGACACACATTGTTTTCCGAGTCTTTGGCAACACTGGCAACAACTACAAGTCGCCTGACTGACTGTAGCAGCCACCCTTTGCGCTGAAGGTGAGGGATGAGGGAACCAGCGGGGGAACCTTGGAGGTAGAGACAGACTGCTTTCTTCTGGATGCGGTTCAGTAGTTCCATCAGCCAGATCACATGTGCAGACAATAGCTCAGCATTGTTACAGAGACAGCTCATCTCATCCACAGTCATGCCTGAAAGACAAAACAAGAAATCCTGATTCCAAATCTGAACTTGTTAATCCATAGGTCAGATATTAAGTCAGACAAAAAAAAATCATGTACATCTGGTTGAAATGGTATAGTGGAACTTTTTGGAGTTAAAAGATTCGATGCATTGATTATATTATGTGAATAAATTGTAGAATTTGTCACAAACATTGAAAATATATTGTTGAGGAGCAAGCATTTCTTGTCCATGGCATTATACTTGTTTTGCCTCCGAGGACTAGTTTCTTCTTCAAAGCACTGAGCTATCGGAAATCTTTCCACTGCCCATCCACACTCTTGATAATGTTAGGGCCAGTTCACACTCGACGAGAACAAGAATGCAAATTAGCAAACACAAATTTGTGATATCATGGCAAGGTTTTGTGCTGTAAAACTGCAAGAGTTGAACACATTTAAATTCCAACGGATTCTGCTGCAAGTGTTTCTTTTGTGCACTTAACATTGGCATTAACGTGAATTATCAAGTGGATTTTATTTACCAAATTGAGGGAGACTTTCGCTGGGATCGTTGTGCCAGATTGCTTCTTGATACTGACGAAGCAGAGATTGGTCAAGCTGGGGCTTAATAACATCCTTGGGAGACGTTACCGTTTGCTCAAACCAGCATTGCTCCTTGAAGACTTCCTGCGGGCAGAGAGCAGCCCTTTGACTTGCTGCAGCCAAAATTGGATTATCTGTTCGGCAAGTGGAAGAAATAAAAAACAGAAAAAAGGAACCATTTAGGACTCAGATTTTATACTTGAATATCTCCCATTCCCCCGTTGACATTAAAATTGTCCAATATTGTCTTTTTCATTTCCCTTCCTATTAATGGCTACAAAGTACAATAATATGGGATGCTTATAGACGTCTGAGAAAGGCGGGACTTCTTTTCCATTGCTATCCAGTTCATTAGTGTGACGTCACTTCAGTTTAAACCACTGCCCATTTACATTGTAATAAGTAGCACTGGAACCAATGGAACCGAGGCGCTTTCTATTATAGTATTAATCTGTGGTGCGCTGCGCATGCATATAAAAAGTTTTTACCAACAATCCAGATAAAGAGATGGTGTGTAAATAAACTATAAAAACTAAACTATTACAGTCTAAATGTGAAAATCAAAATATACATGTAGTTCTATATTTTCGGGCACTGTCAGACCCATAAAATGACTTGGAGCTATTTCGACGCACTAGCATTCAAATTGCGACTTGCGTTGGACAATGCGCACGCATTGCAAGCGTTACCTGCGCCGATTATGGTGACTCGCGGATACATATTCCAAGGGTTGCCTTTTTTTACGGCAAGTAATCCAGTAAGTAAGGTCAGGTGAAGGTGTCTCACACTGCGCCACCTTGTTCACGGGGCAAAAAGAACACATGTTAACACTGGTTTATGCTACTTGTTAGACATGGACGCAATTTGGAATGAACACATTGTCACATGATGAATTAGAAGCGCAAAAGTTTTCGATTGACAATGCGTACGTAAACAGCAACAGGTGTAAATTTGCCCCGTCTGCAAGATGGCGTATATTATCCGTAAACACCTTATTCAGTTATTGGCTACCTCACTACCTGGTCACATAATTATACTCCCATAGCATAGTCAGACAGTTTGTTAACAATTTATAATGAATGATGACTGTATAGATTTGAAAATGCATTGTCAGCTCTGAGTCTGATGGTCACAGTAAATAGCTTTTAAATCCCAAAATGTGCTAACTTTGCCTACCATCGAGTACACTTTGAATCTTTATCCTCCGATTTCTTGAAGCTGAACTTGAGGCCATTATTGCGCCAGATGGAGCACTAAACTAGGTCATGTAGGTAGTTTTCAACTAGATCATCTGATCATGTAGATCTGTTCTATGAGTCTCTCCTGAGGGCGCTACAACGATTCACCGCTTCTGAATGTAAAAATTAGTTAGAATGAAGCGACTTGTTGGCCAGTCTACTTCAATTTTGGCATGTGAAAATAGTCTGGTGTCCGCTCCTTTACTGACATTCATTGATAACATCATTACGAGATGGGTCGGTGCTCGGGCAATGTGAACTTGCGTGTGCATATGCGCATGCACGCGTTGCATTTCTCACATACAATACACATTGCATGCACGATTGCAATCGCTACCTGTGAAAGTTGGACTAGGCCTTCACTAATTTTACCGGTTTTCCCTAGCAGGTACAATTCGCCCTTTTACTTTTACAGAATTGCAAAATTATTACACAGCTGGATTCTATTGGACTGTCTGCATGGTCTGTGAAAACTGAAAAGTGATTTGCTTATCGAATAAAATTCTTGATTTTATTCCTTCATTGTGATGCATGATGGGAATATGATGGTTGTGTACAAATGCATAGCTCAGATGCTAGAGCCTAGTCTTGGAAGGACTCAGGAGGGAGGGGCGGGACCGGGCGGGGAAATTAATGGGGTTAAAACTTAAAGAGGTTGTCATGGTTGTGGAATGCTCAAAGACATTTCCGTCATTTTTCGGGTATATGTAGCCTAAGGTGTGATGAAATAAAAGCAACTATTGTGTCTGTCATGAAATGATTACAAAAGGTACTTTTTTGAGAGCTGTTTTTCAGGTCCTGTTTCGACCTGAACGTGCAATTTGTGTTAAAGTCATCGTTGGGGGCAGCAAACAAAACATAGTAAATCGTGACGTAATAAACAGGACTCGTTTATACTACTCTGCATCGGGAGTCCTGTTTATTACGTCATGATTTATTACATTGTATGTTTTGTTTGCTGCCCTCAAAGACGACTTTTACACAAATTGCACGTTCGGGTCGAAACAGGACCTGAAAAACAGCTCTCAAAAGTACCTTTTGTACTCATCTCATGACAGACACAATAGTCGTATATATTTCATCACACCGGTCCTACTAAAGCGCGTCAACAAGCGTCAACAAGCGTCAACAAGCGTCAACAAGTTTTAGTAGTCGTTAAGTGCGCGTCAACAAATTTTGTGTAGGCCTTTGAACAATAAAAACAGCTTTATATGGTAGAAAAAGCAATAATGAACATCTTCTGCATATCAATTAAAGTTAAAAATATTTTAAAACTTGGGTTTGTACGAAATGTACGACGAATTTGTCGATAAAAGTAGGCCGCCATCTTGTTTGGATGGCGCTGTAGACTTCGCGCATGCGTAGTATGGCTCTTTACACTTCACGCATGCGTAGTACGGCTAGCTACACATAAACAAGATGGCGGCCAACTTTTATCGACAAATTCGTTGTACATTTCGCGTTCAAAAAACCAAGTTTTAAAATAATTTTAACTTTAATTGATATGCAGAAGATGTTCATTATCGCTTTTTCTACCATATAAAGCTGTTTTTATTGTTCAAAGGCCTATACAAAATTTGTTGACACGCACTTAACGATTACTAAAACTTGTTGACGCTTGTTGACGCTTGTTGACGCTTGTTGACGCGCTTTAGTAGGACCCCATCACACCTTAGGCAACATATACCCGAAAAATTACGGAAATGTCTTAGAGCATTCCACAACCTCTTTAATTGTAGATTAATGGACACACCTGCATGCCTAGCCCCATAGATGTGACCAATTTACTGGACTAGCCCAGTAAATTGGCCACATCTACATGATCTATGGGGCTACTGCATGCCCTGTCACTGTGCATAGCATGTTAGTTCCATTCAAAATTGACTTCTGCAAATGACTGTCAATTCTGAAATGACTAATGGACTAACCATGCTAAGGCCAAAACAAAAATACTTCTGCTTCCGATCAGGCTAGTACATGCCTTTCAGAAATAGGGTCGGTCGGTCGAAAAACTGGTTGTAAAAACAACAGAGGTTTTTTTTAAAAAAAATAGCAAATGTAGGTAAGAAAACAAATAAATACAAGCATTTTTGATGCAAAAGGGTTGTTGAAAGGTATTTTGTGAAGACAGAAAAGACAACAACATGAACATGATGAACGAGGTTTTTTTTTATTTATTCAATCATTAATTTTTATATTTTTTTTGGAATTGCTGATAAATTTTTTAGGATCACGGCCTAAAATTAAAAATAGGGTCAGTCGGGTAACCGGAAGCAGAAGTATATCTTTTTTAGCCTAACTTAACTTGCAGGTGGTGATGAAAACCTAAAAAACAAAATAATAGAGGTGTCCTAAACTACACTACTCGTATGTATTGTAACTTGAAATGGTACTTGAAGCAAATAGTTGCATTTTGTTTTGTATGAAGTCACTGTACAATTGTTTTGCTACTTTAGTGTGACAGCGTCAAGATGCCTCCCAAGAAGAAGTCCGGTGAAGCTAAGCCTCTGCCTCTCATTGGTCGAGTAGGGACCTCACTGAAGTGTGGCATCGTGGGATTGCCAAATGTTGGGTAGGCTGATATTTACCAGAAACTTTGGCTGTTTACGAATCACATGGCTATGGCCAGAAATAACTAGTCTATCGAAATGGGCTGAAGCTGCTGGTAGTGGCTTCCATAGGTGCTTGTGTTTATGCCCAGCCATAGCCATTGTGATCCGGATACGGCCTGTTACTTGAGTCTAATGCAAAGCCTGCAACGTTAAACAGTGTGTTCAGTTCGAGCATGAACGTTCGTTTCCATAAAGACATGTTAAGACTTTTTAAACAACAAGCCAGTTGCAGGAGGGGGCTTCCCGGGGGAGAGGGGGGGGGGGGGAGGGGAGGGGGAGGGGAGGGGAAGGGGAGGGGAGGGGAAGGGGAGGGGTATTGAATGTGTTTTAACGGTAAGAAGCTAATTTTTTTTCTCTTCAAATCTTAGCAGGGCCCCGTGCCCCCACCCCCACTTTTTAGTTGTGCCATTGGAACAAGCATATTAATTGTTCAATACAATTATTTACTTCTTTGTGATCAGAATTTAACAAAGACCAATTGAAAGAGTAATTATTATGTGCTATTTTTTTGCAGAAAGTCAACATTCTTCAATGTTCTGACCAAAAGTCAGGCAGCTGCGGAAAACTTCCCATTCTGTACCATAGGTAAGACAGATTAACGCTTACCATGCTCTTAGTCATACCCTCCTCAATCCTCCAAAATCCACCAGGCAGTTTTGGAGGATTGAGGCTGTATTTCATATTAGTACCCATTGATTTTGGAGAATGCATTGTATCAATGTCTTAACTTGCACCTTGTGTTGTCTATGCTTAGCCATGCATAAATTATGCCCAGATGGTGCTAGATATCAGCTGCACTGATGCTTGGTATCATTGGCAGTCCGTAATTAGATTACAATGGGCCTAGGTGGTTAGGATTTAATGTGATGCAATGCTAGGCTATTGTGGGATATCTCAGAAGACATGAATTTTTCCCCAAATCATTTTTTCTTAACCCTAGTTACCCGGCCCCATTTAAAAAAAAAAATTTCAGATTGTTTTTTTGTGTGACTAAAGCATGAGGAACCAGTGAGCTACTGATACTTCAAACCTATGCACAATTGCTTCGTATGAAAATACCCATTGTGTCAGCATTAAAGCATGGAAGGAGTAATGGATTTCGAATTTCTTTGAATTTTAAACAATTACAGTTCTTCCATTGTGTTACCATTTTAATATTTACTATTCACAAATACGAGTTATATTCATGAAAGTTTGCTGAAAAATTCCAGAATTTAACCCACCATTGTGCTATTTCTCCTGATGCAGCTTTATCCTTTTTGATGCACCTCTTTACATTATTGGAACTTGACAAGTGTCACTCATAAGTGTTGGAACTGTTGCCTTTTTGGACTATAGAATTCTAAATATGGCTTTTTTTTTCTTTGTTTCTCAATTTTTTCCATGTGCTGTGCACTTCCTGGCCTCATCACCTGATGAGCAGATCCTAATGAAAATAAGTATACCTTCAATTTCTCTTTGTACCTTAAAAATGCAGGATGTTGGGATTAATATTCATTAATATTAACCCTACCTCTGCTGATTCTAACAAGATCCAACATCACATAGAATCTGTTGGTATTTGTAAGTCTAAGCACGAAACCGAAGATCTTTTGTGTCAGCTATATTGGATCCTATTTTACTTGTTTGATTCAGCGGGCCTCAAACCTGAACAGCTATAGACCTCTATCATGCTTCCACCATTTTACTCATGTTCCCTGTATCCAATTACAGTACTGAATGATAATGTTTTTGTGCAAAAAGGAACCAGACTATTTTTCCTTCCAGCCTCGCTTTGGTTACAATGATCTGAAATCTGAATGGGAACCAATCAAATGGCTGCAACATGATAATGGTCTATTGATATTTAAGCATGAGATTTCTCAGACTTTTCTTTAAAATCAGACTTTTAGAAACTGTGAGAAAGACATTATCATTATAGAAAGAAATGCAATTTTAATACCTTTTATTTACTTTTTATTCAACTTTTGAATTGACAATCTTATATATTGTTTGGCCTTTTTTGGGAAAATCTACTATGGCAACACAGAGAATTGCTTGCAGTTAGTGAAACATATAATGTCAGTTTGAACAATAGCGAAACTCAGTCATCAAATTTTCATAATTTAAATTTCTCTGAAACTAATTTGTGAAGTACTTCCCAGTAGTTTGTAAATACTTGTAGTTTACGTAATTGTATGTATGTAATTTCAAGGATATGTTATGTGAGGATGATGTTTACCCGGATATTTTAATTGTTTTTTCTTCTAGACACGTAGGGTGCCTGTTCCGGATGAAAGATTTGATTTTTTATGTGACTTCTTCAAGCCGTTAAGGTAGAGTAATCACAGATCAATGATCAATCATATAAATTGAGTTACATAAAACAAGAAACCTATTATAGTATGACATCTATTCTTGTTATGCAATGAGTGCACACTAGAAGGACACACTAGACACGGACAGAAGAGCAGGTTTATCAAGTTATTTGTGAACACATTTTTTTGTAACTTTAAAGAAAAAAAATTTAATTTCTAGAAAACTAGAAAGCACATGGCATGCAGAGGAATGTATACTGTGCTACACAGAAAACAAACGTTGTGTTTCATTTTAAATTCCAATGTCATTTCCAAGCATTTTGTTCTTCATTCCTGTAGTAAAGTACCGGCCTTTCTTCATGTGACGGACATTGCTGGTTTAGTGAAGGGAGCCAATGAGGGGCAGGGACTGGGTAACGCCTTCTTATCTCACATCAGCGCATGTGACGCATTGTTTCATCTCTCAAGTGAGTTCTAAGATCATTTCATTGGAATCAGTTTCCTGGATCAGATATATTTGACTGTGTCAAGAATCCAGGCACGTGGTCAGTTGGCCAGCTTAGTTGGTAGCATTGTGACAGTATTGTTCCAAATGGGTGTACACTGTACAGGTCAAGAAAAAAGTGATAATTTTCTGAATATAACTGATGATAAATTGATTAGCCCTTACCACTACACATCTGAACAAAAATTTACATTTTGTTTTGGATGATTGTGATGGATTTATCGCTGTGGAGCCCAGTAACCATGACGTTACTTGGAGCTTGGTGTCCATGTGCGGTGCATTTTGCCTGGGTTTTACTGCTGCGTCTGCTTCCTGGCAATATGCCAAAAGGGTTGGGCTCAGGATATTATAGGCAGAGGAGTTGGGTTGTTGCAGAGGTTCTTTCCTCGCCTTCCACCTCTATGGCCTGGGTTCGATTTCTGCCCTGGTCCACATGTGGATTGGGTTTCAGTCCCTACCTGATTCCATATGTTTCCCACAGAATATTCTTCTGGGGTTCTAAAACTGTAATTTCTTCATTGTCTTCTCTCTACGGGTTTCCCCAGGCGTGCGAGCTACTTGCTTGGGGGGATTTTTAGGAATCCCTTTGAGAAATATTCTTGGAACATTGACAGAAACGTTACTTTTTTTCCTCTCAGGAGCATTTGAAGATGATGACGTGACCCACATAGAGGGTGATGTTAATCCAGTTAGGGACCTGGCAATCATCTTTGAGGAGCTCCGTCTTAAGGATGAGAGCATCTTGGAGCAGAGGGTCAGTGACCTGGAGAAGAAAGCAGTCAGGGGAAACGACAAGAAACTCAAGCCAGAATTTGTAAGTCTTGAAAACTTGAGCCAGTCCCAATGTCCCCATGGCTGTTTAGCATTGTGAGGACTTAAATGAACCAGGGCCACTTTGATTGAGCTACTAAACACAGAAAATTGCTAAGTACAGAAAGTACTTGCTATAAAGCAAAAACAGGTCACCAGCCAAAGTGTCATGCAATGTATATTACTAGTGACTGGTACTCAGCTGTATTTTGCTAAGCACATGAATATGCTGAGCACCATTTTTTGCTAAGCAGTTCCATAAAATTGAACCCTGGTGCAATTGTCATTTTACTGCAGCGTTAACCTAATCTCCAACGGAAGCTTTGTTAGGAACCCTCCTGAATTCCTCAAAATGACAACTCTGTAGGAACCCATCGACCACTCTGTAGGAACCCATCGACCACTCTGTAGGAACCCATTGACCACTCTGTAGGAACCCATCGACCACTCTGTTGGAACCCATTGACCACTCTGTAGGGACCCATCGACCACTCTGTAGGAACCCATCGACCACTCTGTAGGAACCCATTGACCACTCTGTGGGAACCCATCGACCACTCTGTAGGAACCCATCGACCACTCTGTAGGAACCCATCGACCACTCTGTAGGAACCCATCGACCACTCTGTAGGAACCTATCGACCACTCTGTAGGAACCCATTGACCACTCTGTAGGAACCCATTGACCACTCTGTGGGAACCCATCGACCACTCTGTAGGAACCCATCGACCACTCTGTAGGAACCCATCGACCACTCTGTAGGAACCCATTGACCACTCTGTGGGAACCCATCGACCACTCTGTAGGAACCCATCGACCACTCTGTTGGAACCCATCGACCACTCTGTAGGGACCCATCGACCACTCTGTAGGAACCCGTCGACCACTCTGTAGAAACCCATCGACCACTCTGTAGGAACCCATTGACCACTCTGTGGGAACCCATCGACCACTCTGTAGGAACCCATCGACCACTCTGTAGGGACCCATTGACCACTCTGTGGGAACCCATTGACCACTCTGTAGGAACCCATCGACCACTCTGTAGGAACCCATCGACCACTCTGTGGGAACCCATCGACCACTCTGTAGGAACCCATCGACCACTCTGTAGGAACCCATCGACCACTCTGTAGGAACCCATTGACCACTCTGTAGGAACCCATCGACCACTCTGTTGGAACCCATTGACCACTCTGTAGGAACCCATCGACCACTCTGTAGGAACCCATTGACCACTCTGTAGGAACCCATTGACCACTCTGTGGGAACCCATTGACCACTCTGTTGGGACCCATCGACCACTCTGTAGGAACCCATCGACCACTCTGTTGGAACCCATCGACCACTCTGTAGGGACCCATTGACCACTCTGTGGGAACCCATCGACCACTCTGTAGGAACCCATCGACCACTCTGTAGGAACCCATTGACCACTCTGTAGGAACCCATCAACCACTCTGTAGGAACCCATTGACCACTCTGTAGGAACCCATCGACCACTCTGTAGGAACCCATTGACCACTCTGTAGGAACCCATCGACCACTCTGTTGGAACCCATTGACCACTCTGTAGGAACCCATCGACCACTCTGTAGGAACCCATCGACCACTCTGTAGGAACCCATCGACCACTCTGTAGGAACCCATCGACCACTCTGTAGGAACCCATCGACCACTCTGTAGGAACCCATGGACCACTCTGTAGGAACCCATTGACCACTCTGTAGGAACCCATCGACCACTCTATAGGAACCCAATGACACACTCATTGTACTCTTGACTTCAAGAGGAATTCATTCCCATCTTCCTCAATCCTTCAGAATCCTACAAAATCTTCCAATTGGTTTCGAGGGATCTACGAGGGATATGTTTGGAACTAGTCTGCCTGATGCTTATTCCCATCAAAGGTTGACAGAGAAAGCTTTGCATCATTGCACACTTTACTCTGACACTCATTACTTTACATTTTTGTTTAAACTTTGCCGTAACCTTTGACCTTTTTTGGTAGGAGGCACTTGCCAAGGTGCAAAAGCATGTGAAAGAGGACAAGAGGCCCGTCCGACAGATTGAGTGGAATGGAGCAGAGGTATGTAGTGGTTTTGTTTCTTGGTTTTTAGAAGAGAAATTCAAATTAGAACCTCCATGTCTGTACAACTTCACTTTTGGATGAAGACTACATGTATTATAATAATATTCTGTAGTGAAGTACCATTGCACTCAGTCAAAAAAACCAAATTTCTTGATTTTTTGTTAGGTATAAAGGTTGACAAGCTTTTTCTATAAAGTTGTGCTGCTATTAATACCTTAGGTGACCAGATTTTCAGTACCGTAATTTTCGGAATATAAGCCGCGCGGAGTATAAGCTGCAGCACGCAAAAATCTGCAAATTAAGATTTGAAGTTGGCGTATAAATAAGCCGCACCGGCGTATAAGCTGCGCCGACCGCAGTGGTTTCAATTTTGTAAGGCCTCCAAATTCCACTCAAAATGCTTTGAACCAGTTCCATTTACACTACAGAAGCTGTAAAAAGGGCCACAAAAGTTATATCAAATCATTTACCATCGATACTCTTACAAACAAATATAGAAATTAATGATGAAAAATAAACACCGGGAATTGCTGCCGGCTGACCCGTCCGGTCCCCAGCCATAAAAGTTAGCGCATGGCCCGGGCAGCCTGCGCCGGTGAATGACAACCCGCAGCACGTGAAAGCGTATGCAACCCACCGTGTGTTGTCTGACTGATGTGCTACAAATCTTGCTTTGTGACAACAGATGCTGATTTGTTTCGTCCTAAGAATAAACAGGTCCGTTTTTACAACAAAACTTATCAAATTGTTGTGATTACTAACGAGTAGTAACGTTAAAAATTCAAGTTTCGATCGTAACTTTTTTCGAAAACAGTCAACACCAAAGATCCTATAGCGCCGCTTGCGCCTACGGCGCTATAGATCTTTGGTTACCACGATGCTGACATTTTTATGGACGAATCCATTACTTTCGTAAGGGGTGATTTAGCCCCTGTTTTGAGTTTTACATCGTTTCTTGAGTACACTTCATGAAAAAAATATATTGTGACGTTGAACAACTGATTATCGAATAAAGAAATATTTCGAACACCATAAAAAGTATAAGTCGTCTTTTTTCTTTTTTTAAAAAGCGGAAATATTGGTAATTGTTGTTCCCAAGAAAGTACACCCTTTTATTACCACAAATGGTGTGGTCCGCAAGTGCATTATGGCTTATGGGGGAAAGCATGCAGCAGCAGGCATGCAGCACTAGTACGGCTGGTCACGATCGCAAGCGTCGAAGACAGCTTTCACCATACTTTTTACCGCTCGGTACCTTACGTGGGACGTGCTTTCGGTTTGTTAATGACTTTCTTAATTGATAATTCATTTCAGCAACAGATCTTTTCTTATTACCAGTACAGTAAATACACATTTAAATCTCATTCTCATTTTTATTTTCAAGCCTCGGCGTATAAGCCGCCCTGTGTATAAGCCGCAGTAAACATTTTCATGGGCAAATTCAACGTAAAGCCGCAGCTTATATTCCGAAAATTATGGTATTTGGAAAGCACAGCATTATTCTTGTTTATTATTTCATCATAGTTGGATCCCGATGCTACCGATATGATCTTAACATTTTATAATTGTTTACTAGATTGAGATTCTGAACAAACATCTACTATTCACGGCCAAACCCATGATGTACTTGGTGAATCTGTCTGAGAGGGACTATATACGCAAAAAGAACAAGTGGTGAGTAACGGCTGAAGGATTGGACTTAGCACTTTAGACATGGTGAATGATATGTGTCCTATTATTTTTTCATTTAACTCAAAATCTAATCATTTAGTCTCAAAATGAAGGAACATTTGCAATTACCCAGACATGTACCTACTGATTTAACAAGAAAGTCCTTTCTCAAGTGAAGATAAGACCAGAGTTACAATTCAGAAGAAACGATCATTGGAGGTGGTTTAAGAACTTGTGCTCGCAGGTACAGTATTTTACGTGCATTTTAGCAACGGAATCCAGTTACGAGACTTTGTCTCTGTTTTCTGAAGACGTATACTACACACTGAGCTAAACCTTCCACATGTTAGTTGTCATGCACCCTTCTTTAAGATTGTGAGCAATTCTGTTGCTTCAGACAAAAACAATGCACACAAAACGCATAATCATATGTATCTTTTTAAGAGTTAACCCTAACCGCCCTGAATCCTTCAAAATCCTCTTTGCCAAAGTGGAGGAATTTGGAGGATTGAGGTAACATGGCAAAAGTGCGTTACTGATTTTGTAGGATGCACTTTGTCAAGGTCTTGGGCCGGACCTTGTGTTGTTTTTGCTCAGTCATGCATAAATATAGGCCTGGATTATGCTTGAAATCCTCCGTACTGCTCCAGGATGTCACTGGCCAAGCCTCAACATATTAACAGTCACTGCTGCAGGATATTGCAGGATTCAGGCAGTGGTCACCCCTCCATGGACCATATTCGAGGAATAATGGAGGATTTTGCAGGATTGAGGCTATATATGCTATTTTTCAATGAGGCCAATCTGAGGATTTTGCAGGATTGAGGTTACATCCTAGCAAAAAGGCCTAGGGAGTAAGGGTTAATGTTTGTTACCCCTGAGAAGCTGTCCCTCCTTCCCAAGTTCTTTCAGCTTTGGCCACTCCTTCTGATTCGGTTTATTTCTTGTACCTCCAGGTTATTGAAGATTAAAGAATGGGTTGATGAGAATGATCCAGGCGCAACAATTATCCCCTTCAGCGCCGCCTTTGAGCAGAAGATCTTTGAGATGGAGGAGGCGGAGAGAAAGGCATATCTGGAAGAGCACAAAATCACAAGGTTGGTCATGCCTGCCTGTCTGTCTATCTGTGTAGCTGGGTGTCAGCAGGCTGGGCTGTCTTGTAACAGCAACCGTTCACATTGGTGAATTCATCATCCCCTTTCAGTACTCTGTTGTCCGGTTTTCCTTTTGTGTCATTTTCCTCAAACTTCATTATTATTTTCAGAGTGTTACAATGGCGCTCCTGAGATAAAGACATTCACAAATTGGAATGTCACCTGGACCAAATGCTATGATGCTGCTAAGCATACATTTTTTCTGTAGACTGTAAGGACATGAGGAACAATAAACATAGCAAAGTGCATGTGCACTTCTCTTTGAGAAGTTGCTTATAAAAGAATAATAATAATAATAATGTGTATTTAAAAAGTGCACATATCCACCCGTTTTGGTGCTCAAGGCGCTACATCATTAGAACTCTCTATGTTTGTGTAAGCATTGTCATATCTAAGCCATGAAATATGCCTAAGAGTACTACAATTTTTCTGCCATGATTAGCACAGTTTTTTTCTAACTGTGGATCACCACCATGAAATTTGCCTCAGCACAGGGCAGTATAGCTCAATTTGTTCAGTACCGGTATATTTCTTTGATTACCACTGCAGATCTTTTTCTTTGTTCAACCAAGATTCCGAATTTTCATTGTCATTTAAAATGAAATTTGTCGGTTTACATTTTGCAGTGCCCTTGATAAGATCATCACGACAGGTTACAAGGCGCTGCAACTCATGTACTTCTTCACATCCGGCAAGGATGAAGTCCGGGCATGGACAATCCAGGTGAGATGATTTTGGATCATTGCAGGAAGGATTTTAACATTTCTGGTTCGACTGGTTAAATGTAGCACTTAGCCCTTACTTTTGTGTCGTGGAATTTGTCCACAGATGTGCTGTTTCCTTGTTATACTTCTCAGCTTAAAACACAGTGAAAAGTCTTTTGTAGCTTGTAAGTCAGCCTGGAGTTGAAGTGCCTAATCAGGCTGAAGTCTATCTCTAGTTTCCTTTGCATGAAACAATTGAGAATGTCTGAGTGCCAATCCATTGCAGATTAGTGTCCAGCTAACACTGGTACTTGTTTAGGGCCCATCTCAATTCATATCTGGGACGAGTTGCATTAGAATCATCCACTTTGTCTGGAAGAAGCTCTTCATTTCTCCCAGACATATTCCAGGGACATTTCATAAGCAACTGCTTGACTCGCCAAGATTGATAACTTCATTGCGGGAAGATTGCAGGGAAGTTGTTCAGAATACCGCAACGTATACCCGATACAGTGTCTGCAACTTGTCCAGAACACATCCCAGATATGAATTGAGACAGGCCCTTACTGCTAGGTAGTGAAATGAAAGTAGGGATGAAGTGGCTTGCCCAAGGACACAACGAATGACCAATGTGTGGTTTAAACCACTGATAAGTCACAACCCGTAAACCCTTTGCAAAATTCCCTCTGTGATCTTTGTGTGATGTATTTTCCTCTTGTTTTTCTGACTACCCAATTACACATGTCAACACTTTCTCTATGCAGAAAGGTACTAAGGCCCCCCAAGCTGCTGGGAAAATCCACACAGATTTTGAGAAAGGTTTCATCATGGCTGACGTCATGAAGTACGACGACTTCAAGGAACTGGGCTCAGAAAATGAAGTGAAAGTAAGTAGCAAGTTTACCCCAAAATAAAATGGCGATTTTGATGTGGAGAGATTTGATAGTTTGGCCTGCTGCAAAAACCTGACTATTGGAAGAGTGAAGTACTTTTTGCTTTTGAATTGAAATGTACATACATGTATGCTGGTTCTTCTCTCCATACAATTTTTATTCAAACATCTATAATTTAGAACATTTGATGCAAAAGGGACCCCATACAAAAAAATGAAATCGCCCCTACATTTTCCTTGTCCATAATCACTGGTTCCCGGACCCACCTATTATCACATGATAAAAATCACTGAACACCAGGGAAAGTGCCATACTTTGACAGCAATGTTACAGCTTTTCACCGTTAAGTCCATATTTAAAGGTTTAATTTTCTGTAGAATTTTAATGAGTTTACAAGACTTACTTTAAAAAATGTTTGTTCTTTTTTGTGTGTTCAGTCTGCCGGGAAGTACCGACAGCAGGGCAGGAATTACACTGTTGAAGATGGCGACATCATCCATTTCAAGTTCAACGCAGGGGCTGGATTGAGTGAGAAAAAGAAGTAGACAAACACCAATGCAGCAGCTGTACAATAAAAGAATTTGCCTTTTTAGTTATTTCTTTTCAAACAGTGCCATTGTAAATAAAATCAAACAAATCAAAGACAATTTGAAAACAGGGGAAGCTGTGTTTGACAATTGAAAAGTGCTTTTGGGTTTTGGTCAATGCAGAAGTATGCTGCAATGTGATTTTTACGTGAGCGCTATACTATATCACTGTACAAAACGGATGTCCTCTGTTCAAAGGTATTTTCTTTTCAGGTTGATTTAATGGGGAACTTACCAGTGAAGCAATGTTAGTTTATTCTTTAAAATGGCAGTATATCATAAGTACATGTTTGTACATTATTAATTTGCAGTTCTGCTTAAAATATGCACAAAGTGTAAGGTGCAGCTTTCAAATGGAGTTGTTAAAGGGAATATACAACATTTGCAAACATCGAAAAATAAAACTACCTAGTTTTTACGAAATACCTTACTAGGATGTTGGTAAATGACAGTCTAAAGCATCCTGTAAAATTATGGCACCTGGTGTGAAGTCATTTTCAAGACCGACCACCGTTGGAAAAACCTAACTATTTTTCAACTACTGCTCCAAATTAACCATTTTTCTTTCAGTCCAAAGTTTGTTTGCTATTGGTTACATGTTCATTAACGGGTGCAGGCCGGCTAGACTGGTTCCATTACCTTACAAGTTTCCGGCATCTGTAAACTGATCCATTTTATATTTAGTGGAGTCAGGGAACCAGACTACTTGAACATTTTTGTTTTTCTTGTTTTTTTCCAGCATTTTCGAACACAAACTTTCCAACATGTCAGTCTAACAATATTTGATCTATTATTCTAACCCCTCAAATAGTTCATTTCTGAAAATTACAGCAAAAGCCAATCATGTATATTCCCTTTAAGCAGCAGTTACTTTAAAATGAACTTTCCCTGCTCGTCAACAAATTCAATTTATTTTGTCCTGACACATTTTCGAATTTGTCAGTTTTATTTCACAAAAAACACTGTTTTCCCCCTGTTTGTTGCATCTGCAATCGTTTGAAAAAAAATAAAGATTTATTTTGGAGTTTTTTTTTGCACAAACAGATTTACCCTACAAGTACTGAGTTCTCAGTTCCTGCATTATCGATCTCACAAATAACATGGACAGTGATCTTTAAGGCACAAGGGACATGTAAACTTGTATGGAAGCAAGATTTCCTTTTCATTATTGCATTTTCCTAATTGCTGATATATTTTTTTTTCTTACATTTCGCTCTACTTCTAGGTGTCTGTAATGTGGGAAATTGTGCAAATCCAGCATATTTCCAAAAAAAGGTCTTATTTTATGTGAATGTGCTTTGCTACTCCTGACTTGTAATCCCAAAACCTGTTACGTAGATGGTTTGGGTTACTACGGGGAAGGACCCCCTCTAACCCCTTTAGCCCCTCCCATCTATTTCATAATTTTCTCTAAGCTGTGGATGCACACAGATCCCTCTTTTGATTTTTTATGACCCATTTTAAGTATAAATAAAACATAAGTTATTCTTGGTATTACTTTTAGAATATCTTATCTTTTTGTGGACTCTTTGCCAAAAAGGCTAAAATTAATAAAAAGATATTAATATCAATTATTTTGTTGTTGCCTAAGAGAGACACAGAGGTAATAACAATTTTTTTTTTAAAGTATTGTCCCTCATTAAAAATTTTTTTTTATAAATCATTTCACAAATCAGATTATGTTCATTGTAATTGCTAAGTGCAACATTTATGTCTGGAACATTTATTGCCTCTCGGTTTAATATCTGGAAAGTATAGTACCGGTATGGATCACGAAAGGTCAGCTACCATTGTGCAAGTACGGTCTGTACCTGAAACAGTTATATTAAAACCAATTTTAAAACTGACTAAAACTGAAAGACAAATTTCCTCCTCCTTTTTCGTTATTAACCGTGTGGTGTTTGTATGTTTGTTTGTTTTTTGGGTTATTTTAAAATATATATTCGTATTCTGTCATTGTGCTCCGTATGACCTTATCAAACCTGCGCGTGTGTAAATTGTACACCCGCTTTATTGAAAGTTTCCTTTCATAAAATTCATAACTGTGTATCAAGAAGGGTCACATTTATTTCTGCAATGAAGGGCGGCCAACGGTGACATTTTTTTTTGTTAACGTCACTCGTTTTTAGATGTACGCGTACAAATTGCATCCGTACCGCGAGTTTCTTCCAAATATAGTGGGCGTTTTGTTTACACAAGTTGTGTCTTAATTAGCTGGGCAGGGCCCGGAATTACGTAATAGCCTGACCGCCTACGCACGTGCATGTGCTCACTGTCAGTTCACGGGAGCCTACCTCCATCGGAAGAACAGTTCTACAACTATCTGGTAGAATCGTTGTTTTCAAGTCAGTACGATTTTGGCAGGCCATTTCTGCCATTAAAAATGAATTCTTCGGCCGAATGCGCAGATATTCGGAAGACAAACCGTTTGTGACAACCTTGTTCCTCCATGATATTACTTTCCCAGCCATCTGCCGAAAGAAACTTGTGCACGGCCTGGTGATCTCGTGGGTTGACACAAACGTGCACGGGACCCACTGATGGTAACTAAGTGTCCGCCCACTCGCCCGCCTTTATGTCCCTAGTGGACACCCAATGGGCGGTACGTCACGATATTGCATATGACCAATGGCCTTTGATGCTTTATGAATACTAGCGGTACGGTACCGCCGGTAAATATGCCCAGCGTGACTCGGCACTAATTGCTTGACTTTCGTTTGCTGTGGGGATAGGAAACCGCTACAGTAAATATACATGTAGTTCACCGAGTGTCTGGTTCTAAAACTACGCCAATAAAAGTGATTTGACAAACTCTCATGTAGACGCAGATGAATTGAAATGGATTCACCATTTGCATGGTTGTGATCGAGACAAGTTATTTTTTAGGGGTAATTTCGCTAATCTGCCGAAGAAACGTATAAGTTTCACTTGTGAAAACGTAGAGAGGCGGTTGCTTTACTCTGCTTTTATCTTGCCGACAGGGCGGAAACATCAAAGAGCCATTTTCGGCTTATTCAAGCCGACGTCGTGGTTTGTCGATCGGCCAAGATCATAGCCCGGATAATCGCGATCACTCCAGGCAAAATGCAAATTGCATTTTGGTGGCTGACACTCAGAATTCAAGGCTCGAGCATTTGAGGCCCGTTAACGAAGGTCCACCCTCCAAAAAATAATCATCATAAAAAAAAATACAAATAAAATATGACATATACAGAAAGTTCGTTAGGAGGTCAAAATAATTGTTGGTCCAAAGGGTTAAGGTTTCATAAGTTTTTGAAAATGCGCGCTGCAAAATCCCTCATAAATCAAATTCAAAATGTTGTTCTATGACATGTCATCAAGAATGTTCGTTTAATAGGTCAAAATTATTTTTGGTTTAAAGTTTTCGTCATGTTTTGAAAATGTGCACTGCAAAATCCCTTTTATAAATTAAATTAAAAAATGTTGTTCTTACGTTATAATCTGTCATGGTCGACTAGACTATCAAAAAATCGAGTGGGCCCAATTTAATTTATGGTCAACTTTGAAGAAATCCTCGGCTAGCCCCCATTAATTAATCGACGGGTGTACGTTTTTCGTCAAATCATGGAGCTATAAACACTTTTGCACCGTCAATTTCAGGACCTGCGAAAGCCGATGTTTAGAGAGAGTGGACCGTTGAATTTTTTTATCATTCAAAATCTTTGGTCATATTTAACTATTTTTTAAAATTCAGTATGACTATGATAGTAATTTCGATAGCAGTCGTCACATTGCCGGCAGCCCTGTTTTTGCAACTGGTTGTTTACTAAAAAAAATGTTCATGGCGTTGTGTCACAGTTTCTAATGCCCCGTCTGGCGGTTCGAACTTTGACATTCAAATGATACATGAGGGACTCATAAATTATGCAAAAGTGGGATGTTGGGGGGAGCGGAAAACCAAAGCACATATATATCCTTTAGGTACAGCTTTTTTTGACATTGCCCAGCAATACCAAGATCAGGTAGGACATTTATTTAGTGGAAGCCGTTTATAGGGGAAAATTGAAAACTGTTTCGGCAGCCTGCTTTGAAGTTACCGTAGTGGGCCGCCCCGGCTTTCGGACGTCAATCAACCGCGTTTTTTCCGGGCACCGTTCATTGTCCCATTTCACAAATCTGTGTCCATACGCGTCTAATGTAGTGACAGACAATGTGTTTGTCCGAAATATAATTTGATCCATTGATGTTATTAAGGTGTTATAGTTCGATTTTTAAACAAAAAGGACATGAAAAAAGCTTTTAAGCGGTATAAGAACGACAATTCTTCTTGAAATGTTGCTCTGTTGTATACGCGTAGTAATATTTATCCTTAATGAGGGTAAACAGACGCCTGAATGCGCAAATGGCGTGGTCGTTGTGTTTGCGCTTACGTCGGTGCCATTTTTATTCATGTTAGGGCTGTCGCTCTCTTGATGCGAATGGACCATTAAAACACTGGGAATTCGATCAAAATGACGACCGTGTCCACTACCAGAACACAGTCGGAGTACATCCAACCCACCACCACAACGCAGGTAACTAAAATATATTTAATAAGCCATTTTAATCCGCCTTTTTTGGCTGGTAGGTTTCATTCGTAGGCTTGGCCTAGCCTCATTCGTTCATAACTTCCGTAAGGCTAACCCACACCCACACCTAAAACCCGCCCATAATCCGTCCCCCCGTGAAAACAAATTATCAAAGAACAAAAACCCCAAATCAGTACATCATCGTTGTTGTTCTCACTTCTTGCACTAGGGAGACAATAGCGGCCAACAACAACCTTCTCCTCTTGCTTTGCTGGCAGCAACTTGTAGTAAGATAGGATCTCCGCCCGAGGAAGCTGTAAACACTGCAACAACCACCGCCATCCGGTTTGTGGGGCAGAATCAGGGCTTCCAACCCGCGGCAGAAACGCAAATTTGTGTGGGAGCCAACGGCATAATAACAACCATTCCAGCTGCACAACAACAGCCACAATTCCAGACCATCTCTGCTTTTCCCGTTCAGATTGGCGCACCTGTCTTGCAGCAGCAGCAGCAGCAGCAGCAGCAGCAACAACAGCATGTGATTGAGACGAACAACAGCAAGCAAGGAACGACCGGCAACACAGCTAACATCCTGAATTGGAATCCCCAGCAGCAGCAGCAGATCATACAGCCGGCCCAGATCTTGACAGCTGCAGCAGCAAATTCTAACACCAGCAATACTGCAGCGGGGACAGGCGGTACCTTCCAGTACAACATCATCCCGCAGATTCAGCTAGATGCAGATGGCAACATTATTGCCAACCAAATTGCCGGTGCCATCAACCAGTCACCAACCATCATCCGATCTGCGGCTCCGAACATCACAAACCTTGCCTTTCAGAATGGGCAACTCATCCAGACACAAACAAGCCCAGTTGTGCAGAACATCGCTACTACACCCCGAGTTGCCTCACACTCACAGCCCATTACATTTCAACTGGCACCCATGGTTAACACTGCGGGTAACATGACAGAACAACAGCAGCAAGTGTACAGCATAGTGGCTGCATCACCGATGCAGCAAGATTTCACAAATGCTGTTCAGATTCAACCGCAGCAGTTTCAAGCACAGCCGCAGCAGATAGTCACTGCTGACCAGTCGTTGCAGCATCAAAATCAACAGCATCATCAACCACAGCAGATTTCCGTGGCACAGGTTGTCCCGCAACAACAGCAACAATTGCAGCAACAACAGCAGGTTGTCATTCAACCCCAGCAGTCAACTGCAATTCCAGTTAGTATCAGCATGTCACAGCCAGTTCAGGTAGCCATCCTGATTTGCACTTGTATGGATGTACATATGTACGCTTGGACCCAACTTATCGCTTTTTCAACATTCGGACATGGTCTGACGATCGCCAGACCGTGTCCGATTGTTAAAAAGGTGATAAGTTGGGTCCAAGTTACTCTCGGACTAGAGAATTATAAAAGCTCTTTCGCAGTGTTATAAAAAAATAATTTTTATTATGGTCCTAGTCTAGAGTATATTGTATGTTCAGTTTTCAACCATCATTCACAAACTGTTGTCATTTGACAATCATTTAATCTGTGTTTAATCTGTTTTTGTCCTCTTTGACAGCTCCAACACCACCCACAGCAGAATGCAGTGACTTTACCACATCAGCAACAACAAATCACAAATATTCAAGCCCGCTCATCACAACCACAGCAGCAGCAACAACAGCAGCAGCAGCAGCAGAGCTTCACCGTCCAACCCGTCCAACAGACTTACACCATCCAACAAGGTACCGGGTTGCCGATCATCAACACATCAGCAGCACAGCAGACTATCACTATCCCAGCCCAGGCTGGGACCGGCCAACAAGCCATCCAGAATATCATCCTGCAACCTCAAAACAATGTCCAAGCCATACAGTTGCCAGGGCAGCAACAGATGGCCACGATCCTACCCGGTTCTATCCTAACAGCAGTACGTTCCCCTAACAACACCTTCAACATTCAAGGCTTACAGATACAGGGCCTAAGCATCCCTGGAGCTGTGTCACAACCACAGCAGATTTTAACCACCACTGCTGGTGCTGGGAGTGTTGGTTCAGTAGCTGCAACGCAGACTGTTACAGCACTGCCCAATTTCAGCCTGTCAACTGGGGGTAATTTGGTGCCTATGGGAGTACAGATTCAACAGATTGCAACAACTGCAGCAGCAACAAATGCAAGGCCAGCATCAGTAACAGGTATGTTTAGTACAAGTTAAAAACTTTCAGGCTGAAACATGCTGAGAATGAAGCTTGCTGAGAATGAGTCGTATACAGTACATGTAATTTAATTATGAACTATATAAATTACACTTTACATTTGCACCATGTAACAAATCTCTTTTTTGAAAAGAACTGGTTTTTCCCAGGTTCAAAAGATATTTGTTGCATGGCATGCATGGTGTAACCATCAACTTAATCTTATTGCTATCCTCACCATGCAAACCTTCAAATCTGACTTGAATATTTAATGAGAGTTTTAAGCTGTATTCTCGAAAAAAAAAAATGTTAAGGGGAGTTTTGGTGCATGTTATCATACTTGCACTCTGTACAGTAGAACGCCACTATAACGAATACGATGGGGTCCATAAAGAATGTTCCTTAATCCTTATAGTGGTCGTTCATTATAGTGATTGTGCATTATAATTGAGTTTACTATTTCGGGAGCCAAAGGGGATGTTTGTTATAGCCAAATGTATGTTATCATGGTTATAGCGGCGTTTCACAGCACTAATGTTCAATAAATTATTTTTGAATGTGACTGACTTATGATGAAATCTGCCTGTTATGCAAAAACGCAGTAAAACCCAATTTACAGATTTGCAAAGTCTTTAAAATGCCATCGGGTGTGGTGCATGTAGTCAGGAAGTTCACTCCGTATGTTTCTTGCATGATGGCTAATGGCCTTTTAACATTGGACCAATCAATTTACACCATAGCTAAGGATTGACAGGTCATAGGGATGTGGCCTATTGTCATGTGGGAACTAAACACCCTGAGGTGACAACTGTTTCTGAGAAGGATGTTTTTAGCTTGCCTTTTTGGTTGACCTGCGATTTGCTTGCGCCTCGTGGGAACTAGTCTTGGTTAAGGCATTCGTCGACAGTGTCCGTTATGGTATCTGGCCGCTCAAAACATAAACACTAGCTGTGCGCTATGCATTGTAGCACGAATAGTTAACCCACGCGACTACAATATGCAAATTTTACAAATCAGTAGGCGAAGAACGAACGAACGCTATCGATGAATGCCTTGACAAAGGCTAGTTCCATCACGGCCAATCAACTCGCATAGGCACATGATCAGTCTTCAAGATCAGTCAGACAACTGCATGAATAATCAGGTGATTTTCAGATATTTTAAATCTTTTTTCCAACTCAAATCCTTTTTGTAATGTTTATTTGTTTTTATAACTTGAGCGAGTGTACACAGGAAAAATATGTGTAAAACTGAATCCCTCTAGTCTACACAAATTTATGGAAGTTTTTTTATTTAGCGTAATCCCTTTGGAAAAGCAGTAAAGAGTGAAGCCTCTGCTTTGTTTACTTCTTAGATCATCAAGGTCTTAATCAGTTTAGTTTGGTTTTGTCAGGTTGTGTTGGACTTGGAATGGGTTGGATTTGGTTGGGTTATTTTTAACCTTGGACCCGGTTCAACTGGGTAGTAGCATTTTTTCGTGTGTGTTTTTCAAAATGTCTGAAGAATGGTCATCTTTTTCATCAATTTTGGAAATTTCAACAAATGCGTCACTTGACACATCTTTGGAAACAGCCTTCTTTTATTGTTTTCTTCAAATGACAGCATGCCAGAAAGAATAAAGTTACGTGGAGTTTATTGTCATTACTATCTTTAACCAAGTATGCCTCAGCTTTTCAACAATAATTTTGTCAGTTACTTTTTGGGTAGCTGCAAACGATCTACTCTGCCTTTAAGCAAATTAGTAGTTTGGTATTTTGGGTCATTGTGCTAACTTAGTGGTAGTCAATCACTTGCAAATATGGCTTTATGAGAATGCACACATTTATCTGTGACTTACTGCCCTCCCAAAAATTCCTAACCTGCATATTTTTTCCTTCAGCATTTTATGTAACCGTGGGGTTAAACTTGGGTAAACTGGGAACATGAAAACCATGTCTGAGTTATGACATAAATGGCCTGGCAGTGCACAATATATCAGTTTTGATCGTTGTGTTGTGTTCATGTGTATGTCATCATGAAAAGAAATGCAAGTCTAATTTATTGGAACAGGTGTAAGTTTGAAGCCACATATATTTTCATATGTTGCAATAAATTCAGAGTCACAAGAACAGTCGTCAAACTGTCCTTTGCCGTCCCTTGTGTACATTCATAAGATGGGAGAAATTTCATCACATCGAATCGAAGTTGAATCCGAACCCAGACACAATTTCAAGCCTGCATTTATTAATGATGATGAGGTAGAAATGTGAGCTTTCATGATGCGTTGAGTTCAATTGGAAAATTATTTCTTGGACTGTCAATTGTTCATAAATTCCTTCATTTCAAATAAGATTATCTTATGGAGCATGTTAAATTTGATTTCTACAATCATGACAATGGATAATTTGATCCTTACAAATATCATCTTACATGGACAGTGTAAGTTACTTATATCTATAGTCAATTGCTTTATGTCCCAGTGGATCCATTTGCGTCAGCAGTTTCATATTTTTGTGCCCATCAAATGAAATTGTACACCCACGACAGCCAACCACAATCTCGCATAATATTGCAAAACCAATTAACTCTGTGCTTTTACACCAATTTTGAGTCATCTGAGTGTATGATTTATATTTTTGTAGTGATTTAATAATGAATTTTCAGTAATGATGTCCAAATATTTATTTACTGATATACATGTACATGTGTACTCATTTTCTTCTGCAAACCAAACTTAGACCTGACTCTTCAGTAGGATCATAGCACATTAATTTCACATAAATGTCAGCCCTTATTCTAATTAATAATAAAAAAAGTATGTAAAAATACTACTTCAAAAAAAATTAAAAATAGAGATTTCATTTCTTTTATGAATTGCAGTGTATGATACATTTACTTGTAGAAGTAGATGTACACATTGTGATTTATCTACCATTTCACTGGTTTAAGACCAAAGACCAAAGTCGGCCGTTGATGTAAGCAGATTAAGAATCATACATAATTTTACATTTTCAAGAAATGGTCTACAATTCCAGACTCCAGAACAATTTCTCTTTCAGAAATTTTTAAAGAAAGAACCCCTCTTACCCATTAAAATTGTATTGATGTTCCTGCATAATTTTCGAACATTTCTTTGTAGTTCTCTAATCTACTTGAAGATTAGTTGGTTGGTCCTCAAAACTCTGTCTCTATGCCTAAGTATATTGAGTACTTTTTTTTGGCTGGACTTGAAAAACTGACTCTCTGACTGACTTCAATAACGGCTGAGTCACTTTGTAAAAATAATGTCCTAAGCTGAGACCTTTTGGTCCATCTTGACTTGGCAAACCTTGTCTTGTTTCTTGTTTCAATTTTGTGTCTGAGAAAATGACCCCCAGTTCAAAGTCTAATTTTGAACTGATTGTCTTCACAGTCTCCCAACAAGGTAATGTCATCCAGGACAAGAAGTGGCAGGGACAGAGCCAGGTCATAGCCCAGGTCCAGCCTAATGCAACTCTCAGTATGGACAACTCATTTGGGTCTGACGAGGAGGAGAACCAGAACCAATCCACACAACAGCCAGCACAGAAAAGACTGCGACGGGTGGCATGTACATGTCCAAACTGCAAAGACAGTGAGGGGAGGTATGTGGTCTTCTTTCTTGACAGTCACAAGTAAACAGGCATTTGTAGTAACAAGAATTTCTGAATAAACTGCCATTTTGAGTCTTTAGTCGTTACTTTCACTTTTCATACACGTGTATTCCCTTGCTCAGGAATTTGAATGCGGAGGGTCGCAAGAAGCAGCACATCTGTCACATCTCCGGTTGCGGCAAAGTGTACGGCAAGACGTCTCACCTGCGAGCTCACCTGAGATGGCATACAGGAGAGAGACCCTTCGTCTGCAACTGGCTGTTCTGTGGGAAGCGGTTCACAAGGTCGGATGAGCTACAGAGGCATCGTCGGACGCATACAGGTACATATGCACAGGGATTAATACCTGAGAAACGAGAAATGGATTCCCATCAGTCTCAGACAAAGTTGCAATCAAATGCTACATTCACACATCCGAGTTTTAATCAAGTCAAACACAAGTCCATCACAGATCACACTGCCAGTTCAGTCTCAAGTTTCTTAACATAGTGTTTTAACTTTGGAAGCTTTCCGCAACTCTTGTGTAAGTGTTCTAATTCTGGATGTCTTCATTCCTCTCTGATCAGGTGAGAAGCGCTTTTCCTGTCCATCTTGCTCCAAGCGCTTCATGCGGAGTGATCACCTGTCCAAACACGTCAAGACGCACACCAATAAGAAAGGGAAGGATGATTTCGATGAGAGTTCTCCCAAATCCGGTGCAACTGAGGAGATCGTGGTTTCTACACCGGACCAGGAAGCACTGACTAACGCAGTGGTCTTACAGATGGGTGAACACGCACTGGATACTAGTTAATGATATCCACCCATTCAGTAGATTTGTTGAAATCTGATTTTTATGAAGACAACCTCTTCATTTGTATTTTGAGAGTGAAAAACTGGGATGATTGGACTAGGGAGGTTTGATAGTGGAATCAGGTTGTAAAAATTGCGAAGTCTGGAAAAAGTTTGGTTTCACCACGAATTGAAATGGCTGAGAGAACACACGATGTGTACCTATAGTGGTCACAAGTTCATATTATGATGTACTTGTATTGCTTTGAAAAACAGTCACAGTCCAATATTACAGTAAAGTTTGTTGTGCTGATGTCTTCAAAGTTATACAACAGTTCCCCCCCAAAATCCTACTTTCTTATCACTTTACTCCCAAATTGATCAAGTTTTGAAATTTCAAATGATAGTTGTTCTCTATTCTCTGTACATAAATGTACAAAATGTACATTGTATTAACATCTCTGTTTATCTTAAATCAAAAGCTGAAATATTCATAAGTACATTTTTATATACTTGTATAAAAGAAACCATTTGTTGCAAGAACTTGCCTCAAACTCCATATTATACATCTAGTGACTGTACATATAGTTTTGTTAAAAAGCACGTGTGTTGCATGACAGAAATTTTTTTTTTTGCTATGCCAAATGTAACTTTAAATTTCTGAATTAATCATGTACTCGATATGAAACAGTGCTGAATCCTCCAAAATCCTCTCATGTGCTGAACACAGTGGCACCTCAATTCTAATTATTGTTGGACTGTGCCTTTCTAAATCCTGCAAAATCTTGCAAACCCGGATGGCTTTTGAAGGAACTTGGGGGTTATGCTTAAGATTGATTACAAGTACCCAACCCGTTACAAAATTCTTTGTGATTCATTGTCTGTGTTTTTTCCTGCTGTATGTTTTTCCCTTGCAAAAAGGGAAAGCTGAATTGTTTTTAAAGGTACATATATACGTACCCATTTGATTTTAAGACGTTTTGTTCTTGAAAACGAAAAGTTCAGTCCATTAAACAAAAATATAATTTAGGCTCATCTCTGTGCTCTTTTACTACAGATTTTATGTGGGAAGTCTTGTACATATTTGTATCATGCTAACAGTGAATTATTTATTTGTATGACCTTTATCAAGGTTTCGTTTTCTTAAGATGGTCACGTGACATTATGGCAACACTGTAATTTCAGTGTTTTTTATTGGTGGTTTTTGGTATTCTCTGCCATGGAGGAAGGAGTAGACCCTCCATGTCTCTACTAAGTGCAGTCCAGTTCTTGGCCCAAATTCATGGAGGTGTTATGAAGAAAATATTGTTTAAAACCAGGTACACTGTACCAACAAACATATCCATACCATGGGATCTTGGTCAGTAACTTGTTTAGGCTAATCAGCAATTATTTGCTGAGCTCTGCAAGGAGTGCCATGGAATTGGCACCTGGTTAATTCACAACAATGTAATCCTCTATTAAAAATATGTATATTACCTGGAAAATGTAGATTACATGGTTACCCATCCTGTTACAGAAAACAATCCTTATGAAAAACCTATTTATTGTAATTGTTTGAGATGTTGGTTATTTTGTGTAGTGTCCTTGACTCCTTGTCTTGTCTTTGTCTTCAAGAGGGGGGGGGGGGGCTGGACATGAGGGATCGTTTGAGAGAACGGTGGACTTTACAGTTAAAAAAAATATATTGCCAAACACTCTTGGGTTTCTGCCTTGCATAGTTTAAAGTAGTGAAAAAATCATTACATGTAGAAGGCTTTCTTGGATTTTGATGTATCTATCCTGTTTAATTTTGCTCGCGTAAATTTGGTGGAGCTGAACTGAATTTTCAAGATGTACATGTAAATATTTTATCTGATTTCTTCAACATGGTAAAAAAGTGACCAGGGTTATTTTTTTCTAAACAAAATTGATTTTTATTGCATTTGTTAATAATTTTTTTTTTTAACAATGCACAGATGTTGGGAAGGAAATATGTTTTAAACCGAATCGAATCTAAAGTTTTGATAAATTTTGAAAATGGAATTTCCCACAAGTATTTGCGAGTTTATGGAAGCTTGGAAGGGCGCCACCAAGTGATCGATGAATGATGAAAATAATAGCGTGACTTTACGTACGTCTGTGTGTGGGAGATTTCGCTGGTCGAAATTGCTACTGATTTGCTCAGTTTTCCCGATGGTAAGTTGAAAAATTGATGCAAACTGTGATTTAATATACAGCCAGTTGTAGTTTCCTTCTGTGGATGTTCTTTTTTTTTCAGATGAAGGCGGTGGGTTGTCCTTAAGTTCAATGTGGTTCTTGAAATTTGGCTGTTTTGCCCTGAGCCGACACGGTTTTCAAATAAATTAGTGCGCCCAGTTTTCGGACACATTCATAGCATTGAATTCATTGTGTCCACAGGATAGGACAGGAGGAGAGGAAGCAGAAACTTGAGAAAGGAGAGAGAGTAAAATTAAAAGGGAGAAAAAAAAAGACGATGAAAAAGGTGTTTTTTGGGCAGTGGCTGTTGTAGGCCTAGGCTAATTGTTTTTACAGCAACCATAACGCGATTTTTCAACTAAGTAAGTGCTAGTATCCGAAACAGGACAACTCGTACGCGAGACAACTCGTATGCGGATTGGTCAACTCGTACGCCAGCCAACTCGTACGCGAACCAACTCGTACGCCAGCCAACTTGAAGTTTACCCAAAACACACGCCAAAGTTAACGATTTATCACAGTGGTCTGATTGTACGACTGAATGACTGTGATTGTAGCCATATATTTTTCAACAATTTTAAATTCCATAAATGCAACGATGTTCAGGTTCAAAAGCCTCAATGATAAATTAAAAAAAAAGCATGATCCATTTTAATTGCGATCAACGTGTAGTGCAATGCCGCGGCATGCACTTCCAACCACGCAGCTAGTGTGGAGAATTTGTCAAGATATACAACGATTTGATTTACACATAGCACGGGGCTGGGAAGTCTACAAATGCAGCGATCATTGTAGCTGGAGTTACCCAGCCCTGAGTTTTATCATTGGGTGACAACCCAATTATAAAACTCATGGCTGGGTAACTCCAGCTACGGACATTGTACGAATTAAATTCTCACTACGTGACATTATCTTGTATAGCGTACTGGTGTGAGCAAGGATCGCACCTACGATATCGACAGTGTGCGAGTGGTCTGGGAAAACAAATCATAACTTTTTTGCTATGAGCAAAACAAGCTGATTTAAAGATGAACTAATTGGGACTACTCAGTAACACAAAATAATCCCCTTAACTTAAGGAAAAAAGAATGTGCCGGACAACTGACCGACCCTAATTCCCAACACGCCCAAACATACGGTTTCAGTAAAGTCCCTTGGGCTACGGCTGCTAGTCTATACTCACGCGTACGAGTTGGCTCGCGTACGAGTTGGTCCGCGTACGAGTTGTCCTGCGTACGAGTTGTCCTGCGTACGAGTTGGTCGCATACGAGTTGGCTCGCGTACGAGTTGACCTGTATTCCTAGTATCAGTATCATTACGGCATTCTGGTTCCATGACACAGTAATAGTATTCACTGTCAGGTTTTTGGGCTGTTTAGAACCAGACTAGCCTATCTGGTTCCCTTTTATTTTTTAAAAACAAATGGTAATCCTTATCTTTAGGACACCTCTATTTTTTACGAGTTCTGTTCAAAACTGACTTTTGCAGATGACTGTCCATTTACAAAATTGACTTTTGCAGGCTAAAGCAGTCTTTTTTCTTCATATAAACTCATGTAAGTTGTAACTTTGAAAGTACTTTCAAAGAAAATGTGACTTTCCTACCTTTTTTTGCAGTCATGTACATGTTGCAGTTCTCACAACACAAGTGAAAGCCCTACAAAATGAAAGCCCGATGCTGATTGGCTGCTAAAAAGAATAAATAAGATGTTTTTTTTTATCAGCCAATCAGCATCGAGCTTTCATTGCATCGCACTTTCAAGTTTGCCATCTTGGTTTTTGAGTCTGTTTTCTGGTTGTCATCGTTGTCTTTTACCCCTTAATTTTCCTCATAAATCATAGCTTGAGTAAAGTTCTCCAGCTCTGATGCCAATTGCATTAGAGCTGGAGTCACAACTACGTTACAATCACTGGGTCGTAGGAATCCCGAAATCCCGGACTGTACTGTACATCCCCAGTGCATAACAAAAACGGTCCATTTCGAACGGTGCATTTCGAACGGTGCATTTCGAACGATGATACGGAGTCGGGAACTACATGTAGCTTGAATTGGTTTCCGCCGATAGCTGCCCTAGTTCTTGACTCTGTATCATAGTTCGAAATGCACTTGTGTGTACAAACGAGATCCATTCTACTCATTATCATAATCCATGAATCGCGCTCGGTAACGGAATCGCGCTGGGACCATTGAGTGAATGCTGGGCACGTACGTCCACATCACGTTGGTCAAACATGAGTCGGAAATTTAACGTGTTCACGATCGATCGCGAGGGGAGCTCTCGGAATTGAACGGGAAATTTCACTTTTCATCCGGCTCGTAAGCAAACTTTAGTACATGTACCTCGATTTTAATCATCGATCTCTCCTTGTACCTCAGGAGGCGTATCTAGTAATTTGGAGGCCGTTTTGAGGTAAATCTGATGTTTTTGTTGGCCAATGTTGTTTTGTTTTTTTTGGTCAACGGCAGAATAGTGTCGCGCGACGTTTTCTCATGGTTTCTGGTGAATCGCCAACAAAATCATCAAAAATTTCATATTTTAGTCTTCGTTGTTCTGTTTGAAGTCGATTACTAGCTTCATGAATTTCTGTTGCATCGTATGAGGTATGGGGTCAGGATAATATAGGGAAAATGGACCGTTTTTGTAATGCACTGGGGATGTACAGTCTGGGATTTCGGGATTCTTACGACCCGGTGATTGTAACATAGTTGTGACTCCAGCTCTAATGCGATAGGCATTAGAGCTGGAGTTACTCAAGCTACATAAATCAAAGGCTTGCCCTCTTTCCACAAAATTAAGCCTGCTGATATTCAAGAAGGTGTCATTGCCAATTGTTCAGATGTGTCAAGAAATTTCAGAATGTCAATTTTGTGTCTCATTTAGTGCGACTGGGATCACGACCAGCACCCTTAAACAGCTTGATTTTTGAAAGTCAAAATAACACAAACAGCCAATTTTTAATGTTTAAAGTATGATTGTGTGAACGTTGATATTATACATTTAAGTTCTCTTTTCTAATAATATCATTTCATCATTTTCCAGAACGCAGTGTCCCTTTCAGACCCCATTCATGATGAGAGAAAAATCCCTACTTTTATGTAGGATATGAGATCAATATTTTTTTATTTAAAAAGGCATCAACACCATTTTTCATGATTCATTTTATTTTTTTTCGTTATTTTTTCAACGTAGTTTTCAGATGATTTTTGTCTTACATTTCAAGTTGAGATCATGTAGATTAACGAATCGCAGTTTTGACATTGCGTTATACAATATATTGATCTTTTTACAACTGTTGGCCTAATCGTTTTTAAAGTTGCTTTCTGTGTGATTACATACTGCTTGTGTAATAAGGATTTTTTTGGAAGAAATGGAATTAATAGTCAGTAGATTCAAGGAGATGCGAGGTGAATCCAAAAATTCTATTCTCAATAATGTTGATTTGGCGGACACAAGACAAGGCAACAGGAATGTCATGGAAACTGGGCAGGCATTTGATTTCTAGAGAAAATCATGGCGACAAAAAACAAAACAAAGAAGATATCAAAACACAACATGAAAACAAAGAAGGTGTTAATGCTTATCTGTATTTGAAAATACATGTATTGCTTGGCAGAGAAAAGTTTCATTTTTATAACCTGATCTCGCATTGGTTGAGAGTGTAACGCAGTGCAGTGCAGATTGAAAGAACATTTCTGATTGGCTGGAGATAACATTATAAAATTTAAACAGAGTTTTTAAGTGTAATAAGATTATGTAATCCCTTGTGAACAAACAAGTGAAATAATATTGAAAGCTCACGTGTATTACTTTGGTGACCATCCAGAATTACAAAACAAAACAAAAAAGCACATTGTGGAAGTAGAGGGAGTCTAGTGCAGAGTAGGGTCATAATGGTTGATATGGTCTGAGTGCCCACTCATGCGTGATGCACAGTCAATGCACAAAACTGCACTGCATTGATTCACATGGTATTAACTGAAAATCGGGAAAGGAGTAAGGACATTCTATTTTGTACCAAAATTACTGCTTAACTTGATAAGAATTAAAGGGTTTGCTGAAGGATGCAGAAGGCATTCTCACCCGATAAATTCCATTTAAGTTAAGAACCAAAAAGATGGAGGAGTCCTAAACTATATTGCACTTTATGTACAGTAGTGTTGATGAGGGTCAGTCATTTCATTTGGTTTGAAAGGTGTTGAACGTGTTAAACAAAAAATAATGAGGGAAAACCATTTCTACTTTTGTTGGAAAATAATTTCACAAAATATTTGTGACATCCATAACCCAGTAAAAGACATTCTGTAGACTGTTCAAAATGGCTTCTGCTTCCATTGCTGGTAGTGCAACTCCTGTACCGTACAATGCTATGGACACACAACTTTTTCATAAATATTCTAAACACGCAGTGAACACAGTAATTGGCGATTCAGCTTGCTTCAGTTGGAACTTCAAAGAAAACATCTTAAAAACATACTGACCAAGTTAATATTGTGAGTAATTGAAGGTTTTTTCCTTTTCTTTGGTTACAGATTGTTTGACCAATGGATAACACTAGCACCATGGAGGAAGTAGCCGAACAAAAGCAGCCAGAGGACAATAAAGAGAAGCTCTTCTGTATCTGCAAGACACCCGATGATGGAGGGTAGGACAATATATCACAGCACACCATTTTGTTTCCCATTGTCTGCCGGTACATGGCGTTACCATGGTAACCGATTGCCATGAGAGAGTCTTGGGACGTACACTGTCACATAGGGAACTACTCATTCAGTAGGATAAGGTTACCAGTCTTTGTGCCGGGCCTATGACTTGGAATGGTGCTTTGAAAGGATGTTGAGCCATTCCAAAGATAAGATAGAAAACGATACACCTTATCGATTAAATTTGATCTGACCACTAAACCAGGATTTATAAATACCTGATACAGTTAACCCCTTCCTATTGGTCAAGAGCCCATCACGTGTGTGGTTTTAAACTGCTGATAAAACACTGGCTGGTTTTAAAGGGAAGATACAACATTTGCAAACATCAAAAGACGAAGTGATCAAATCATCATGAAATATCTTACTGGATTGTTAGGGAATGACAGTCAAAAGCATCCTGTAAATTTAAAATCGTGGGTCCTGGTGTGCTGACATTTTCAAGACAACTTTTATTTTTCCAACGCTGGTCGTCCGACCAGCATTGGAGAAAACTGTTTTTTTTTCTTCAAAAAGTGCTCCTAATTTTTCATATGTAGTTATTCCGCATTTTCTTTGCAACTGATTGCACACAGGTGTGTGAAGGGGTACAAGCCTGATACATGTAGACTGATTCTTTGACCTTACAATTCCCCACAGTCTATAAATTGTTCCGTTTCATCTTAAGTGGGGTCAGGGAACCAGACTACAAGAATATGGTTGATTTTCTTGGATTTTCCAGCATCTCCGAACCCAAAACGCAAAGCATGTTAGTTTAACAATATTTGCTATGACATAACTAATCCTCCAAATCCATTATTTCTGAAAATTGCAGCAAAAGCTAATGTTGCACATTCCCTTTACAATTCATGCATTCTGCACCACATAGCGCAGTACGCGCCATGTACGCACCATGTAGCGTAGTACGCGATGCACGTGCCACTTTCCATATAAGGAGATTTTTAGGTCTACGCACATGAGGCACATACCAGTACCATAGACATGGCCCATGGTGTTTCACAAACATGAATTAATTTGCTGAACAAAATCTTTGGAAATTTGTGAATTTTTTTACTTGTTTTGACTTTTTACTGAAAGGGTAATTATTTGTGTCCAGGCCCCTAGCTGGTTTTAAACCCGACTAAGCACATACCGGTTTTCCCTTATTTTGTGATATTTATTCTTCCCCTCCTCCCCCCCCCCCCCAATGAAAAACAAAAGGTTATGCTATTATCCTGGCACTTATTGATAACGGATTTGAGACAAAAAGTACAAAATGTGCCACCCCTTTCCGCACTAACTTTAAGCAATTAGTAAAGTGGTGTACAGCAATAATCATTGATATTTTTTTATAAGACAAAGGTGGATACCAAAATGAACAATAGAGCAACGCCCAAGAAATTCGTCACACGGACAATTTGACAATCTAAAAACACTTCTTTTTTTTGTAGTGAAGATGAGTCCAATAACTCATTGTGGATATGCACATTGCAAAAAAACAGTTCTTCCATGTAACTGTCCTAGATTAGTGATCGTTGTTAACTATCTAAGAATTAAGGTTCTCCAAAGTACCCGGTATCCTATTATCATTCAAGCCTAACATGCCAGAAACGGAAAGGCCATGTTGTTAATCTTTGGAGGGAGCATCTAGAAATGTTTCAATTGTCATGATTGTACATGTAGATAAAAAAAATCCTGATTCATAGGGTGAAATATGGATTGAATTCTGAGTAGGCGAGGTCTAGAGGGACATGCATTGCAGTCCTGAATATCCTTTGTTGAGAATCGACATCTTGCATTTTTTAATGTATTGATTTCACTCCTACTTTGATTTTTTTTGGGGGGGGGGGAGAAATGAAAAATGACACTACACTGTATGTGGACGTGAAAAATCCATGCTCAGTGAATCGGCATACATGTAGTTTAAGGCCAATTGAACAAAGGGGTTTGTAATATGCATGATTGTCACATTTATAATTCTCACTGATTTACTTTTTTTATTCCCATACACGGCATATGAAAAACAAAACAGTTACATTTTATATCATTATGTTTTCTAAAACAAAATCCATCTGAGTGTTGAAGTTTGAGTCCATCACAAGTCCAGTCATATTAAAGTACATTGTGTGTGTAAATCACAAGCCAATTTCAGTATTGGGTTTTGCCTTCGTATTTTTATTATTTTTCTTTTTTATAGGCCTATACATCGTATAGACAACTCAGTGTCGTCCTGAGTGATTGTGAAAAGTAATTACAAACGCCTCGTGTGGGACTCAAACCCACAACCTCCTGCTTACTAGTGCAGACGTCTTACTACTCGACCAAGCTTGTTGGGGTCGGCCGGCTGGTTCCAATCTGATACAGCAGCAGGCACCACAACCAAACTATTCCAAGATGAAATTGAATCGGGGTGATCTAAAGTCAATATACAAGTCCGGTTATGAGTAAAGGGATGAACAAAGAAACACCCGACAGTTCATTTCAATAGGTTGTGACTTAACTTGGGACAGGAAGACTTGTGGTTGACATGTGATGGAATGGACTACAACACTGGTTTATAAATCTGAATTATTACTTTCCTTCTACCCTTTCTGCAGGTTTTATCTTGGTTGCGACAGCTGCCAGGGGTGGTTTCATCCCACCTGCGTGGGCATGTCTGAGGAGGATATCAAGAAGGATGAGACATGGCACTGCAGTCGATGTAAAGCTGCAAATACCACAGCCTCAACAGAGAAAGGTAAGCGATATTTCTTGTGTTGAACGCCACTTGATTTCAATTTAATATGGTTACAGTTTAAAATGGCTGCCTACGTAGGTAGCGTTTTCTGTGCTGCTGAGCTAAGTTGAGATTCTACTATTGCTGATATGGGTGTTAATTTTGGTTCAGACTCCTGTCTGGCACTACATCCTCAATTTCCTAAAAAAAGAAAAACCTCCAGCCTGAAGAGAATTGGTAGAAAAAAGTCAACAATGATAAATAAGGTGGTAGGAAAACTTGTACATTCTAAGTGTTGTTCTTTAGCCTCAACGCATGCGGATCATTCAAAATCCTTCAGATTTAGGGTGATTTTGTAGGGGGGAAGATAAATCTGGCATAGAATACTATACTTACAGGAATTGCCTACTTCTTTATTATTATAGTTAAATTTCAATAATTTTTTTTTTATTTCCTTCAAAGTGAGCATTTTGGAGGATTCAATGTCCCATGCAAGAAGCACCTGGTGAGTTAGAGTAAATATGTTGTTCTGTGTTTTTTTTTTTAAGGGGACAATGAACATGAGTGGCCCACTGGACCTTTCATCATTCCTGTCTCAGAGCAGGCAAATGAGACTACCAAAGAAACTCAAGAACTGCCAGACCTGCCAGAGCTGGCCGGCGACCTCACCGGCGATCTGAATCTCCAGGGCCAAATGCAAGGGGAGGATGAGCTGCAGCAGGGAGAGGAGATGGAGACAGAAGAAGGGCTGGCACCAGAGGGCAATGAGGAAGGAATGACCAGAAGGTCCCGAAGGGAACGCTGTGCATGCCCAAACTGTGTTCTGGACAGAAAAAGGTAGGAAGAGAGATTCTTGAAGTTGATTCTCTTCAACTACTGAGTTAATTTGCCAGCAGTGGCCAAATTGTTGCTGGTCTAGAAGGGCCACCCTACTGTCCTCTGAGTGACTGACTGAGTCACTGGCTGACTGTCTCCCCGAGTCATTGAGTCACTGAGTATAATATAATGACCTAAGCTGAGATGTAAGGTCCAGCACGATTACGCAAGCCTAGGTTTGTTGATATGTATTGATCTTGAGCAGCTTCTAGTAGTGCAAGGAATGCGCCCAAGGGAACAGTGTGTACAACTTTCATCCAAGTTTGTCTCAAGGGTACACAATCCACAGGGTCAAATTCGAGGTGAAATTCAAGGTCGCAGTAACAATCAAAAGGTCATCATACTTCAAATTGCTCCGACTTGACAAAAATGGTAAAGTTGGATTCGTTAGGATGTTACCTTTCCAAAACATCAAGATCAACAAATTTGGCCAACAGGTTATGGAGATATGGTCATTTGAAAATTGGCAGCCACGCCCTTTGGCCAAAATTGCCAAAAAATGGCAGGCGGGAGCGCGAAAACCTTTGGTTCGATGGTGCTAAAACTTAACATTTCAGCTTTTTCAGCCTAAATTACTCCATACACTAAATATGAACCAATTTGAAGGGGGTGGGGTTTAAACTTTCAATTTGATCATGTTCTTTGGGTGATTTGACACGGAATATGTGTCATGTCCTCAGAGAGCACCGAGTATACAGCATATATATGTTGGTGCATTTTAAAATCCTGATATTGAATTGAAAATCCATTCTCTTTTTGTCTCGAAACAGAAGGTCTTGAAGTGGTTGACAATAAAATAAGACACTATTATGAAATTGTTCTTCAAATGATTGTGGCTATTTACTAATTTCAATAAATGCATCTGTTTAATGAGTAAGTCGCTAGTAATTGAAATCAACTGGTCAGCCTGTCAAAACGAGCAGTTACACACCCACAGCTTTGTGGTCTTTTGACTTCCAAAACGGGTGGAAGTGGCACATGGTTTTTATATTTTATTTAAGATACTTCGACGGGTAACACATATTGGTAACTTGTATCTTCAGATGCGAATGGCACCTGGCGACTTTCATAAAAAGTATACATCTGTGCAGGTTCCTCAATCAATTTAAGGGGGGGGGGGGTCAGTCTTGGCAGTGCAGACTAACATTAAGTTGTATTCAGAGATTGACAAATGCACAAATATCAGCTTTGTAGGGAGTCTGCCAAAGAACAAAGCAAATGTCTGCAACAGGAACTCCATTGTTTTGTGGTCAGGTGGGCTTCTTTTGTGCTCTGTATTCATGGGAAGTTCCAGGTACGTGATGCATTATGCTATACATGATGAAGAAACTGCTCAGTCAGTGTGTATAACCTCAAACCTAAAACAATAACTGTGCTTTTGCATTGGGATGTATATTTTTAGTAGAAGGTATACATGTACCAGTACATGTATACCGGTACTGTGTCTACATAATGAACATGCCGTCAAGTGAAACAATTCGTCTTGTACCCCAAGTGAAACAATTCATTCAAAGCCCTGAAACTGAATTCTTCAAAACTGCCAGATGTTTTAAAAACAAATAAAAAACAAAAGAGTTACCCGTACATGTGTCATTGGAAAGGAGTTACTCTGCTTATTCAGTGAGAGTGATCCACTTTTGATACTTGTACATGCACAACTTCTTTCTCGTTGTGTTGGGTCAGGCCACATAATTCATGTACTTTAGGCATAGATAGCAATCTCACCCTCAGCCACAATAGGTTACAAAGGTTCAATATTAGGTGTTGCCCTTCACCGACTTACATGTAATTTACAACAGTTAGAAAGGTGTCTGGAACCTCATATCTATAAAGGTCAGTCCCAGAACACACCCAACACACTGATTATTACTCATGCAAGCTTTCACTTAATTCCAGGCTTAGGAACTTCAAGACAAGCCTAGCATGTTTATTCCGTTGACAAAAAGTTGGTATTGTTGTAATAATGTAGCACGGTCATGAAAAGGGCAGGATTTCCTTGCTGTATTCTGCCCAGGGTAATGACATTCATCAGCACCTGACGTGACCCCCTATGGTGGTTTTGGGGGTACTGGAATAGGGATTGTTTGTCAGGACTAGGCAGGATATTGTGGGCGTTACTGCGAGTGCCAAGGTGCCGCAGTATATTTTGTTCTCAAGTCAGGGAAATCCTGGGAGGGTTATTGAATTTCCACGGCTACAAATCTTCAAACCTCTAAAAGTAACAATAGAAAGTTTGGAATGGTTTGGACACATGATTACATGTACAAGTGGGCATGGTGTCCATTTCGTTATTTTGTTATTTTGGATGTTTTAATTCTATACACAAAGGTTCAAAATGAAAATTGTAATTTTACAGGTTTTTCTTTGCCTTTTTTCTAGCGTAATTTTGCTTTAAATTTAAAAAAAAAATTACAGTACCCTACATAAAGATTCCATCTACATTTATCTGTGGTGAGAACATTACTTTTTGCAAAATGATCTACATGTACATGTAGGGTCATGTGTTACTTAAGTGTATTTACATGTACAGTTGTATGTTGTGAACACCTTAGACTTACAGACATACAGATATATGTATGTCATGCATTGGTAATGCAAATATGTGGCAGTTGTTGACTGTTGTTTTTTGTATGAGGGACGAAATAGTTTTTAATTCCATGTGCATGCAAATAATTGGGTAACCATTGTGCCTCACCCTTCAAGAAATGAATTCAAATCATTGGAGTTTCTGTGAGCATGATGGGTAATGAATGCTGATTTGTGGATTCACAGGGCTTGCCCTACACATCGCATGGACTTCATCATGTAACATAACATGTGTTGATGCATAATGCTTAGCTTAGCAGTGTTGAGTTGAGGGATGGAAGCAATGATACAGTCATGTTTATAAACATGAAATGATCTGTGGATTTCAGTATCAATGGCACGTTACAACAAGTACAAGTATCATGTTGCATCTGAATTACTTGGCTGCAGTTGGCCATATGACACTTGTGTATGGGAAGTGGCTTATAGACACATTTATAATTGGTAGGCATGGTGAAGTAAATTGAACAGTTTCTTACATGTACTATCCCATAGCTGTATAGCCAGAAAAGTAGAGGTTTCATTGTAACTGATACACAACTCAACAATCCTTGCAACAGGCGAGATATCACCATCGGTCCCAGGGAGCACATCTGCCATGTGCCCAACTGCGGTCAGATCTTTGATACGACGTCCAAACTCAAGCAGCATCTACGGACCCACCCAGGCCAGCTGCAGTATGCCTGCGACTGGCCGCTGTGTGGAAGCAGCTTCAGACGATCTGATGAACTCCACAGGCATTACAGGACCCACACAGGTACATGCAAGCTGATGTTTGTGGCTGGTGTCTGGCTGGTTCGTTTTGTGTTTTGTTTTTCTTATGACTTGTGACCTTGGCAAAATTTCATTTGACTGCTGAATCCTTAACCTTCCAAGATCCTTGATCCTTGAGTTTTGGGGAACTTTGCAGGAATGAGGAATGTAAAAATGTCATGTAGCCCTTGAAACCTTATGCACCTGAAAAGGTTAAGTCCAAGGTTTGTTCCCTTTGGGCTCAAGCACTGTGGAGGATTCAGAATGGTGCTGGCATAAATGCTGATAGAGATACATGAAAGGTAAACACATTTGTGTGCTTTACAGATGATAGTAGGGAACCAGTCACAAGTAATACAAACCACATGACATATTGGCCGGTAACCACTTACTAAGCAAATGTGTTCTGTGCATAACAATTATCTATGCTCGGCCGTGCCATAAAATTTGAGCAAGATGATGTTGAGTGATGTGAACTGACTGAAATAGCAAATATGCGTTCAGAAATTTCAAAACAAATATCAGCCAGTGAATCACTGAATGCGAAAATTTTTTTGGGGGGGGGGAACTCTTTCGCCATAGATTTACTGTGCTCCAAGATATTTAGTTGTAAGGTCAACGCAAGTCTAGTTTTTATCGCATAAAGTTCACCCTTCAGCTTTTTATTTATTTTGTGGAATTTATTATTATTATTATTTTGTATTTTGCACCCTTTGTTTTAACTTTAAGGTGCATGCTTTTGTTTTAAGTGACTTAAAATTTGACTGATAAACAAGATAATCCATGTATTTCCAGGGTTGACAATTTTGGAAACAAAACAGCAGTGTCGAAAATATGGCACATGGGTGTTTAATTTAGAAAGCTCCCTTGGGGTAGGGAGGGAGAGCGCAGGGGCATCTCTGATAAGAACGCGATGTAGTCCTTAACTTTTGTTGAAATGAATCACGCAGAGTAAAATTAGACATAAATGGACAAGAAATGACCAAGCACTATCCATTTTGAACTTACATATAGGCACGCACTTAGAATGCGTTTACGATCAGTGTTGTACGGTAGTTGGGTCAAACATACGTTCATCACAAGTTTGTCCACAATGACATCACAAGTTAATTCACAAGTCTGGTCGTGAGTTAAGGAAGAACATAACAAAGGAGTGCCTTGTCACAGTTCATTTGAATAGCTTGTGTTCTGTCTTGGATTTGGATGACTTGTGATGCACTTGCAAGGACTTGTGGTTGACTGGTGGTAAATGGTTGTTAAACATCTGACTAAACTGCAATTTCACCCTTGTGAATCACCTCTAACAAGCATGTACATGTACACCTGCATGCATACACACACACACCGGTACTTATATTAGAAAACTTGGCCCTCCCAGCTTGTTCTGCACCCAATTTCATGGAGCGCTGCGACGCGTCGCAACTCGAGTTACAACGTGTAACATGTCGCAACTCGCGACGCATCGTATCATCCATTTCACGAAAGTTGCGATGTGTTGAACGCGTCGTAAGTTCCTTGAGAACGGCTTAAAACATGTCGCAACTTACGACGTGTCTAGTGGTCATTGCAAAATAAGAAGAGTCCCTTTCTAAGCCAGATTAGAAAATTCATTGAATAATTATGAATTACAATGGAATATTACAATTGAAATTTCAAAGTAGCTATACAGTCCACTGAGAGCTTGTTTTCCTTCAAACTTGCATCGCACGGCCGCCATTTTGTTTTACGTTTTAACAAATGTCGAGCTGAGATCCGACGATTCTTTGTTGATTATCAGAGGACTATTTACTGTACGCTGACTAAATAGATAAAACAGTCACCGAGTTGTGGTATAAATACCACCTACGACGTGTCGCACTTACGACGTGTTTCATGAAATGGATCGCAGGACGCGTTGCAGCTGCGACGCATCGTAGCGATACGATGCATCGTAAGTTACGAAGAGTTTGATGAAATCGGGTGCTGATGTATTGAGAACAGTGCACATTTCTGACTGAATCATGCCATGTTCTCAGAGGGATGACACAAGCATGTCAAAGTTGTAGACACGCCCTCGCTTAAAATATTGTGTTGTAGACACATTGATATCTTGCTTCTGATAAATTGTTTTTGTGCTTTAAGAAAAGTGTTACATGTATGTATATGTGGTGGAAAGAATTATTCTTGACACAGCTTTTGTTTTGTGGTCCTTTTCATTGCCTCTGTCATATATATGTTTTCATTAGAGGTAAAGTCAACAACATATAGCCAAACATATGTTACCTTTAAAGGAAAGCACTTCCTATTTTCTTTTCAGTTGAAGGAAGTTAGCCATTTTTTTCAAATTGAGAATATTCTCCTTAGTTAAAAAAGGGACGATATTGGGCACGCCAATTTGGGGAACCATTTTTTTGTCACTACATTAATTCTGAGTTTTTTTATTTTCATTCCTGCCCTGGGTGTGGTTGCACATTTCTTTTTTGGTGAACAGAGAGACGTCGCAAACCCAGGGCTGCAGCTGCTGCTGCCCCAGCAGCCACAACTGCTAAGAAAGTGACTGGGGAATTACCGCACATCTGTGATTGGCCACTCTGTGGGCGTGGCTTCAGAAGGGCAGACAAACTCCAGAGACACTACCGGACACACACAGGTACACACATCCCCACATCCACCGACCTAGAGACTCAATACTAATCCATACTTGATGCACCCTACATCACATCACATCCCATGTATTCATTCTAACAAGATTTTTTTTTGGTAATAACTTTGGGCATTGCATATTTTGGCTGTAGTTACTGCGTTGACTTTACCGCTTATTTTGAAATGCTTGTTGTGAAATGTGTGTTGTTGTGTCTTTGCATGCGCTTATATCCTGTTTTCCATGGACTTTTAGATTGTATTAGGGGTAGTGTACCGGTATGTGCATAGTCTTAACAAATCTTAATCAGAAAAATGTTTTGCTGAGCAGTGCCCCAAAATAGAAGCCTGTGGTTTAATCAATCACATGGTGTGCTAAGCACACCAAGTCCTGCTGAACAGAGCCTTTCATTTATTTAATTTTTTGAGATCCGATGGCAAGCAACACCCTTACGTAAGCGGCAGACTTTGACTTTGTCACTTGGTTGAAGGAATCTCCATGTTTGATGTTAGCACAATTTTTCTGCCGTACATGTTGGCACAAACTTACTGTGAAGTTTTATGCAGCGCTGTTAAGCAAATCTCAAGCTTTACATATCAGTGATGTTGACCCGCTCTGACCTGCTATTCTCATCATCTTTTTTTGTGGTTTGTTTTCTTGTACATGTTAATCCAGGCGAGAGGAAGTACCAGTGCACGATATGCATGAAGAGATTTCTGCGGAGCGACCACTTGTCCAAGCATATCAAGACACACAACAACAAAAAGGCCAAAGGAAGACGGAAAAGTGGATCACAATCCCAGCCAGATGTCGAGGAGGATGGTACATTGGCTGCCACTGGAGAAGCTTCAGGGAAAGGTCAGGGTAATGTCCCCATGGGCGTCGCCATACCACTCTGTATTGGGGGGGGGGGGTGAGGGTCAAACACGTACTTCAATAATGTAACCAAAAAAACAAATAACTGACTGCTGAAGATTTGAAAAATTAGGCTTGAGTGAGAGCTGGACATCATCTGACACCAGGCATGCCAGGTGGCAATCTTACGGTTTTATTTGATTAGATTTGATTAGATTGCTTTTATATCACAATACATCACAATATAAATAATAATGACAGTTTAAGCAGACTATATATTGAGGTGCTGATTGCGATGACCTCTTTTGCATACAGCAGCATGTTTTGCCAACAAGGATGACACTTTTTACCAGACGATTGCTTCATTTGGGGTTTGATGTCATTTCTTCTCAGCAATGTCCTTGATTGTTTTTAGAGATGGAATTTTGTAACGTCACATTTCGAGTGGCATTCAGCCCATGCCTGTACACCAAAGGTTTACATTTTCATGAATGTTAATAATGGCTCACTGCGCTGCCACTCCCTTTGGCATGACAATTAAGACGTAGTGATGGTGGCGTCATGAAAATTCCATCTAAAGATGGTTTATTTTCTATCCATTTTGTTTCTAGTTGAGTGCAACAAGCACTCTGCAGGCAACCAAGGCCAGGCGTTTCAAAAGAAGACAGCCGGGCAGAAGAGACTACAAAGACAACCCTGCAGCTGCCCCAACTGCGTGCTGGAAGGCAAAGAGTAAGCACCACATTTAGGACATGCACTTGATGCTCAACAAATCCGCAACAGATGTTGAGTGTCAATTTTCAGACCTAACTAAGTAAAGTCATATCCTTCTGATATTTTAAGCAGAGACCTTTGTCAACATTTTCTATGTACTCCGTGGGCCTATAATGACGTGCATATCCTTTTTCTTTACCTTGTCTCATTTGTGACACTCATTTAAATGGCAAAAGTTTGATTAAACATTTGTATAAAATGAAACAATGTTTAAACAAAGTGTAATCCTTCCATTCTCTTTCAGGAGGAAGCCGGGTGACCCCGCGGCGCCCATCGGACCCAAGAAGCATCTGTGTCATGTTGAAGGCTGCGGCAAGGCCTTCGCCAAGACCTCCCACCTCAAGGCTCACATTAGGGGCCATACAGGGGAGAAACCTTACATCTGTAACTGGACTGGATGTGAACGACGCTTCACACGGTCTGATGAGCTACAGAGACACTCCAGGACACACACAGGTTAGCAAGCTGGCCAGAACTTTCTCCTTAAAATGTCAAACTGATATAATTTTTTTCTTTGATTTTGTGGATAGACTACACTTTTTAGTGCAGCTGTTGGATTAAACAGGCTTTACTACAATTGAATTGAATTGAGTGCCACATCCTTGTTGTCTTGAGCATCAAACTCAAGCTCTGTCGGCTCAGGTTGTGGGTCCGAGTCAAGGCTAAGGGGTGTGTCCTTGGGGGTCCAAAGGGTTGAGTCAGGGATTTGAACCTTTCACTTCCAGAGTATTTGGTCCCATGCCAACTGTACTATCCAGTCCTATGTTTTTCGTCTCCCAGTAAGTCAGTTTTGGTTCATAGTAGTCTAGTTAGTTGAAGTCAACCTCATCAGATTCCCACAGTGGTTAATTTGATGATAACAAGCAAAGTGGCTTGTTATGATAAAGTTGTTCTTGTTTTGTGTCTTTGTCTTGGTACAGGTGAGAAGCGTTTCCAGTGCCCTGAATGCCCAATGAGCTTCATGCGCAGCGACCACCTGTCCAAGCATGTCCGAACCCACGATAACAAGAAGATCCGGGAGCTGAGCCAGCTAGAGCGTGGTGAGAAGCGCTACCCGTGCCCGGACTGCGACAAACGATTCTGGCGCAAGGACCACCTCAAGAAACACTCCAACGTCCACACTAAGCAAGAGGGTGAGGAAGAGGGTGGGGTACAAGCCAAGATTGAAATCATCAACTCCGCCCCGTCTGCCTCTGCGAATGACACAGCGCCCTCTATGGTCACGATGGACAATACCGCTCAAGTTATGCCAACGCCAGTTGTGCCGATGCCAGTGGGCGTTCCTGATCCAAACCTCCTTCAGAATCTTGATCTTACCCCAAAAACCTAGAGGTTGCTGTTTGTTCCTTTGTGGCGCAATTAACTCCAGAAAAATTATTAAATTTGTACAGATTCACTGAATATTAGTATTTTAAATTTGACAACACAAGTGCGCTTTGAATTCAGCTTCTTCTTTTTTACCATGAACCAATTTTAAAGATTTGCAATTTATATTGTTTGTCCTCTAGGAGATTCAAGATTAGGGCTTCCCTGACAGGCATTAAAAACAATCAGTTATTCAGTAAACTTTAAATATACCAATGTCAAAAATAGCATGCCTTGTCAAAGACAGCATGTATTTCCATTTTTGCCGGAGCCTTCACATTAAAAAAAAAGCTGTTCCAAGCCCTGACATTTTTGAATGTTGAATGTATGCTATTACAAATATTGGACATAAAGGAGTATTTGAAAATCTCTTCTTTTGCTTTTTAAAGTAATTTTTTCCTTCAAATACTGTTATGTATTTCTGTTAATAGCTTTATTTTGTAATGTTTTGACATGCATCTTTGTTTCAATTTGTGTGAACTGCTCATAGTGTAGTCATAGTGGAATTTTAGTAAAAACCTTTTGGTAGTTTTTTGCTTTTTAAATTTTGTATATAGAAAATGAAAAATACCGACAGCAGAAAATGTATAACCACAACAGTTGATGCATAATTAGACTAGATACCTGCCCTTGACAATTCAATGAGACAAACTCATTTTGAAAAACTTCATCAATTTCATAGACTCGTTTAATTATACACTCCCACTATTACGCAAGTATTAGCTGGTAGCCGTACTTATATTACAGAATAATATGCATTACTGGGTAAAGCACTACCAGCCAATTGACCTATGTAGGTCATGTCAATCTCTGTTTTGATTGGCTAGTGCCACACAGTACAAACATGTCTGTTAAAAAAAGACACATTTAGCAGATATTAGAAAGGGCGTGTGTCATTGCAGGTACAATCACATCATTTTGTTGCTGTTGCTGTTACAATTAATACAAGTTGTTTCTTGTCTCCAGAAATAAAAAAAAACATGGAACACTCCAACTTCACCAACATGTGTCTCTGGCTAGTCAGTAATTGACAAATATTAGGTTTTGAAACAATTTTTTTTCCCATTAACAATTTTCATGATCATTACTCTCTTGTTTTCACTGATGTACTTGGGCATTACAACTAAGTTATGAAATGTATCTTATTTTTTTTTTACTGCTGATAGTGTATCATGCTCAGTTTTTAAAATGGTAAAATGAATTGGCATGATTACAATGCTGTTTTATAAGATTATTACTTATGTTTGTATGAAGTGCTTTTCCAGTGATGAAATCTGGGCTCAAATCGTGTGATGTCCCCATGGGGTGGGGAAAGGGCATGTCTCTCTGGGGTGGGGAAGAAGACACTCCCCTGGGGTGGAGGGACAAAGCTTGCCAACATCTTTGGCCTTAAAAAGTAGAGATTCAGGCAAGTTTTCTTTCCAATAAAGCCAGTTACTGTAGGATCACTTGTAATTACCCGGAAAAGTACCTATGGATTTAATGCACAAACCTTGTTCAAAGTGAAGATAGGACTGGTATCAAATAATTCCACCGGAAATGGTGTCGTTTGGAAGAAAACTTAACAATGAAGGTGGTTTTAAAATAGGGTGCCTGCAAGTCCACTCTTTTTAACGTGCATTAGCAATGAAACCCATTCACAAGACCCAAAACATTGTGCGTACCCTCCATTTTCTCAAACTGTATAGTATCCTGTTAGCTGAAACCTTAACAGGTTTAAGATTTTGAGCAATTTTGTTGCTTTAAACAAAAAAACTGCACTAAGAGCAAATGTTCCTTCAGACATGAACGAAGTAACAGAAGGTGCCAACACTGGCATGTGTTCTATCCCTACTTTCCCAGTACACAATAAGTGCATTTTACAGTCATCAAATCATACGATTGGCATCTTATTCAACATGAAAGGCTAACCTCAGAAAATAGGACGCCATTGCTCAGTTGATTTGTACATTAATTTCCGGGGGCCAAAATGTTCATATCTGGTGTACATGTAAGTAGTGTTTATTATTCTGCAGTGTTCTGTAAAGTTACTTTTAGTTTTTTATTTTACTTGGCACCGTGCTGATTTTTACTGCCTTGTTAATCTGAATCTCATTCTGTATGCACAATGTTCATGTTTGAGTTGGCTCTGTATTGCTTACTGTAAAGTGTATCGTGTTTTTTTTTTGTATTCCTACACTCACAAGTTTGCTCATCGGCCGATTTAAAACACTGAATTTTGTTTCACAAAAAAGGCTTTAATTCTCAGCATATATTTTAGTGTTTAAATCAACATTTCATTGTGTACAAATAATAAATTAATCCGTTTTTATTTGTACTGTATATACTTAATACACTGTACAAAGTTGTGGTATTTGGTCAGTGAAGATGACACACGTCTGTCACACAGCAGCCATATTGGTCTTACACCCTGAAGATTACTCCAAAGAACAAGTGTCAAACTCAAAAGGTACCCGACTGTTGCTCATGATGCCTCATTTTGACATTAAAACCTTGCTGGGAGAATTTGGGTTTTTTTGTTACTTGAAATAAAATATTCTATACAAAATGATCTGTTGTTGTAAATTCATATCTTTGGAGGTTTAAGGTGAATTTATGGGATGGCCTTTTTGTCAGTTACTATCTTGCAAATGACCTTAATTTGTTGTAGATCTTTAGTGTGACTGTTAAATAAGATATACTTTTAGCCATGCTACAAGGTTCCTTGAGAAAATGGGAACATTCAAAATCCAAGGTGGCTCAACCTGGCGACAGATGTTAATGTTAGTATCTGTACACAGTTATTACGGTGCTAATTCTATTGCTAGACTTGGAAGACGAATGAATCCAATCCCGAAACATTGCTGTACATACAAATTGCATAGAATTATTTTGTAATGACTGTTGATATATAGAAAAAGAAAAACATCTTAACCCTTTGCCACCAATTTCAGACTTATGATCTAGAGTCGCGTCAAACCAGTATTGTGAAGATTTTAATTATGTACATGAAAATGCAACAAGATACAACAAAGCATGGTGACTAAATGTTACGTGCAACAGTACGTGACAACGTTTGACCATCGTTACTTTGTTGCATTAGCAGGGTTAGGGTTAATCCATAAAGTTTGCCTCTCTGGAAACCAAACTCTACTTGGGTCGACCCGAGTCACTTTTTATATCTGGTTGGCGCAACTCTTGAAACACAAGTCTAAGTTAGTGTACTACCCAAAATCACCAGGCCATTCCATAGCTGCCATCAGCTGTATCACTCAAGATTTTGGGCGGACCAGCGAAGAGTGGGCGGGTAATTTTGGGCAGTTCAGTGTACGAAGGATTATTACAAATAACATATACATGTATTGGATCCTTGTATTATATACATGTACAGGTACTTTTAACCAAAGGATTATAAGCTATAAGATCATTGATGATTTCATTTTTTTCACAGAAACCTTTAAAATCAAACACGCTGGATGTTGTTTTTATGTAACCAGTTTAAGTTACAGTAAAGTGGATACTAAACTTTTTAAGAAAGTGGTTTACAACCATGTATATATGTTTTGTTCCTTTTCTTTTGTGAAATCTGTTGAAGTTTTGCTGAATGTAAGCCGACTTGGCCGTGCATTCCAAGCCCAATTGAAACATGCCCAAGAAGTGCTACTTTTTAATTCCATTTGCATATGGGTTATCAGACTTAAATGGGCACTATCTGGAGCCTGGTCAAGCCGGACGGAAAAATTTTTCAGTGTTTTTGTAGCACGTCAATCTTTACTTCATAAATATAGATTTCTACAACAATGTGGTTTGAGTTCAGTTGCAAATGATCCTAAGAACTTTTAATTTGTTTTAGGATTAACACCACTGTGTGCTATAGACTCAATTTAAATGACATACTTGACCTTTTCAATTACATTAATACAAGTCATTGTATTAAACATTTTTTTAATACAAGTATGTTTCACTGTGTACAAAACTCTATTTCTCAAGTGCCAAGTGCACAGCCTATTACTAAGGCTTGCCGAGAATTTCTGTACAGATAAAATGTAGAAATGTTGCCACAATGTGATAATAATAATACCAAGCCAATGTACTTTGATATGTTGTCTGAAGTCATGATGTGGCCTTATTTTCAGGATAAAAATGAAGAAAAAAACAAACTTGAATTTAAAGGAAATTAACGACAGAGGAATTATGTAAATGCTATGATGTAGATTATTTCAGTTGCCGTTTGAAACAAGCCAAATTAACTAATGCAGCTTAGATCTGTTTCTTTGTGTCGTATTTCTTTTGCACTTGAAGAGATAGTTGTAAACAGTAATAGCTTGAAGCTGACGAGTCAGAGCAATATTTACATTGTGCAAAAGTGAGCGGTCTCTTTGCTGTTAGGTAAAGTGTTGATATTTGGCCCTATTGTCTTAGGTTGATGTCATGCCAATAATGGCTGTATTGCTTTGGCAGTCTGTTGCCATGACAGCCAGTTGCCATGGTGATTGGTTTCTCATCTTCATCTCAGCAGCGTCGAATTGAATGTTCAAAATTCTTTCTTGATATCTGTTGTAAGATGTAGGAGAAAGAGAAATTGTCAAAAGGCCAACTCCAAAAGCAGAAGTAAGCGTAAGTCAAGATAGGCTCAATATACATTCACTATGCGATCAGATGCCGAACTGTGGAATCCTTACATGAACAAAATGTGAGGCTTCATGACCACTTGTTAGAGCTGTGTGCAGGACACATTGTATACACACACTCACACACTGTATACGTAATGTATACATGACTACTGCTCTCTTAATACATGTATATGCATAAATTGGTATCATCTTTGTGTGACCATGGGATGCATGGTGGTGATGAATTTTTAAAATCAATGATGGGGTACTTGTGCATCTTTACCGGTATATGTGATGATCTGGCATACATGCATCTCAATAATTTAGTGTGAAACCTCTAAAAATGTGACTGTTGGTTGTACAATGTCATGTTTCTGGTTTCAGTATAAACTGACAGATATTCTCAAGTTTACAAGTCACAGCTTACCACTTTGTTCAATCAGTTTGCCTTTCCACATCTTCTCCAAGCCTGAGACAAACTCCTCAAATACTTGGACACTCTGAAGCATACTGGTCTTCTTGTAGTCTGGTTGTGTATTGAAAAAAAGAGGACTAAATCAGTTTTGTGTACTTTCAGTTATTTGCAATTTTGAAGCGTCTTTGAAGTTTAAGAAACACATGTCTTCAAGTGTAAAGAATGAATTACTCCAGTGCTAATAAAATAAGCTGCTTCACAGATGTCATCTTGATTTAGGATCATGCATACTTCCATCACCTGTCCACTTATTTCTTTCACATTCTTAATAACGCTAATACCAATGGAGATAAAATCGTGACCGTATTTTTACAATGAAAAAAGAATCCGAGTTCTGTTATGGTTGCAAATAGAAAAAATACATTAAAATGGAAAAGGCCCGATGCGGCTTCAAAATGTTGTTAAAAACCCGATTCAATTACATGTAATCTAACATTACTTCTGATAAACAAATTCTTTTGGTTTTGCACAGAATTTATTAAAAAAAATTGCTGCCAATCATCTTGCCTTTTATTCTCTTCTTTGTTGGTGGCTCATTTTCGTCGGTGGCTGCTTTCTGCCTCCGATCAAATTCATCAATCTCACGGCACAGCTGACTGTTATTAACATTGAGCAAACAAGAACAAATCAAGACTTTTCAAGGAGAAATATATTGTACAAGATTGTTGGGAGGAAAGATTTCTTGGAGGGCAGAAGACTGGGTAAGAAAAACGAACATTAAACACAAACAAGCGAACTTAAACTTTGCTGAAAAGAAATATCAATCCCCATGCATGTCTACTTTTGAACCACTTCAATGTCTACTGAAGCACTGATCATGTGTGTTCTCTTTGTGAAAAAAAGACCCACACAAACACAGGAGGTGCAAGAAATCACGGCAGCATTTAGAGGGACATTACCTGATGTCTGGCACAGTCAGAGGATCAAAGTCGTCAACATCCCTGGCACTAAACGGCACGCAGACACGACCGGTCTTAGGATGGACACAGAAGGGGCTCTTGAGTAAATGATTGAGGCCTTTACTGACGTTGACGTCCAGCCTGGGGTAGCAGTACTGGAATTTGATCTCTGTGGCCAGGTGCAGACACTTCTTCACATTTCCCTTGAAAAGAAAGTTTGGAAAGATTAAAAAGAAGGAATATGTGACCTGCTATAGATTAACGAGGAATAACCCTCACCTTTGACTTTTGAGTTAACACACCGCATTAAAGAGCAACTCATTCGCTTTCCAGTAATACCAAATCTATTTCTGTAGTTCCATTCATACCAAAGATATGCCACGGTAAAGTATTATGTACTCTCTCTTCAGGTTTTATCAAAGGGATGCTAGTCCTGCAATTGAAGGATGTCCTTCTTTCTTTAACTACTGTACATCACTTGCCTGTTGGCAATATCACGTCACATCAATTGTTCTAATGTATTTGTTGTAATTTTTCTTGTCTATTTGCAAGGTAAAATGAGTACTTCAAGACTTACTTTGCTGACTTCACCCTTGATGCAGCGCTCTAACCGGTCCCATCTGTCAGCTGGTGTCTTGGCCTTTTCCATCTGGTCGGCTAGGAGCTTCCTCAGATGTGAAGGAGAAATGGTAGGTCAAGGATACAAAATATTAAACAGTTAACGCTCACACGTTTGACTATTGTTTTTAACTGAAGAATTTCAGTGCACATTGAATGCATGCCAATGCAAGAAGTGTGCTATTCTATGGATTAAATAGGTCAACAAAATAGTCCATTGGTAGTAGAGAAATTTAGGAAAAGGTAAAAAATTGGGGATGTACACTGTAGTTCAGAGGAGTTTAAGACATTTTCCACTGCTTACTATATTTTAATTCCCCCCCCCACAATTTCACCCTACGCAGTATGTGATTGAGTTTACAAGAACATTTTACAATTTAATAAATAATTGGAAAAAAGTTTAACAAGTCAAAAAGACAATGAATGACCAAAAACCAGAATGCAAAGGATATTGCTGTCAGGAACGATAGCCAGGACTTGATCCCATGATGCCTTGTCTCCCAGAAGGCCTTGCTTCTCAAATGTGTAGTCCTCAAAGTAATGGTTGATGACCCGTCTTGCTTGTCTGTATAGGCATTTCAAATTGCATGTTATTGGTATGCTTTACAAAGCTTAGTAGGTGGAGCACCAGTGCATGGGTCACTTTCTTATATATTCTATTCAAAATGTAATCATACTTTAAAATTAATTTTAAATTATGTATATCCAACATTTTAAGACTATGAACATCTGTGTAATTGGCCATTATTTATCACAAAAGAGAACTAATTACGGTAACATTCACTTCATTTGTGGTTGAACAAAGACAATTGTCTGAACCAGTATTTGAATCAACAGACATGCTATTCCAGTGTGTGCAGGTGCAACAATCTGGCTTGAAAATTCATGCCTAAAAAGGGAAAATAACTTCAGAAGTCGACACACTCATTGATTAGCGAACATCAAACAGACAAATAGTTTAAGTTGCAACACAATTTATTTCTGATGAGAGATTCCTAAGATTAAATTTTGGATATGCTGCACCAAACTCACTCTATGGATGGATGTAGGTGTTCTGGTAGGTTGACTTTCTTCACCTGATTTTCCCCTCCCTGTATGGAATCATTAAAATAAAATTATAAATCTTGTATTAAAAAAAGAAAGCAAACAATGAAACCCAAAGACATCAGCATGAACAGATATGTGATTTGTGTACCTTGACAATGCTGAGATATTCAGCGATGGCCGACCGTGCATTCTGGGATAGCTTACGAGCGGCGTCATCAGCGACCCAGCAATGAACCCCACGCCGGCCGGAGTAAACCCACAAACGATGGTCAAAACCAAAGTCATCTGAGACCAAAAAAAAAAGAAGAACTTTTGTACACTGATGCATCTGACAATTGCATGTGATAGTCTGAATCAAGAAACAACTTTTTAAAACCATTTATTGAAGTCCAAAGATGTAGTTAATGTATTCCTTTTCCACAATAAAAAGCCTGTCAAGTTGAGGATGTGATGTTTGTGACATAGGCCTACTTAAAGTGAATCTGAATACGATGTGATTGGTGGGTATAATTCCAAATCCTATTGATCACTAGGGTTTTAATCCCAATAAAAATCTACTAGATTTTCTTTAATATGGATTCTTGGCTTCATAGAAGTACAATGGTGATCTTTACTTTATAAAATACAAACAAGGCTAGATGTTCATAGCAAACTTAAATCAATCAAAACAAATCAATCAATCAAAACACAAAAGTGTTTTACCTTGTAATGCTCTGTCAACAACACGGACGGCAATCTTCATCAGAGGCCAACATTTCTCACAAATATCTGCTCCTCTGAAAGAAATAGTTAATAAAAAAAAAAGGCCGCTTATTTTTCAGAATGTTTTGCGTGAAGAAATATATGTGTCTATCAAATGTCTTGAACAATTTTAATGCAACATTTTCCACCACCCATGCAAACTTTTGTTAGTTTGTGGTACCATTTAGCATACTTACAACAGAACTATCAAGTGCTCGCAGAATCTTTCCAAAATAATCAGATTTACATAAATTAAATGACACTAGATTACAAACACGTGTGGTGTAAAGTGCAAAGCTTATTAAATGATCTGATTACATTTTGATCTGGGTGAAATTTTTCACAAGTGCAATTTATGGATGAATCAAAACAGGTGTAAGATGCAAAGACAATAAAGAGGCATTAAGTCCACTTTTCAAATCCTGGTTTCATCTCCAGGTTTGGCTCCATCTCTAGCTTCAGAATCACTTAGAATCCTTTAATATCCAAGCCAAATGAATAAACTGTCAACTTTCACCTTAATCATATTCTAGCATTTGAATATCTGGAGGCATACATTGACCTATATTGAGCAGGAGACGCCCAGACAGGTGCCTTATATCTTCTGAAACCACAGCTGGGATAAGGATGAGGTTTGAAGAGTTTATTCCTATAACTTCACAATTTGGAAAGGTCACAGGTCATAATTATATGAAAGGTCAGATGTCATCTATGTTACTTACTGACAGCAGGATCTGACATCATCATAGTCAGTCATGTCGATATCAAACACAAGCTCCTTCTCCTGGGCTTGAAAAGATGACGCCTTCACTGTCCTATGGTCCTTGGGCTGTGGACACATTAGAATAATTGAATAAATTAAGTATAAATCAATGAATAAACTATTGAATAAACAAATCTCATTTAAATATCAGCCCAGCTCAAAAAGTGCCCAGCTCAACACCTGTCGAAAATAAGAATAACTGAGTAGGCTTTATGAATGAATTTAATTTGAATAGATGAATAAGCCATTCAGGAATATGTCTCATTTTATTTCTATATTATCAAATGTCTTAGGGTTCTGATTTCTCACCCCCTAAACAATTGTAAACAGCTCAACACAAATGATGAATGACTACTCTTGTGATCTCAACAACCTATTTCAGTAATTTGTGATGATACTTTTGGAACCACAGGGAATGTTGTTGTTTGGGAGCCATTTTATTGAATGTGCACAAGTTTATAAGGGTGATCATGAACATCTTAAGAAAATGTCAATGCAGTCCATTCACTAATACAATTTTCACATAATTCACACAATGAACACTGTATCTAGACTCTGATTGGACTAAACATTCAATATTTGGACACTGCTGTGAGTTGGTACCCTGTGAGTGAAGACTGCCCCAATGTCAATCTTGTATGGACAGCGTTTCTGGATCTCCTTCTCCATCTCGCTCTGATCAGCAAACGATTGATATCGTATGTAGATGTCATCTTTCAGTGTGAACGAAAACTCACGGTTTGTAAAGTAGGTCTTGGGCACTGCAAATGATATGGAAAAGGCAATAAATTAAAGATCAACAGGATAAACTGATTCAATTACACGAATCTTACAAATACTAATATAGCATAACTTTGATATCCGGGAACTTCTGAAATCTCATCTCATTCCCAGACCCATTTTCATAACACTGAATGCTTCTTGAGTCTGGAGTGCTATGCTAATGGCAATAGCAACTGGTGAAAACACACGTGTAATTGTACAGTGGCAAAATATTTCCCATTTTCATTTGATTTTCTGCTACACTAGTCATGCAATGAACCTTTCCACTCATTTTGGTATATCAGCTGTGTGACTAGTCCGGAGGAAGTCTAGTATTTAGCCAAATTTATGGGACTAGGCCAAGAGGAACATAGGGTAAAAGGGGGAGTATTCGACCAGATAAGGGAAACTTGGTCCATTCTATTTTAGAATAGGGGGAAGAAACTCAAACTCCAAATGGATAACATAAGCACTCTTTTACCTTTATATCAGAACTTACCTGGTCAGTGTTGATGGTCACGATGTATGACCTTTGACCTTTTGAACGAGCAGTCACTGTGTGGGACATGTAGCTGTTTTCGAGCGGGCCAATGCCTAGGGCGTGTTTAATTGTTTTATTCTAACGAAAAGGTTTTTTCCCACCACTTTTACATTTCTTTACAATAAATTACATCATAAAAATAAATATTTCCAGGGAAAATTAGAATTAAACCCCTAAATTACACAAATCAACCCTTAAAATCTCAAAGTGAATCTCAAGGCACGAATCTTGGGCGGTGGAATTCTCATCTGGTTGAAAATACCAGCTTTTATCCTACATGATGGACAGAACTTTAGAACTTACAATTAGGGGGGCCTACATGATTTGGGTTAGCCCCATAAATGTGGCCAATTTACTGGACTACCTGTACCTCCGTAAATAAAGGCCACACTTCCACCACGTACAAAAACATGTCGAACTTTGTCAAATTTTGATTTTCACATTAAGGCTTATTAGTTTGTAAATTGTAGTTTGTTTTTGCTCTAGAAGCATACTCACCCTCTTAATAATAGGCTAATCAGAAGGTGCTGCCTTTTTCAGATGTCTAATTTTCGTGAAATTTCATGTTGAAATTTTGATACGCAAACGTGTGCAAACGAATCTGGAAATTTCACAAAAATCAGACATCTGAAAAAGGCAGCACTTTCTGATCAGCCTACAATTTACAAAGAGGGTGAGTGTGCTTCTACTGAGTTCTAGAGCAAAAATAAACTACAAACTAGCCAAGCCTAAATGTGAAAATCAAAATTTGACAAAGTTCGACATGTTTTTGTACATGGTGGAAGTGTGGCCTTTATTTACGGAGGTAGTCCAGTAAATTGGCCACATTTATGGGGCTAGACTTTTAGCCGGTCGGAACCAACATTAACATGTCATTGACAAAACAATCACCAACTTACGGCCGCCATAGTTTAGCCATCGGTAATACTGGTTGTACGGAAAAAGACGTTTGTAGTACACAGGGAGTAGATCTGGCAGTTCATCCCTGCTGTAGGATGCAGGAGTCGGAGTTGTTTTGGTACTGCTGGTAGTAGCTTCTGACGGACCGACTTCTTTAAGATCTGCCATGTTTGCATGACATGCATGAGGAGCTAGCTGAAAATAATAAAAGTGGCGCGGAATTCATGGCAAACATACACATACAGAGGGCGCTATAACAAAAAAAATCTCCTGAAATTAATAAATTCCACCAACATTCTGAGTCTGTAGAGGGCGCCATATACCTTTAACAGGCTCGCGCGCGCCGAAAAAAAGGGGTGGGCAAACATACGGTGGGGGGGGGGGGGGGGGGGGGGTCCAAGCCAATGCGTGTACTTTTATATACATGTACAAAACATTGGCAATTTATACGTACGTACTTTATGGACGACCCAAACTATAGCTAGCTAAATAATTTACATAGCTTAACTAGAAATAGACGATGGGTGATTTTTTTGGCAAAAATATGATTGAGAGGGCGCTCGACGTATTTAATGGCACAAGTCGGGCCGATTGAGCGTGAAAAAAATAAGTTGTTTTACTAAAATAATTTCCCCGATCTTTTTATAAACGAACGAACGGACTTCCACGTACGTACACAATGACTTTTGTTTGGCCTAAAATAATCTCTTCATACACGGGTACGGTTTGGATCATTTTTTTTTTTATAATTCATTTAATTATTTTGTTTTATTGAGGAATACCAATAAAATCCACTCTGCCCTAATGCTCTCGTTCCAACCTTTCCCTCATGTTAAACTCTCCCTGTGCTGATGGATTTGTTCATTTTACTTTGCCATTCACTTTGAATGAGTTATCGAATAAAAAATCCATCCAGAAATAATTACTTCACAAATACTTAAGGCTTAACATTACAATTAATCAATCAGGTGGATTTGTTTTGTGCGGTTGAGCCGCCCAGTTCACAAACCAAAATACAAACATTTCCCCAAAGCCCCAAAATAATACAAAATAAATCATAATAGTAAAACTTAAAAATCGAAAATTCGTGAGGAGAATTTAATCGATTTCTTTTTAAGCACGGAGATAGTAACATTAAAGATGTAATGACCGTGGTTTTCAACAAATTCAATTTTCCCCCTCCAAACCAATTTTTAACTTTTAACTTTTTCAGTGAAATGTCTTTTTTTATTTTGGGCGTCTGCAACACCTTTAATAAAAGTGTTTTCATCATAGTTGTTTTGCACGCAAACAGATCCGCTCTCTCGGTCTGAAAGCTTGAGTAGGGTGTCGGCCGTATAGTAGGCCTAAGGTAAATGATTCGGACAGGGCCATATATTATTTGTCGCCGCCGAAACTAAATCGAAAAAAATTTGGAAACTAAATAATCCATATCTAAACCTTGGAAGATTTATTTTGGTTCAAAAGTGAATGACTTTTTTATTGCTTGGGAAAAAGGGAAAACTATTTTACGGTGACCGGTGCGCGTGACAAATTAGGTATTCATTTAAGAATTGTATTGGTGGGTGTTCTCGCTTTGAGTTAATATGGTCGTATATGGTCAGTATTATGCATTTTATCATTATATCTTCTAAGTTTAGACGATCAAATACGATCTTGCTACTACATGTACTTGATCCGAACATCGAGCAAGAAAGGGCGCCTGTCGTCTAAGATGATGTACCATATTCGTCACGATTGACCATTAATTTAGGAATTCGAGAAGGTGCGGTTTGATACTTTAAGAAAAGAGGGGACACATCAATTTATTTCGGAAAATGTGGGAGGAGCAAGGGGAATGTGAATGAGAAGGGTTGCTAAAAATGGCCCGTATGCAGCCCCCTGCAATCGAATCGAATAAAACTGCGCCCATCTCGTTTACACACTACTTAAAAATAGTGTTGTACACATTGTCAACATGTGAAAAGAATGAACGACTTTTATACAGGGATACTTGCGCGGAAAGTTCCGTTGGAAGGACATCATGAATGAAAAAATATCCTGAATTGAAGATAAAAAGAGACTATAAAAATACCTTGCTTTATTTTTTATTCTAGGTTGATCATGTGAAGATCCATTTGCACGTGTATAGAGCAGGTGACTACAAAATTAATGCGGAACAACTTACCCCCAGTAAAATAATGTAGCGATCCAAGTTGCTAATCTCGTGGCAGCTCACGTTGCACGCCGCGTGAATGTTTACATGGTGCAAATCAGTGGAACGCATTTCTAATGTAAACTTACCGGCTTATGTCCCACTTCATTCCGAAAATGTCTTTGATTTTGCTTCTGAAAACACAGAAACTGGTCACACATATTAACTAACATATACCAAATTACGTTTTCTTTCTTGTAAAATAAGCGAGTGAGTGCATAACTGTTTAGCTTGTAACTTGTACTTGTTTAGTTGTAGCATAACCGAATCACTGCACAGACGAGCCGGAATCAGCATCCTCTAAAAATGTGAGTAAATTTTAGATTTTATACCGATTTGCTTTTCAGCGAATCATGATTGAATCAAGTTTTTGTAATCATTGATATTAAGGTTGAACTTCTTGTAATTAATTGAAGTTCCAGAAAACATGACTGTGCAGACTGTAGTGTTAAATTACCACCCTAATGGCCTTGTTTACTTCATCATTTCATCGCCTTGTCATGCTTGTTTACTGTTCAAAGTGTTTAAATATTGGATGGAACTTATATTAATTATTTTGATGAACATGCTTTGAATGTATGCAAATGCATTTAAAAAAAATTGTAACGCTGACAAATTAAGGCGAACCCTTGACTATTCAGCAATGAGCGAGGGACTTCCCCATTCCTAAACGTTGAATTAGTTAAGCCTTTAACTAGCATGACTAGTTTAAGTAAAAGAAAATGATTGCCTTATGAATCGGATCAAACAATTTGTCCATAAGCCTACAAACTATGCATATCTATAATGGCACTGATATAAAATACCTTAAGCACTGCAGAATTGTCAAGCTTTTGTTGCGATTTTAATTTTCCCGCTCTTAAGGGTAATCTTTACCTTAAGGACCCGTTCCTATTATAAGGTTAAAAGACTCACCAAAACAGCTGACTAAAATGACACTCAAAAGTGACATTGTGATAATTCTCGACACATTAGAACAGTTGGCAATAACACCTTCTTGAATATCAGCAGGTTTAATTTTGTGGAAAGAGGGTAGGGCTTTGATTTATGAGGGGTTAAAGACGACGATGACAAACAAAAAATATTATTAAAAAAGCAAGATGGAGAACTGCAAAAAAAGGTAGGAAAGTCGCATTTTCTTTGAAAGTGCTTCGAAAATTACACCTAAACATGAGTTTATATGAAGAAAAAAGACTGCTTTAGCCTGCAAGTCACTTCTGTACTGGACAGTCATTTGCAAAAGTCAGTTTTGAACAGAATTCAGAAGGATTACCTCTTAAAAGAAAGATTTGCAAACATCACCAAACGAAGTGATCAAATTATCACAAAATACCTTACTGGATTGTAAGGAATGACAGTCTAAAGCATCCTGTAAAATCGTGGCTCCTGGTGTGCTGACATTTTCTCCAAAGCTGGTCGGCCGACCAGCATTGGAGAAAACTGACTTTTTTTCAAAAACTGCTCCTAATTTTTCATAATTCATTATTCCGCATTTTCTTTGTAATTGATTACACACCTGTGAAGGGGTACAAGCCTGCTAGACTGATTCTATCTGACTTTACAATTCCCCAAAGTCGATAAATTGCTCTGTTTTATCTTAAGTGGGGTCAGGGAAAATGGTTTGTATTCGTTTTTAATTTTAATAGCCTAGCTACAATGTAGGCATACATGTATGTTCTGCGGATCGTACTTACTAGCAGACAACAATGTCACTGTTGACACTCTCGTAAGTTTTGAAGTAACATTGGTTTTTGGCGGAAGCGATTTGTTGCATACTGTTAATTGTGTAGAGAATATTTTGTTGTATTTGTTGTTCATGTAATTTTAGGTTACTTTAAGGAGGAGACTTAAGAGTTTTTGTATCATGTTAATGTCAGATGGACATTACTCACATTTCACTCCACATTGTTCATCTGTTCAAATGTGACATTTATTCAGATGGAAGTCAAGTCAGTGACTTAGAATATCTCTGTTTGAATTTGACCTTTTCTAGAAGCCTCACCAAACTGAGGAATTGCTGATGACAAGAGTGCCCTGAAATCCATCATCGTTGTGAAGTGCTGTGCATGCCTTAGCTGTCCTGTAGCATCTTATCCAACAATAGCCTGGTCCTAGAATCTCTTTCCATCCTGATGCACTTTTGCACTGTCAACAGCATGACAAAGGTAAGATTTTTGTCAAAAGTGTTGTGCTTGAGCGTTGTGCTTGATGCTTTTAAGTTTACGTTTTCAACTTTTTAAACTGAAACATATATTGTTTCCATTTCAACTTTCTAATTATTTATTGATACATACCAATTATTCATCTGCAGTTTTATTTATGGAGATCGGGTGGTGGGTTTCAACTCTCAACTGTTTTACTGGTTTTTTTGTAGACTGAAATATTTTGACTCGAAATTTGTGTACAACAATCACAATGTGTAAAGCAAAAATCATTCATGTACATGTATTTAGAAGTATGCATTTTCATTTGTATTTATTGAAATGACTGAGCACAATAAAATCTAGTGGCTTTGGTGCTATTTGTTTTTGAACCTATCACCAATTCTAATCAGGCTTCCATCTCTTCTCATTATTTCCACACACGTGTGCCTGCATGTGACATCTTCTGTAGCATGTGTGTTTGCTATCTGCTCTAGTCATTAACAATTTTGAATGCATTTGTCATTTTTGTTATATTCAAAGAGAGGTGTTCACTAATGAGAAAAAAACTAAATGGTGAATATTTCTTGTTTGTTTGAAAGTTTCACACTTTCCTCTTTGCAATCACACTAAATCCTGTTTTATCGTTAAAAAAATAATAATAAAATTGTTTCATGTTTCATCATTATGTGACATGTAGTGGATGGCAATCTAAATCTATGAATAGAAATTCCTCTGTAACATGTTTGCCTTTAAAATGAAATTGTTTTAGTCTTGCTTTAGTTCCTACATTTTAAGTTCAGTTAAAATGCAAAAAATGTACTTCTGATCACTTACTGGTAGGCAGACATTCAAACTACAGTTTGACAACAACGCATCAGAGCCCTAAAACTAATAAAA